TTCATTTTTTTTATGGAGTATACTTAAAATCTTAGATCGGACGGGAATCAAGGTATCTCCTAGTCGGGCGCAACCGACGTGCTCTGATCATATGTCCCCGGGGTTCCATTGCAACATTACTATAGCTAATATAAACGGCTGTAGCACACACTCACATTCAGATACACGCACACATGTGTACGAATATCCACGCATTGCTTGGCCTAGCCTTTCATTTCATTCATGCTTCTTTTAGTTTCGCCCATGTCACCAATTTGTGCGCACTTTCGAAATTTCGTCAAAAAGCACAAGCAATACTGTGTGTATGTGTATTTGTGCGTATGTGTGTGTATGTGTTAGTGTTGATATATGTGCAGTGATGAGTGTACTAAATGCGCCAACGAGTAACACACACGAAACGAAACGCTAGAACTGAATCAGTTTCCGAATCAGCCCCCAGTGAAACGCAACATCCCACAGCCACTAGCCAACGCAATGGGCCAACCCACGCACACATCTGGGAGCTTTGTGGCAGTAGCGTTGTGTGTGTCCAAATTCTTGACAGCGATGGCATTGTGTCAGGTCGTTGTATCTTCTTGGCAGTTCCACTGTGCAGCGTTGCCTGCAGACAACTCGAATGTCCAAAATTTCTTTGTGTTGGGGGCCTGAGCCACGTCAACAAAAAATATATTTAGCGGTGTTTTGTCCATACGGCTCAGTGGGTTGTGCACATTTGTAATTGTGTGGCCTTTGGTTTCCAATTCCTTTTTAATTAGTGTTGTATCAGTGCTGGAGTGAAGCCCTTTGAACACGACTCTATATGGTTTGTCCTCCTTAAGCTGGTAGCAGTGGAACTCCAATTCCAGCTTAGTAAAGTGGTCTATAACTCTGCGATAGTCCTCACTGCATTGGGTTAATACACCTATGTTATTCTTCTTTGGCTTAATTACGTATGATTTAGCATCAATTACTTTATCTATTATCTGTTGAAGTAGGGCCACAGACTTGATGTTTGGACACCATATGGGGGGCGGACGAGGTTTTTTCGGTGTAGTTTGCTGGTCGGTCAATACTGGGGCTTCTGGAGCTACAGGTGATTCGCTGTAGTCTTCATCTTCTTCTACGAGCAGTGAAAATCGATTTTCTGATATTAATGCTGCATTGCTGGTGCTTGGTTCGTCGAAGATGAGCCTTTTCTTGATGGTTTTTGGTGAATTTGGCTTTTACGTTTCGTGTTTTTGTTGTTAGTGATGCCTTGCACGGAGGCGATATCTATTTTTGAGTTATTGGCATGATGGAGGCTTGCCTATTTGCCATCACAACGTTAAGCTGGGCTTGCATTTCTGCATTTACCTTTACAGCTGTAGCGAGGTTATTGACATTAGATGTCATCGCGGATTGTGCTTTTGAGTGCAGGCGCACTCGCGCCAAGCGACGAAATTTCGTAAATTGCAATTAAAGCAATTGAGTTACGCGGAAGCAAGCGATAAGAAAACGCTGCGTGTGCGGTTTTTGTTGCTGTTGCGTTGAAGAATGCACCGCAAAGTTCTATTTTTAGAACTCTGCAGCAGTAGAGCTTAAGCGAAGGCTGTTCGAATTCACGTCTTTACAGGTCGAACGACTGATCGCGATTGATTTTTTTTTTCCCATGTATTGTATTTTATTGATCATGTATTGTATTTTCGAAAACGTAGTCTCGTAACTACCTCTGGATGTCTATTTAAAAGTTCATTTGTACATGCGCTGGTGGAGGCTTTTTGAAAAGCACACTGAACATTGCCTAGCTTTTGGCTACGATCAATTCTCAAAAAGTTTTTATTAATTGAACTGTTATTATAACTGAACTCATTTAAATGAAACATTTTGTTATGTATGTAACAGGCAGAAGAAAGCGTCACAGACCCCCGAAAGTATATATTTTTTTGAACAGGACGACGAGCTGGCCCTTTTTAACTCATCCCTCTGTCTTTACGACCGTCTGTCCATATGTATAAGTGCTTTGATATCAGAACCTATGTGAGCTAGAGACGGCATATCAAGTTTGTTTCAAATAATCGATAATTATCCTCCATTTATTGTTACCAACTGGTAAAAGCACGTGGCAAGCAGCGACAAGCGTACGAATTTTCCAATACACATGCAAAAACACGTACATTCAAATGCGTGCATTCTTGTCTATTTGTTTATGATTCGATTGCAACGTTTATTGAAACAGTGAAGTAGTGACGGTATTGTAGAAGCAATGCGCGTTGCCGAAGGGGCGTTTTGGGCCAGTCCAGTGTCGTGATGTCGGGTTTGTTCATTTTTTTATGGAGTATACTTAAAATCTTAGATCGGACGGGAATCAAGGTATCTCCTAGTCGGGCGCAACCGACGTGCTCTGATCATATGTCCCCGGGGTTCCATTGCAACATACTATAGCTAATATAAACGGCTGTAGCACACACTCACATTCAGATACACGCACACATGTGTACGAATATCCACGCATTGCTTGGGCCTAGCCTTTCATTCATTTCGTGCTCTTTTAGTTTCGCCCATGTCACCCAATTTGTGCGCACTTTCGAATTTCGTCCAAAAAGCACAAGCAATACTGTGTGTATGTGTATTTGTGCGTATGTGTGTGTATGTGTAGTGTTGATATATGTGCAGTGATGAGTGTACTAAATGCGCCAACGAGTAACACCCACGAAACGAAACGCTAGAAACTGAATCAGTTTCCGAATCAGCCCCCAGTGAAACGCAACATCCCACCAGCCACTAGCCAACCGCAATGGGCCAACCCTCTGCTACATCTTCAAGCAGCACATTAATACTAAAGTAGCAACGGCAACACATACAACATTCGCACACACAGATACATACAGGCATGTACATACACATACAAACACGAAAGCTGACAAATAGAAAAAGAACCGAGCAATGCAGAAACAGCAACAGAAACACAAACAGCTAACTGTAAATTCAGTGGAGGCCGAGGCAGCTTGCGAATGCGGAATATGGACATAGAAGGGGAAAGGGAGAAGTGAGCAAATATGTTAGCTTGTGTTCGGGGTGTTTGGTCTATGAGTCACAAAGTGGAGCAGGATAAGTTGTGTGAGTGATGGCTAGAGATGGCTGTTTGCGAGTGTGGTGGTGCATGTGTGTGAACTACTGTAGATAGGTGGGGCAGGTGGCTGACTGCCGCTGGTTTCTGTGGCGGTTGTCGCTGTTTTCGATATTGTTGTTAAGGTCCAAAATTGGGGGATTTAATGAAGGAAACCCTAAGCACACACACTCACAGAAGAGAGTGCACGAGAGAAAAATAGAGAGAGAGAGGCATAATATAGGCATTGCTGCGGATCATGTGACATTTCCAGCGATAGCAACAACAATTGAACATAACAACAACATTGCTATATACACTTAACGTTCGCCGCTCTGCTGATGAATTTCTTGTGCACAAACGCGACTGAGAATAGGTTAATGCTTATGAAGTAAGTAAAGTCGAAAGGTGGGGGGTTTGAAGGGAAAGTACCGTAACATCGTGTAGTTATAGATATACCTATATATCTATATATGCAAGTCAATATATATATAGCCACCATATGTCGGATTGCATGGCCGCTGTCACCTACTGAATCAAGAATGGAAAGGAATTGAAGAATAGAATAAGCGAATTATAGGACGATAGAACGCTTGCTGCAGCAAGGATGAGCTATAAGTTTTCAGCATGCAACAAGTTCCTGCGTCAAGAGACTACATATTTAAAACTAAAACGGTCCATTAAAAGTTAATCTGCTCAATAAAAAACTAAACTCAATTCGACTTCGGCTTGAGTAGCTTTAAATTGAAAGGTCATAATGGAACCGAACTTATTGAAATTAAGCAAGATTGCTCTAGTCGAGAGCGCTCGACTTGGAGGTACCCTAATACCTTGTCATGATTTTAAATTCTCTTCTCTCATGAGGGTAAAACGGAACCTCTTGGTGCACAAATTTCAATTAGTGCTGCTTTGGGAGACCAGAGAGCAGATAGTGGGTTGATCAACCGAAGCGCACAGATGAGGTCCCATATTTTTGTTCCACGACAGAGACACGAAAATATATGAACTTGTGTGGGACATTGGGATCAAAATTATATTCAATTAAATACAGTTAGTATACATTAGAATTGGTGAATATTACCCAAATTTATATTAGTATTAAGATATGACTCTTTTGGAAACAATTCCAAGGAGAAGCTTGTACTAAATGTGTTGCATCTAATGTTGTATGATTACTGTCAGTAAAGCAAACATAAAAAGAACAGATTCCACTTATTTTCCACACTTGCTAGCTTGCTTTCTAACTGTTACGTTGACCACCTATCAAATTAGCAGTCAAAACCGCCGGTCAACTAGCTTATCCTTAATTTAGTCAAGCAGTATGTAATTTTTTCTATAAGTGGATTAGTTAGTTAATCAATCAATCAATTAATCAATCAATCTATCAATCAATCAGGCAGCCAATACATCAATCAATCAGCCATACCACTATCAATTAATTAATCGGTCATTTCAGTCAAAACAAAAATACTTTCATGTACTAAATTGGATAATCTTTATATATGTTATGCATATATATCATGATAATGAACCCTGAAAGGTTTAGTCTTTGGATCGAAGCATCTCTGCCATAAGCAGATATTGTGCTGGTGTGACCTATTCAGCAAAGACTAATTCCAATTGGAATTGTATCGGTTGCAATCTTTTGAAGCTCGTAATTCTTATCCCTGATTCTTAGCCTCTGTGGCACCTACCAGTGGCCAGTCACAGCGAGTCTTAACAAAATTAATTAAACGTCGCAGGAGCGAGACTTGGACACAAGCACAAAGCAGCTCATCGAGAAGAGCGCGGCCGCTGCTGGCGTTTGAGAACAGGATTAGATGAGCAGGCATGAAAATTACGTCATGCATGGAAAATACCGCATTTTTTCCACGTTAATTCGCTTGCACATCACTTCAACAGATTCTCAAACTCTCCCTTTCTCTGTTTTTTGCAGTTTGCCACCAACATCGCCGGCGCACACTCCCACCAAGGGATTCGATGGCAACTTCAAACTGGAACCGAATCTGAGCGTTAAGGACTTTGTAACACCACCAGAAAATGGCAATGGTAATGGCAGTCTGGAGTCGGTTACTAGCGTTGCTACTGCCATGGCCACGCCAACGCCGCCACAGCGCAAGCGCTACAAGAAACGCGTCCAATTCACGACCCGACGCTCTCAATGGCTATGCGGGGGCAAAGAATAAAGCCGGTGCAGCTGCTGGTTACAACAACAGCAATAGTAATAATAACAACAATAACAACTTTGCTAGCCCAGCCAAAACGAAGAAGCAAGAAGCGAAAGCAACAGCAGCTGCTCTGAAAGCAGGTGCCGCAGTAGCAGCAGCAGCTGCTGCGGCGGCAGCCGCCTCATCTGCGTTGCCCGAGGTACTGGACTGTCGCATAGCAGAGAAGATCAAAAGTGAGCTGGAAGCGTGCAGCAAGAGTCGCTGCCAAATGCACTTTGTCTCAAAAAGGCGGCAGCCGCTGGCTGCAGCGGCGACACAACACAGTGATGAAGACGAAGACGAGGACGAAGAGTTTCAGCAACAGCAACAGCAGCTAGCAGCAGTCACAGCAGCAGCAGCTGCAGCAGCCACTGCTCATCCAACCCCAACGACAGGAACGCTGCTGACCAATGCGGAGGCTGTAGATGCAAGCAGTGCCAGCAACGGTCAGCTGGGCAGCTTTCATGTGCGCTCCAAGAACCAAAACAGCAGCAAGAAGTCGCAAGCTGCAAAAGCAGTTGCTGCTGCTGCGGCGGGCGGCAGCGGCAGCGGCTATGATGCCACCGAATAGCTATGACGAGCCGGAAGATGATTCGGCTGCTGGGCCGGTCGATGACGAAGACGAAGACGATGAGGAGCTGGATGAAGAGGCGCTGGCACGTGAAATGAAAATGGAGCCAAAATTTTGTGGAGGAGGAGGATGAGCATGATATTGCTTTCAGATCCCAACAATCATGTCGCGAATGCTCATTTCGCATGATCACAAGCTCTGCCCACTGCGCAATGCCTGCGGCAATGTAACGGATGCTGTAGATCTGGCCGAATGGATTGAGCGTCGCAATCTGGAAGCCCTAGCCAAACTGAAGGCAGATGCCCAGAGAGAGGCAAAAGTTGGCAGGCCGCGACATGTTGACGACGAGGATGATATGGAGGACATGGACATGGACGAATCATCGCAATTGTCCGAACTGGAGACCAAGCCGTTAATTACCTTTGCTGAGGCATCGGTTCCCGCCGAATTCGAGCTACACAACGTCGAGCCAAATGTCACTGGCGTCTTTGCCCGCACCGAGGTTCGAGCCTACACCAAGCTGGGCCGCTTATCGGACAGCCGGTTCAGACTGGAGAGGTACGCGAGGGTAGCGACATGAAATGGATATTCGAGATGTGTGAGGCCGGCGCCGAGAAATCCTATCTGCTCTGCTGCGATAATCCCAATGCCTCCAACTGGCTGCGTTTCATCCGACCAGCGCCCAGCTACGAGGAACGCAACGTAAACCTCGTCTCGATTAATCGTCAAGCATACTTTGTGAGCTGTCGTGATCTACGCAATGGCATGGAACTCCTCTATGGGAGTGACGACTGCAACACCATGTGGCGCAAAAAGCATACCGAGAAGATAAGTAAGGCCCTTACTTAGCTAAGAAGCAAATGCCTCGTAGTTAGTCATAAAATTAGTGGAGATTTTTCTTTCGAAAACTACTTATTCATGAAGGCTTTGACTCTGGCGGATCAATTTATAGTCCAATAAGAGTTTACTGCAACTGAGTTTCCAATTTTGACAGTCACTTAAACATATTGGCAAATCAGTATGAAAACAACATGTCGCTTGCAACAGCAAACTCCATACATATCTTCTGTAAGCTAAAGGGCGTTAGCAAACACATTGTCTGCTAAACTAATGCCATTTAGTTATATTATTAATTGTGTTGACTCAACATTAAACTCATCAATATATCGATTTTTTTCTTCTAAAAAACAGACTGCGGCGGCTGCAATTTAAAGTTTGAGCATCCGCTCTACTATCGTACGCACTGTTCAGTTTTTCACGATCCGTCGATGAGCCTTACCATACGGAAATATCACTGCAAGGTATGCAGCGAGGTGGTTCTGGGCAAAGACAACATTATGAAGCATGCGGCCGAGAAACACGACGGCAAGGGGGCATACCAATGTCAGTTCTGCAACAAGTTCTTTCTCCCGGCTCAACTATCTAGAGATGCATCGCACCTATGGCTGTGCCTCGAATCCGAATCGTTCGAGGCCAGTTTGCGATTTCTGTGGTCGCAAATTCTGCCAGCCGCAGAAGCTGAAAGCGCATATTAAACGTGTCCACAGTGGTAAGTCGGGCAAGCCACACCCCCAACCCCAAACCTACCTATTCCCCCAACCCCACCTCGGCTCAATATAGATCGTAAATACCTGCGTAGATTTATGTATATTCTAAGCGTATGCAAGACTAGCAGCGCATATCATTAATCGCATATAGTATATCCGTCGTTGTAACTCTTCCCACATGCCTATAAGTAAGCTCACACACTATCAAATGTCATATGTCATATGTACTAATAGCGTAAAAATAACGTAACCCGCATCGCCGCAACTACTAACTGACCTTTCACGCACACACACACTCATCGGTATCAGTCATAGCTTGAACACAGATATGTTCATATGCATATACACCTAAGCCTACATCTCCATCACACACGCACACATACGCATCTATGATCGCTCATACTCATGCTTTTTATTTGAATGCCGATTGGTCAAAACCATTTTATGAACTTGGTTCTTTTGGTTTAACTTCTTTAGTTGACACATATTACGAAAGTTCATGCTATGTTCATGATACATTTATTCTAGTTACAGACATTTATTTACCCAATAGTTCTATAGATTAGGCTTATTGTTTAAAATGAGATGTGTAATTTGTCATTACGTCAAATGGTAAATACTGATTATTTTTACCATAAATATAGGATACTACGAAAATATCATACATATTAATTAGCACTCAATTTGATCAATGCTAAGTATTTAGTTGCCAGATAATAATAATGAATTTAAAATTATATAGAGATCTTTTTATTTGAGAGATATAAAACATTTTAGGAGCATATCATTTCTGGAACAATATGAGAAGCATACGTTGAGTTCGTAATTTGTATTAATTGATTGTAATTGATATTAATTCACTTTAAGATGCAGATTATACAACATGCAAAAACGTTGCAGCCGGGCGCTACCGACTGCATAATACTCATACACGGGCCAGCTCCTAAACTTTGGAGAATATGTTTATTTTCGATATGCCACACTCTTGAAACGTCTCTCTTAATACATTTCGGTAGATCAAAATCAGACCCATGAATATATATATGACGTTCACACATACAGACGGACAGACAGCTTGGCTTTTATTTTGTGAATGATAATAAAAATAACTTGTTCATGAGCTCTATCAAGTTTATAAGACTCAAAATTGATTTTGTCATCATGAAAAGGGATTACTTGACAGCTAAAAAGAAAATTTTGCAATTGTACGTAGCCGAGTACTAGTATTATAATATCTAAATGTGCTACAAGTGAACATCTAGGAAACATTTAGATTTGACGTAAAGGAAGAAATCATAAAGAGAAACATAGATCCGCATTAATAGAAAAACATTCGTAACATTCTCAAAACATTTGTAAACCGCACCATTATATAGTTGCCTTTAGTGAATGATTTGCTTTGTGTTTTGATTTGTGTTTGATATTTGGTCTTTGATCTTAAGTTTTTAGCAGTGATTGGACCAATCCATTGATATTGTTAAACAAGATTTGGTTTGTTCGATCTAGTGACTTATGCTTTTTGTGGTGTTATATAAATGGCTTACGTTTCGTAATTTGTGATTTTGTGTTTTGGTTAGTTGGGTTTGTCGATTTTCCTATAAATTCTATTTCTGTACTCACTAATTTTCTTTCAAAATCACCAACAATCCGAAAATTTCATTTTCTTCATACAATTTCATTTTAGATATGGCTGAAGTTTACGAGATTTTCAGTGTAAATTATGTTCAAAACTTCTAGGATCGCGTGCAGCATTGCAGCGCCATTCGAAGGAGGTGCACAGCCGCACTCAACAGTGGTCAGTTGTCCGCGCTGCCAGAAACTCTTCCAGAATCGCAGCAACTTAAAGATACACATGCTCACGCACTCGGGCGTGCGGCCTTTCAAGTGAGTATCTCTCTTCCAGCTATGTTATTTTTAACATACTTCAGAGAGCTTTAAAGTCACTCAATTTAGTTTCTTGTATTTGAGGTATTTTATATTTCATAACAATGAATTATCAAAATTCATATAAATATGGCTAGTGGACATTCATCTGAAATTCATCTGAATCCCATGTCGGCCAGAAGCTATTCAATTAAACGTGCTTCAATTGACTAAAGCAATTGGCTGAAGCACCGAACCCTTTGAAAGTGGGAGTTCAGGGTATAATGGATTTGTGAAAATGTATATCACAGGCAGAAGGAGGCGTGACAGAAAACCAGTCATCATTTCGTTAATCATAGAGCTACATTTTAAACGTGTTCTCGTACAAACCATATGTCGTACGAGCTTATCAGTTTCGATAGATCATCCCATTTAATGAGTATCGATAAAATCTAACATTTTGAACTTGCATGACTAGCAGAAAATGTATATTTGGATTTAGCATTTCTCCCCCTTCCCAAATTCTCCAAAAACCAAATACTAGAGACAAATACACATAAATGAATCTCAATATCACGCTCTGAATATGCAATTCCCCGTACACTGGTGGTGACTGGGGAAGAGACGAGGCCTAGAAGTCATCGAATATTCGTAGATATTATTTCAAAAGGATATTTGCTCACACGTTTATCAATTATTATTATGTATCTGCGAATAACTAGAATAAGTGAAGAAGCAGGATATATGTGAGTTCTAGTACTCTCTTATAGCATTGTGTGTTTAGGTAACGTTAGATAGATATTGTTAATGAAATCAGTTTAGCCACGACACACAGGAATTATGATTAAGCTGAGTCCTTGTTTTGATTTGGGTTCAAAAAATAATAATATATAGCTAAAGTAATCAAAAAAGGCAATTGTTGATATATTAAAAACAACTGATTGTCACTTACAGGTGCGCAGAACCGGAGTGCAATGCCGCCTTCACCACAAAGCAGTGCCTACAGTTCCATTATAAGAAGGTACACAACTACACGCAGGAGCAGATGCCGAAGATAGAGCGGAGTGTGGCCTATACCTTTGATGCCTATTCGGGCGGTATGAAGGTGGACTTTTTGGGTAAGCCAGTGGGGCAGACGCTGTTGGGTGCACCGCAAGCGCCACGCCCTAACGCTGCCGTCAATCTATAGGAAAAGCCAACTGTAACAATAGATGTGTTGTTAGCTGGACGTGCTACTTCATGTCTCTAGCTTCAAAAGTTGTAAAAGATATAACATTTCCAAATACAAATATTTCAAATTTCAAGTCTACAAACTACTACTAGCCAGACTCCTCACTTCGTAAAAATATATATCTGTAATTATGGACTGATTTATTCATTAATTGATTTTTGCTATCCATATTTACGAGAATGCGATTCCATTCGAAAAAGTTTATATAAACATATATATAAACATAGTACTTGTGCTTAATCCAATTGATCACGTGTCTTTTTCTACTTTAACAGGTACCCACCGAGAACCATCTAAATAGCGATAGTCCGATGAGCGCACATGTCGATGCGGATGCTCAACGCTTCGGTAGTGGTGGTGGTGGAGGCGGCGTCAGTGGGTCGAATGGTGCAGGCATTGGCGCAACCATGGACAACTTAGAGAACGAATTAAAGATGATGAAGAACCTGGGCAGCTTTCCCATGCAGATACCACCATTGCCAATGTTCCAAGGCACGTGCAATATATCGCCGAACGCCTCGACGCCCACCAACCCGCAGAGCAATCAGAACCAGAACGATGTAGATGTGGATGCCAGCAGCACGCCGCGTCCCCAACATCCAGATTCAGATGGCTTCTCGTCGTCGCACCACCGGACGCCGCCCTCGCCGCCGCCCATATCACCGGGTCGCGACTATGGCGGCATGTTTGGTGCCGGCAATGGTGCCGGTGGACCCGGCTCAAATAGCACGCCGGCAGGCAGCTCTAGCGGTGGTGGTGGGGCTCCAACGGCGGGCAACAATTTGTCCGCATCGTCTCCTCTACCGGCAGCGCTGCAGCCGCAGCGACGTAACGCCTCCAGCGTGGGCAGCACATATCCCGAGCACGAGCTCATTTCGCCCGCCTCCTCGCCAAGCATACCACGCTACAACTTCAACGGCGACATGATGCGTCACAAGCGCGCCGTCCAAGAACATGAGCAACAGGAGCGACGCCACAATATCTCGCGGCACAATCAAATGTCCAGCGACGAAGAGAACAGCATTATGCCACAGAACAGGTAAGTCTGGTAATCCAAGTGATCCATTCGATCCTCCAACTAATCACTCTTATCGAACAGCACTGGACAGGATATGCGTATGAAGTTCCCGCAATCACAGATCGATCTCATGTACTCCAAATATGAAAGCATGGCCAGCAATCTCAAGTACAATAGCCAGGAGCTTGACTCCCCGGCTGAGTATCGGCAGAGCAGCAATAGCAATGTGGCAAGTGCGGCAGCTGCCGCCGCAGCTGCTGCAAGCACTGCGAATGACATGTCCGATCTGCAGGGCCTGGACATGAGCTCGCGCTCGAATGCGTCGAGCAATTATCATCATAACTTCCAGCTGCCTAGCAGCCGTTACCATCACCACATCTACGATATACTCTCTGATCGGGAGCAGAATCAGCAGGCGCAGGTGCAGCAACAGACGCCGGCATCGGTAGTGCATCAACAAGAGCATGGCAGCCATGGTGGTCACAGCAGTCAGCTGGCCATGCAGCAGCATCAGTCGGCGGCTATGCACAACATGCTCAGTGAACAGTTGGGTGAGCAGGAGCACGACCAAACCACATCGGTGGATCTAAGTCGCACTGCCAACTATGTGGTGTCGTCGCCGCCGCAGCTGCCCTACAATCATCCCCATCATGATATGCTGCGCATGGCCTCCCTGGATCTAACACCCAATACGAGCAATATGACGGTGGGAAATAATCGCTCGTTTCTGTCTTCGCAGATGCAGCATCAGAGTCGCGAGAGCCTCGAACATCATCGCTTGCTCTCGACGGTCGAACAGCATCGCATATTGGCTGCCTCGAATGCTGCTGCGGATCAGCATAGGCTGCTCGTCGATCCCACGGCTCATCTACTAATGGAGCAAAACAATCGATTGCTGGGCACCACAGACCAGTCACGTCTTCTGGGCGAATCAGCGGCGGCAGCTGCACAGAATCGGCATATGGCCAGGAGCTTTGGTGCGTATCATCAGGTGGCATCCAGCAATTATCATCCGGGCGTACGGCCTCCACCGGTATTACCAACGGCCAATCATCATGCTTCCAATCCTTCTAATTATCATCCTTTTCCCGCTTACTACTAATTAGTGCCATCTATTGGCCGCCACAGACGAACCCAAAAAGCAGGCACAGATACACAATACTATGCTAGATACACAATACTTTGAATAAATTATTGCGAAATGACAGATGATATGCTAGGAACTAGATTATATATATATATAATCTTGCAGAAAGGCCTGCATATAGCTAACCGGGACTATGTGCAATTCAAATATATGATGTATAGAGTTATATATATAAACATAATTATCATAAATATACATATATACATATATGTCCCAGTAGAATCGTCTGGCAGCTATCTGTGCGCTTACTATCCACAAATCCTTGATTCTATAGTTCAATTTCAAGCGCAAATATATATGTGTATTTCGAACATAACAATTTTTGGTTCCTCGGTTCTATTCTATTTCTACTACTAAATCACAAGTAATCCATATAAGCTATACAAAAAAACCAATTAAAATATGTTGCATAACTTTCAGTTTTCTTAACTACTACTTACATTTTATGCGAACACTTCTTTCATTAAAATAAAATAAAATTATGGCAAAATATAAATAAACAAAAATCAACCATTAAGTGTGCCAATATGTTTAAGTGTAGATTACTTTTTTTCTCGCTAAAACTGGCAATATATATATATATATATATATATATATATATATATATATATAATATATATATAATATATATTTATATATATTATATAAATATATTTATTTATATATATATATATATATATATCTATATATCTATATATATATATATATATATATACATATAACGAATATATGATATATGATTTTGTAACAATAAAAACAATATGTATAGTTGTATATGTAAAAAAAATTAAAATTAATAAAAACAGTGCTAATTATAAAAATTATGATTTTTACGATTTGCCGTTGAGTTTGTATATAATAAAATTACATGAAATAAACATGCATTGCTATTTTTACACCATGAAAACCGAGAAAGAAAAATTTTAAACGAGTACAAACTGTTGAGCAAAAGTTGAGTGAAGGGGAAATTCAATAATAACAAATAAATATACGAATTAAGGAATCTATTAAGACACTTTTTTGGTAGCAAACCCCAACTATTCTCCAAAAACAAACTCAGAGATGAAACCAAATGGAAATGGAAATAAAGATGAAAATTGGACATGTAATGAATAATGAACAATGAGTAATGAATAATGAATACAAGTTAAATATAATTAGGTTAAACACTTTATAATTGACATATGCATAAATGTTATAATAACTAACAATAATAATACATATATATACTTTGACAGGAACTTAGCTCGAGCAACTTTTTACATTTAGCCATTTTTTTTTCTTCTGTATTTAAATATTTGGCAAATATTTGGCATATATATAAATGCTGATAAAAACAAATGATATTTACATGTGAAGTAATTAAATTATCGATTATTAATAAAAATGAAAATTATTTGAATGACAACAACTTCGTTCATCTTAATCCATTAAAAACACGAATGACTCCGACAGAACTACCAAAAAACGTCGATAGGTTTTGGAGTTAAAGATGCTTAATTACCCTTCTTCAAACCGATATAAAAGTGGCTTCTTCACCAAATGCAGAAATTTTCTTTGTTTCATGCAAAATGAAAAACCTGTTAATTATTAATTTAAAATATCTACGGCTACAAGAACTACTTATTGTTTAGATATTTTCTAAGTAAATTATATTACTATTCAAATTATACTACAATGACTTTTGTATTCTTATTTGTAGGTCATATACATATGTCTAAATTTGAATTTTCTGTATATGTATATTTTTATTTTATATATATATTTTAAATAATATGATGTTCATAGCTTTGGCATTTCCTTCCAAATTTTGTTGAACAAAATGCACAAGTTTTGTTTCCATATGCAGTGCACAGTTAACAGAGAGGCAACATCGCGAATTAACGAAACCATACGAAACGACATTATCAGCAAGCAAGCAACGCATTCTACTGACAAGAACGATAAAAGCTGGAGTCAAAAACGATTGCGATAACCAAGAACGATAGACCGCAAGCGAACGACATTTTTAAGATACCATTTGGGGGAGAGTGTGTGTGTGAGAGCGAAATAGAGAGTGTGTGAGAAAGAGAGAGAGAGAGAGATTGAGTGGGAAAAAACCACTGCGAGAGAGCGCGTGCGAGAGCACTATCATGACGAAATTGCTATTCAATGAATGAGATAGCAAATAGACAATTGTTGAGAGCACACCGAGCAAATACATATGACGCCGACCCCGGTGGAGATAGCAGCAGCGACGTCAACGCCGCTAAGAGAGCACAATAATAATGAACATAATGGGGCGGCGACGACAGCGCAGTCGTCGCTGTCACCACCCGATATTGGCAGCACGACAGTGGGCAGCGAAATGCTGATAATGACGCCAGAGCAAATTGCCGAGGCTTATGAAAAAACGGTTCAAGAAGAAGAGAAAAAGAGAGCAAAAGCCCAAGAGCGCCATTCGTTTTTTCATACACCCAATATTTGGAATGCGCCTACCGCCTTTCATGATGGACTCTTGCTGATATTCGGAAAAATTTTGAGATTCATTTTACATTTAGACATGCATGGGGGCACGACCGGTAACAACATCAATTTCGTCGGGGGTCTCATTGACTTTTTGGCCGGTTCATTGGGTGAGTTCTCAGGCCTCGCGGAAATTTTACTTATACGTAATAATATATTATTGAATTAAATTCTTATAGGTGGCGCCGCTCAGGTTTATGTCTCGCAACCATTAGATACTGTCAAGGTAAAACTGCAAACATTTCCAGAGACCTACAAAGGCATGCTGGATTGCTTTTTGAGTACCTACCGAAAAGATGGAGTTATGCGGGGTCTGTATGCCGGCTCTGTGCCGGCGGTATTTGCAAATGTGGCAGAAAACTCGGTACTCTTTGCTGCCTATGGTGGCTGCCAGAAGTTTGTTACCTATGTCGTTGACAAGGAATTAACAAGCGAATTGACAACCACGGAGAACGCATGTGCCGGATCATTAGCAGCATGCTTCTCCACGCTCACCCTCTGCCCCACCGAACTGATCAAATGCAAGCTACAGGCGCTGCGCGAAATGAAACACTTTGTGGAACCCACTCAGGCGGCGGACATTCGTACACCATGGACATTAACACGTTACATTTGGCGCACCGAAGGTGAGTGCTAAGAATTTTGATTATTTTTTAAGCTATGTTGATTAGATTAAACACATCGCTGTTTTTACTCTCCATTGCTTCATAATTCACATTTAATCGCGAGTACTGTAGACCCGCTGACAAAAAAAAAAAAAAATAGCAAAAAAATCAGCTGCACGCTTAGCTAGTTCGCCGTTTCGACGTTACCAGATTGATTCAATTATTTCGAATAATTTTGCTCTGCTCAATGAAATGAAATTATATTTAATAATAATTTGTACTGCAGCACAGATTGTCTACATTTAGCTTTACTATCTATTTTTGCTGATTTTTTTACCGGACTGTCTAGTCCGTATTTTAAAATATATATGCATAATCTACATTTATTGAATGGAAAGAAATGAAAAATGTAACTTAAGGTTCGAAATACTTTTTTATACGGCTCAACCGATTTATTGAAAGCCTATATACATATATGAATTAATATACTACCATAAAAGTCGTAAATTCATTTGCATGCACATATTTATTGATTGGGTCCATGAAAGACAAATATAATTTATGAATGAATACTCCTCTATGATCCATATCATCAATCAGATTTAAAGATATCTATAAATAAATAGCAAAGTAAATCAAATATTTTAGAATAATATTACTATAATAATACCAATATCCGTAATAGTTGGTATGTCCACTTCTTCTGGATAATGCTGCAATATAATGCTATTCGACTTATAAATATATAACATATGTATAATTAGTGCTTGTTATCAGTCAAGTGGAAATTTACAAATTCTTTTTGATTGATTGACAGAATGGGGCATAGTATACCAAAGAGTGAGTTCTCAGTTTGGAATCTGTTTCTTGTTTCCCATTGAAAATGGGAAATCAGGGTATTATGATTTTGTGACAATGTTTGTAACAGTTAGTAGGACGTGGCAGACCCCACAAAGTAAATATATTCTAGTTCAGGACGACGCACCCTTATCTATTATTTCACATAAATTATTTCGATAAACAGGTTCATGTAATGAATACAGAACATTGATTTTGGATACATACCTCCTTCCTGGAAAATGATCAGAAAACGTTAGCGCATACTAAAGACATGCTATAAGAAAAATTATTCAACAATTTATTTCCCATAGTGAAGTCCCTTCGAAGTCGCTGCATAAACTAACGGAATAAGCAGAGTGCTTGCTTATGCGTGCGTGCGCAGCTATTTTAGAGAATCGTAGAATGATGAGAATATTACCTTGTCAGGATATTTTCTAATTGGGTAGACCCAACTATTGCGCTCTTACTTGTTTTGCATATACATATACATTCATTTGTGGTTGGTACGCTAGTAGGTATAGATAAGAAACATCACGACCAGGGATGCTCCACGTGGATGTTAATATAAGTTTAGCTTATTAGCTTATTAATAGAGCAGTGACCTCACGTGCGAGACATTATTTGTTATTTTACAAACTTCGTCACACACTTGACAAAGTCAGTTATTACTCGTGCTCTCTCGCTGGCTACATCTCTTTTATTCTGTGTAATGTTCATTCTCTATCTCTCTCTGCCGGCAGGCATACGCGGCTTTTACCGGGGCTTGGGATCCACATTTGTGCGCGAAATGCCTGGATATTTCTTTTTCTTCGGCAGCTATGAAGGTACACGTGAGCTGCTGCGTAGGTGAGTACAGCATTAATGCATAGCACATTATATACAAAAAAATATATTTAAATTGATTTATAACTGACAGTAAGGATCAGACAAAAGATGAGATTGGTCCAGTTCGAACCATGGTTGCTGGGGCCATTGGCGGTGTATGTCTATGGACATCAACATTCCCAGCTGATGTTATTAAGAGTCGTATTCAGGTAAAAAACCTAAATGAGGGCATGTTCAGTGTCGGTGCAGATATTGTCAGACGCGAAGGTGTATTGGCATTATATCGTGGACTGTTGCCATCTATTCTGCGAACCATTCCAGCTACTGCCACCCTGTTCGTTGTCTACGAATATACTAAAAAGGCTCTACATGGGACAATAGCTCAATAACTTGCTGCAATCGTAACAGGCGTGGGCGTGACCGCGGGCGGTTATTACAAATTAGCCCATGTTTCTGTATTTCTATTATAAATATATCCACTACAATTTTGTTGTCTTTTTTATTATTACTTACTATTACTATAGTTATTCCTATGATTAGCATAACATAAATGATTTTCGATTATCAGGCCAGTCACATGTTGGTTGCCTGGCGAAGACGTCGTTTCAAGAAGTCTTGCCGATCCGCTGGTGTTTCCAGTGCGTTCCACTCGTGCCAAAGAATCTGTGAGTGAAGAAGTAAAGAAGACTTTTTGCAGAGAGTTTGGCATTTTAGTATGTTAAGAGCGTGTTAGATGTGTACCCATCTTTACATATTTTCTATTAAAAAATTATTAATTAAAAATTAAGTGTATGAGTTATTTTACTTTACATGAATGTAATCTTAATGAGTACGATCATATTTGGATGGAACTAGCCTAACAATTTTAAAAGAGCTGATAGTACTTACCACAACTGTCTTGTGCCCAAGCTGCTTCAGTTGTTTTAGCTTCAAAGCAAACTGTCCCGTGTATCGTTCCTTTTCGCGTATAACATTATTCCAGCCGGCGACCGTAATTATCAGTGTATCTATGTATGGCGCCTCCATGGAACCAAGCAAATGCTGCCGTGTGAGCAAGACTCCACTGTAGTCTTCCGGACAGTTGTCGACATTCAATGGCACAGGGCGCTGCTGTTGTCGATTATAGCATACGATCATATCGCAGCGATCGTAGTGGGGCAGAATATGCTTCAGACTAACTGTGGTGCGCAGCAGACTGCCTAGAGCATCGCGAATCTCCAACAGAACTCGATCTGTGCTATTGAGTTTAAAGCGGCCATCTGTGCGATCCGGTATATATTGTGTATACAGTTTACCCATTTGCTGACGTTGCCGATCGGTAAGCCGTGGTCCATCATACTCTGAGCCCAGTAGGTGGGCATAACTATCCAGGTGGAAGTATTCGCGACCTGGCAGACCATCACGGTAGGCGTGGCGTAGAAAGCGCGGCTCCAATACTACACTCAATTGCTCAATATCGTAAATGCCGCGCATGCTGAGAAACTGCAGGCAGTTGGTATAGCAGCGTGGGTAGCGCAAGATCTCATCAATGCGGCCACGCAGCATTTCCGGAAAACGTGTAGCTAGACGGCGTTCAACGCCACTAGCTGTGTTTATATTAAATAAAGCTATGACCAGACAAATGCGCTCCAAATCCTTAAGACGGGCCGCATCTAGTTCGCGTTCGAAACGTAGCAGAATGCGCTCCACAAGCTCATCATTGCATGTCTGCAGTTCGCAGCCGAGTAGTGCCATGTGCAAGCAAGTCAGCAGCGAGACGCGTTCTACTTGCGGTTGCAGCGCCACAAGTAGCTGGGTGAGTGCCGCTACATGTGGCAATTTACTACTGTAGCGCAATATCTTGAGCAGAGAAACTAGCGTAATGTTTTCGACGGTATCCAGCTCCGCTTCTAGGCGAGTGTAGAACTGCTGCAACAACTCGGTGCTGCGTATGGGCGTCTGTGTCTTGAAGAAGCCCATGGCCATGACTCCCAGCTCCTTTAGTGTCATTTGATGTATGCACTGCGTCAAATTTAGCTCAAAATCAAACATTTCAAATACGGGGCGACGCAGGAGATTGCACAAAAACATGGACTGCACCAATTGCTCTGGCGGCATTTTGCGTATCTTGCGGCCAAGTCTGCGTAGCGCGAGCCACACAAATTCACCAATGCGTGCAAGTCCGAGCTGGTACCAGGCATCGCTTACCAGTAATAATTGGGAGCTAGGCCAGCGTTCGATACGGCGACAACACTCGATGTCCAATGTGTTCCACAGCTCCATGTAGTTGGCCACCTTTGTGGACACTGGCGTCGGTAATTGTTGTAGGCAAAGCAGCGTACCCAGCAGTTGATCGTCGCTCAGCTTATGTAGCTCTGCGCAATAGATGGCTATAAAGTCAGAAAAACGATCGTCGCTAATTTGTATAGACGTGTGCGCACAGTATTGGACCAGAGCTTGGAAGTCCACATACAATTCAACTGGTTGTGCATTCTTTGAGGGCTCTAACACACGCATTGGCGCATCATTATGAGTATCAGTTGAAGTTGTTTTTAACCAATCGCTGGGGCGCACAATCTTATACGGCTTTAGAGAATCCGATAAAATGCTGTGTGCGTGCTGATTCTCAAACTCAACAAAAACCTTAGCATACAGCACGGGCATGCTGCGTATGTCACGATGTAGCAACAGGCGTGGCGATCTCTGTGCTACGACGAAGCTTCGCAACATGTGTCTTGCTATAAACAAGAACATATTATCAACTGTTTAATTCATCAATGCGGTATTTTTAATTATATTTTGTCCTTATATCAGAAAATTAAACAAACCAATCCCATTACAGGAACATCAGCTGAATTTGTTGATGCCAGACAATCCTGCGGCCTTTGGCTCAATACTGCCACTGATTATCGATATTTTGACAACGCTAACTATCGACGCTACAGTAACGATTATTCTTTTTATTGCACTCATTTTATAATTGATAAGATTTGTAAGTCCCTAAATTTTAATTAACTTTCATTTTCCTTACGAATCCTTAAAGTTAATTAGATGCGATATTTTTGTAGGAATTTTAATTGAAATAAATCTCAATATATTAATACAACTAAGTTTAAATATTTATGTATAGAGAGTGTTAAATGAGATGGCATAATGATAATTATTATAATGATGATGGTGAAGAGTTAAATTTTTTGCCAACTTTCTCAGTGCTTGTATTTAGTATTTGCATAACAATCAAATGTTTGCTTTTAACAAATCTGTGGAATGAAACACAGCAAACACAAAATGGCCTAAAAATGAAACCAGACTTGATTATACAACTCTAATTAGAATATGCATAGTGACGTTTAATTAGAATCAACAATGGTACTTTCCAGTTAGCAATGTTTTGTGTCACAACATCATAAAATGGGTCCGCATTCGAGCTTCTAAAGTTTCGATATCGAATTTGTATCGAACAACACTTTCATCGTAAACTTTCGTTTGACTAAAATTTTTGTTGCTCGCGGCTAGAAGAATATGTGAGTATGTATGTATGCGCCCGCTTGCGGCACAATCCATTTCAATAATAATAAAAGCAAAAGTTTAAAAACAATCGACGAATATGTAAAACAAAATATATATATATAAAAAATAGACAACAAATTTTGAAAAATCAACCGCTAAACGTAAACGAGGTTGGGCCGAGGCATGGGTAGAGAGGGGAACAGTTTGTGGCAGTTAGAAAGAGACGGCGTGAGGCAGAGGGCCGATTACGAAAAGAGGCTAACAAACTCCCCGCACCATGATGCTGGTAATGACATCGGTTTACAGTTTTTTCTTAATACACTCCCTTTTAAAAACATGGTAATGTCAGACGAATTTGAATAAATCATTTTTAGATATGAATTATTAAACAATAACAATAATATTGTTCTTCCCTTAATATCTTATCTTAATAATAATAATATATATATATATATACATATTATATGTTATGAAAGATTTAGGAATATATATATATATATACTCATATATATTCCTAAGTCTTTCATAACATATTAGCTTATAGAACGTGATATTAAAAAAAATGGTATATTATTTTAAAACTTTTGTCATTTTAATTTTTTAATAATTAATTTTATTGATATGTATGTAAAAAAGAGCGCATTTCATAGTCGACTCTTTGGAGTTGTTTTTAAAATTTTCCCGTTTGAGGTGAGTAGTCGCAGATGGTATATAAATTTTGAAAATGGAATGTAAAAGAGCGCATTTCATAGTCGACTCTTTGGAGTTGTTTTTAAAATTTTCCCGTTTGAGGTGAGCAGTCGCAGATGGTATATAAATTTTGACAATGGAAAGACCACAGTTTAAACCAATTTTGGCAATGCGCGCGGCAAACAGGTGACAGCGCGAAAGCAGAGTAGAACAGATCACACTGGACCTGACCAGACCATCCAGTTAAAGCAGATGTCCAAACGTAGTCTCATGTATTTCACGACAGGGCCAAATGAGATGTCAGCTTTACTGCTGCTTTTACTGGCGTTGCTACTGACGCCTCTGGTGGCCGCCTTTGGTAACGAGTATGTCCACATTAAGGTCCATGTGCCAAAGGATCAGGCACCGACCATTGCTGTCGATGCTGAGCAGGGACCCCAACACAACGTCATCCATCACTTTCACCACCATTCGCCATCACATCAAAGATTGCGCGGACGCGCTACTTTAAAGCCGAAAAGCAGCCCACTGCTAGAGAGTGTCATATTGTCCGATCTGGATAAGCCCCTGCACATGAGCGAGCATGCGGATTATCTGAACCATGCAAAAGAACTAGCCGAGCATCTCAGCGAATCCTACTCGATGAAGAAGATGCCGACACCGCCGAAGAAGAAGGTTAACACCTATACGATCATCGAGGAAAAGTATCGACCCTACGACTACGAGCGACCAGATCATGTCGTGGATACGTATCGCGTAATTGACAACAGACCGCAAAAGTATCATAAACATCATCATCACAAGCACTCACAACATCAGCCGGAGCACAACGCTGACGATGTGGGCTATCAGTATGCACCGCCAGCGCGTCAACATCGCCACAAGCCATCCTTTTCCTCATTGTATCATGGCGATGGATATGCGGAGCCGGCACCGGTCGACGAGCCATGGGATTTGGAGCAGGGCTACAACTATACGCCACCCAACTATGCGCACGTCAAGTCGGCTCAAGCGCCTGCCCACACATTGGAGGCGCCCGAGGAGTCCTCCCTGGACAGTCCATATCCATACGACTTTAGCAGCAGCAGCGACATCAGCGGCACCAACTTCCGTCCATCGCCTCAACTGTCTGCACAGGCGGATGCCTACGATGAAGACATAGATGCATATGCTGCTCCAATCCAATCACGTCGCCGTCACCCCGGCTTGGTGAATTGGCCAAGTCGCACAGCCTATAACAACGTTGCCGCTGAGACATACAGCGGCACCGATAGCTACAATGTTGGACACGTCCAGGGCGGTATCAACGAATACCAATATCCCGGGCCCTACCTCTAATCAGAATTGCTCTTAATATTAATCTAATGATAATTAATTGGATTCTTTTTTGTTTTAGCTAGTCTTAAGTTCGATCAAAAATTACTTTGAAATAAAGTATGTATGTATTAAAAATGCAAAATATTCAAAATATCACAGGAGCCTTAACTTACAATTTAAAACCTCCTACTTTTGTGGTATTCAAATTACGCTTCAAAACCAAATCGAATAATCGATTTATGCATTCTCTCCGAGTTCCATTTACATTGGGTTCATTGTAAATTGTATTTTGACCAGAGGGCTTTTGGGAATAATTTGTCCGACTACGATTTCAATTTAACTCTAGCGTATTCTATATTTGATACATTATTCAGACGTTTTAAAGTTTCAAGGTTTGCTGGAAAACAGAAAATGATATAAAACTTCATTTGAATTATTTTGCGAGTAAATGGGGAAAAATTATAGCATGCTAGAAAACTTTGCTATGCTATTTCCATTTAAGTCCGATTAAGGGATATATATTTCGTGTCAAATATGCTTTATTCTATGTCATTAATTATCATCATTATATATATATATATAAATATATATATATATATATATATATATATATATACATATATATATATATATATATATATGTGTGTATATACATATAACTTATTAATACTTTCAAATCATCATATAAATTATGAAAGATTAAATTTTTTATACATTAAATAAGTCAGAACCCTAATCTGCAATATATATATATATATATATATATATATATATATATATATATATATATATATATATATATATTTTTTTTATTTATTTGCAGGTTAGGGCTCTTACTTATTTAATATATAAAAAATTTAATCTTTCATAATTTATATGATTATTTGAAAGTATTATTAAGTTACTGTTGACCACAAATCGATATAAATTTAAATAAACATAATTCCCCTTCCCCTTCGCATCGCCTCTAGAGACGGGCCTAAAAACGTATTGTCCTCTCAATGGGGCGTCATAATGCCGAAAGTATAGGTATATTTCTAAAATGAAGTTTTTATTGGACCGCGAACAAGTATTATGCAGTCGGTAGCAACCGAGACCAATGCTTTACTTGTCTATTACTATTAAATGGTTGTCGTTGTATCAGACAAAAAATATACATATTTCTATATAAGTATACGTATATATATTTTTGTCAACCACTCTTCATTAAGCTATCTGCATAATTGAAAACGGCTATGAATATTACTGGAGTCTCCCTAGTCCTAACACATTGTCAAAGAGCAGTGAAGCATGTGGTTTGCTCGTTCTTACGCCACGTGTCCACGGCTGTTTAGAGATGTCCAGATGATAGGGTGGTCGCTGGTGGAGCTGAGGTTAAACGATGATAGGCTACCACATCGATCAGGTACTGCGCTTTCACCTGCGCTGTTATCAGCTGATAGGGATGCACGGGCTACCGCTGTCAAGCGATGTGTATCCGAGGCAAAAGTCAAAGCTACTGAATCTCTGGGCCGGATGCTTATTAACGGGGTTCAGTGGAGTGGTGTACATGTGCTTAACCAGCGACGATGACTTCCTCTACCAGGGCGACAATTTTAGCTACTTCAACGATGCCATGAAGTTTGGCTTTGCCGAAATGGCCATATTGAGTATCTACTGGGAGACACTTTCGTCGCAACGAGTTCACCTGGCGTGCTTTTGGCAGCTATATGAAGCTCTGGCAGCAACGTTCAAGGCAACACCATCAGTTCGAACCCTGCGGCAGCAGCTCCTGCAACACTGGCGCTTCCTTCTCATATTCTATGGCACGCTATTGTTGGAGCTGGCGCTGTTGTGCGTGTATGTGCTAATGCAGGAGATTTCGCGTCATCTTTTGCTCTTCTGGATCACCTTTCAACCGTTCGTCTTAGTGGTGCACCTGCGCAATACACAGTTCGTGCTTCATTTAGATCTATTGCGCCAGGAACTGCTGCAGCTGGAGTGCGAGCTGATACTGCTTGTCGAATATTCAGGCTTTGCCAAAGACTCAGCTAGCTTTGCTGGCTTCGACGAATACCTAAGACGTCGTGTGCGTGAGAAGCAGATGATTTATGAGCGCATCAACGAGCAGTGTACCTGCTTCACAAGGGGGTTTAGTTACTCCGTGCTTACCGTGCTGCTTATGATATACATTCGCATCACAGTCGATTGCTATTTTTTCTTGTATACCACATTTAATAACATTATTAACTTGGGTAAGTATCTTCTTTCTCCCTCTTTTTTATGTTCTTACTCTCTCTCTTTCGCTCTATCTTCTCATAGATTATTACCTATTGTTTCCCGCAATCCTTCAGATACCCATATTTCTCTATGCTTCACAGACCTGCATGCAAATAGTGCCCCGGATTGCATACCAGCTACACAATATTGTAACCGGCTGTTCGCCAGTTTCCTTGCAGGTGGTGGACTTATTTCTATATTGAGTCCTAGCATCCTAATTGCCAATTATTTTCACAGATCCAAAACTTTTCGCTACAAATCCTACATGAACCTGTGCGCATTGATTGTGTGGGTATAGTTATTCTAGACAATCATCTGCTAACACAGGTAAGAGGAACAGCAGCAACAGCCGAAACTTACAGCTAATCCAAACACGATTTCAGATTGCTTACGCCGTGTGCACCTATATGATCTTTACCGTGCAGCTGATGCCCAAGTTGAGTGGGGCCTATTTATAGTTTTTTTTGTATATCATATTAAAGCTTTATGTATATATTGTATATTCCATAAAATTATATCATTAATATCTTAAAACGAATGGGTATAAGCATCGTTCTGTGTATGTGTGTGTGTGTGTGTGGATATTTGTATGTTTCGAGCGTTGTATGTTACGCGAAGCGTCGTTTTGTATATACACGTGCAATGGTGTTGGGCGGGCACTTAACTTTATCTTAGAAGAGAAGAGAGAGAAAGAGGAAGGGGGTGGCTGTTGTTGTTGCAAGACTACAAAACTAAACACCACTTATCCCAACTTTACCAAATATCAATTTCTGAGCTCTTAGCAGGAGTTAGAATTCGCCTTGCCTAAGCTACGATTGCAATTAAGTTCGTATCTTATATATGCTATATATGTCCAAATATATACATATATTTGTATGCGTGTGTCTGTATATGCGTGTGTAGCTTTATCCAAGGATCTAATCGTATTCATGGCTTGATTCCCGCTTCGCAATCAGATTCTCGCGCTCATCATCGTTGCCTTCGATAATGGTTATGGTATTGGAATGGGCCGAGCGGCTGAGCGGTTTAACACGATGTAACGATGCAGTGATACCGGATTCGGTAACTACCTCCACATCGTCGTCTTCTTCGTCGTCTGGCACCGTGAAATATGGATGTGATGAGACTGGACGGAACTTATAGCCCGTAAGCACAAAGAACACATATGTGGCCATCTCTCGAAACATCTCATCCAGCCAGGCGTATTGAAAGACGACCGTCATCTGCAGCAAGTCCACAATAATGCGAGTAAAGTAAATATAGCAGACAATCATAATGTAGAACTGGCGAAAGAGTTTTAGCTTCCGTAGATTGATTGCCGCCTTGCCGTCTGTTGCGGACGCCTCATGCAAATGACGGATGGACCACACAATAGGAAACAGTATAGCACCACAGCAGAGCAAGTCCACAAAGAAGAAAATATTGTGCCAGGTACGAAATTCGGCATCGCTTTGATCAGATTCGTCCGTTATTATTTGTGCTACATTGGCAAGCACCTTTAGAAGAATTAATAACAAATTTGTAAAATTATAAGGTCCCACAACAATTATTAACCAACCTGGAGGGGAATGACAATCATGAAGATCTTCTTATCCTTGTCGGAGAGTATGTGCTTAATGAATGTCCAGCCGGTACCAATGAGGACAATAGTTATAAACAAGACGGCACCCTTCAGTAGATGCGCAATGTAGTAAAGTATGGCCCACGTTTCGACATGCTCACCACGTTTCTCAATAAAATGATAATTAATGGAATGGAACATAAGGGATAGCGACTTTAAGAATACAAGGACAGCCATTAGGTAGTGTATCTTGTAGACGGTATGCCTGAAATGGAATAAAACATTATGAATATAATAAATTTCTTATATTCAATGCACACCTACTTGCTCTTTTTTAATATGAATACCCAGAATAGGCCGGACAAAAAGAATAACAGACTCATCATAAAGTACAAAGCCGGCAGCGGCATTTCTCCAGCCGACAAATAGTTGCCATTGTTGTTCTCCTCTATGTCCACCTACAAAAAGGACCAATTAATTAGCTTATTGCGGCTGGACATGTCGCAAAAGTACTTACATTAAACGATAGCATCTTAGGGCGATGATAGTTGGGGCAGGCATGGAAGTACAAATTATATAATCCCTCATCATGCTGTGTAGCTACAAACATGGAGAACGTAAAGTTGTAATAGTTGGTACCGTCTATTGTTAGTTTTTTGAGGGGTAGAGTGAAATTTCTACATAGCTCCTCTTGTGATTGTCTGTAAAAGTTGAAATCGTAAAAGTCTAATACCGAGCCGCGGGAACGTTCACCAGGCATTGGTGACTGCACTTCAGCATCAGCATCACTGGAAATTTGCTTGTTGCTGCTACCAGTTGAAGTAGATACGGCAGCCACGGCACCATGCCCATCGATATTGACATCGCCATTTGTACCGGCTTCAGTTTGTAGTTCACGGTTTCCATTGGCTACGACGGCCTTAGGAATAGCGGGCGGAACACCTACAATGAATGATGCATTTGCCACTTCCTCTACCTTTGGTTTCGAAACAGAAATCTTTTTGGGCTCAAGCCTTGCAGGGACTGCTTTTAGATTTATTACGTCAGCCACGTCCTCTTTAGGTGCTCCTTCAATTTTACCGGTCACAATGGGCGACGACAACTTTGGCTGCTCGATAATTTCCTTTGCATTAGCCTCTGCTGCATCCATCTCTGATTGCATGGGCTCCTCAACCGAATGATCATTCATGCTATCAACAGCTTCCTCAGAATCTATTGGCATTACACTCCGACGTCGACGCTTCTGCATGAACAATGCAGAGTCGCTCACTTTAGCCATATGTGAATTGCGCTTGTGACGGGACATCACATCCTTGTAGACGTGTTTGTTTACCCATTCCGGGGAACAATGTACATGTACTCTGAAAGAATGTAACTATAAATAAGGTCATTCGATAGACTCAATTAGCAAGTTACTTAAGCTCTTTTATATCAAGCAAAAAAAAAAGTATTGGGCCCCTTTTTTGTTTGGACGGCGGCTCTTCTAGTATGCAGTTGTTCTGATGCGAATCCAAGTATGGATTAAGTTGATCAATAGTTGTTTTATCCAGCGTTAGACCAAACTATAATCCCAAAAAAAATACATATATGTGCGTTAAAAAATATTGTCCTATACAAGCAATTATTTTATTATGCCCACCAAATCAGTTGACTGCTCATCATCCACGGTTAGCTGACTTAGCTGGACGTTTAAATGTCCGTTTGTGTAAAAGCCAAAGGTGCTCAAAGCAATATACGGACGCATATCGTTCTGCAAAAACAAGGAAACATATATAGATACATGCATATATTTACGCAGATATATCAAATGAAGGATCCTATCAGTTAATAGGATACCGATTTCAATTACTTACGCGAACTTCCAAGTGATGTTTACGCGATTTAACCACATTTGGTGCAATGAGTAACACCGCGATTAGTGTAAAAAATATTGATTTAATATTTAATATATGCCCTGACGATATCGCATGCATTTTCTTGCTCTTGTTTATTTTGTAGCCGTGTGGGCCTTTTTGCACTAATCGAAACCGATATGGGTATGCAATGTAGCAGTTGGAAATAGATTTTCCGTTGATTTTAATTAATTAGCTTCGATTTGTTAAGCTTTCGGCCGTTGCCGTTGCTATTACAATCACAATTGTCCACAAGTAAACGATATCTTTAATTCCGTGTTTGTCGTCTTGTTGCGCACAATAAAAACTTACAGGTAGTACTTTAGATATGCTAGTGATGCGAAAAATATTTCTCGATTAATCGATAGTTGAATACAATACATCGATAATAATTCCTTTTATGTAGCGAATATATATTTAAGACATGAATCAAACGAGAATGTCAGATAAATGATTTCCTTTAATGAATATTTTAAATACAAATGACAAAAAAGTTAGTAACTGATATTAACTTGAAATTTGAAGCATATTTAATGGGCAGTTATTTACGAGAGTTCAATCCTGGTTTTGAAATCAACGCCAATTGAAACGACTGAATGATAAAGCAGCTACTTTTTTGTTTTTGACATAGAAAGGACAGAAAAATATATGTTTTTCCCCTGAAATGCAATAAAACATTATGAATAAAATAAAAACCGTATATTCACTGTGCGCTCACTTGCTCTTTTTCAGTATGAACCCCCAGAATAGACCAGACAAAAAGAATAACAGACTTATCATAAAGAACAAAGCCGGCAGCGGCATTTCTCCAGCCGACAAATAGTTGCCATTGTTGTTCTTCTCTATGTCCACCTACAAAAAGGACCAATTAATTTGCTTATTGCGGCTGGACATGTCGCAAAAGTACTTACATTAAACGATAGCATCTTAGGGCGATGATAGTTGGGGTAGGCATGGAAGTACAAATTATATAATCCCTCATCATGCTGTGTAGCTACAAACATGGAGAACGTAAAGTTGTAATAGTTGGTACCGTCTATTGTTAGTTTTTTAAGGGGTAGAGTGAAATTTCTACATAGCTCCTCTTGTGATTGTCTGTAAAAGTTGAAATCGTAAAAGTCTAATACCGAGCCGCGGGAACGTTCACCAGGCATTGGTGACTGCACTTCAGCATCAGCATCACTGGAAATTTGCTTGTTGCTGCTACCAGTTGAAGTAGATACGGCAGCCACGGCACCATGCCCATCGATATTGACATCACCATTGGCACTGGATTCAGATTAGGAATAGCGGACTTAGGAATAGCGGACGGAACACCTACAATGGATGATACACTTGCCACTTCCTCCACCTTTGGTTTCGAAACAGAAATCTTTTTGAGCTTAAACTTTGCAAGCCCTGCTTTAATCTTTATTATGTCAGCCACGTCCAACTTTGGCTGCTCGATATTTTCATTTGCTTTAGTCTCTACTGCATCCATCTCTGATTACATAGGCTCTTCAACCGAATAATCATCCATGTTACCAACAGCTTGCTCAGAATCTATTGGCATTACACCCCGACGTCGACGCTTCTGAATGAACAATGCAGAGTCGCTCACTTTAGCCATATGTGAATTGCGCTTGTGACGGGACATCACATCCTAGTAGACGTGTTTGTTTACCCATTCCGGGGAACAATGTACACGTACTCTGAAAGAATGTTTCTATAAATAAAAGGTTATTTGATATACTCAATCAGGAAGTTACTTAAGCTCTTTTATATCAAGCAGAAAAAAAGTATTGGGTCACTTCTTCGTTTGGACGGCGCCAATATAGGGACGCATATCATATCGTTCTGCAAAGACAAGGAAACATATATAGATATATGCATATATTTACGCAGATATATCAAATGAAGGATCCTATCAGTTAATAGGATACCAATTTCAATTACTTACGCAAACTTCCAAGTGATGTTTACGCGATATAACCACATTTGGGGCAATGAGTAACACCGCGATTAGTGTAAAAAATATGGATTTAATATTTAATGTATGCGCTGACGATAAAGCATGCATTTTTCTTTCTCTTGTTTATTTTGTATACATGCAGCACGTTTTGCACCTAACGTTTAGCTAAGCTTTTGGCCGTTCCAGTTGCTGTTCCCATCACAATTGTCCACGGGTAAACGAAATCTTAAATTCCGCGTTCGTCATCTTGAGCGAAACTTACAGGTAGTATATTAGAATGCTTATGATATGTATGTTAGAAATGCTTGTGATGCGAAACATATTTGTCGATAGTCATTAGTCGATATTATTTTTTGAGCGCTACTATCACAAATTCTTATTTGACTTAGTCGATATATTGTATATCGATAATAATTTCTTTTATGTAATGAAAATATATTTGACATTAATCAAACCAGAATTTCAGTTAAATGATTTATTTAATTACTAATTTAAAATAAAAATGACAAAAAGCTTAATAACTCAAATTGACTTGAAACTTGAAGCATAATGGGCAGTTATGGGAGAGTCCAATCCTTATTTTAAATAAGGCAGCTAAATTCAGTCATTATACAAAATGGAATAACTGAATAACTTCTGTTTTGTTTTTGACATAGAAAGGACATTCAGATATGTTAAATAAATCTACTATTATAATTGTAATATACACATTCATGTATTTGTTTTTTTTTTAATTAAAAAAGACGAAAAAAGACAATCACAAATAAGAAATCTAGTAGCTACAGCTAATAATAATCACGATAATTATAGAATATTTATTCCATATAACACATGCGAGACTGTGCTTCGGCCGGGTCACAACGAAAATGTAGCCCATGCTCGCGAACGCTGGGCTTAAGCTTCGCAGTGGCAAGTGTTGCAGTTGCCGCAATCTTTTTACCTCGAAATGTGGCAGTCTCAAATGAAGGTGGCGGTGTCACTTTAGTTGGATTCGTGAGTTTGACTTTCAGTGTCTTATGCACTTCTTTATTTTTGATATTTGTGCTAAGCCAGGCAAATGTTGTAGGCTCGGTCACGTCCAGCGGTTTGACCTCTGTAACCAGCGTCAAAGATTTTTGCTTCTTCTTATAGTACATTATCTCAATGGCGAGCGTAATCATTGCCAGAATAAGGCCAAACAAGGTGGCAATGAAAACACCGCCCAAGCTTTGTAGAGTGATGCCTTCCTGATCATCAGAAAGTGGACATTGGCGCAAATTTGATTGATTCCAGTATTTGCCTTTGAGATCTTCGAAAAAGCGTTCCTTCTGCAGCTCCAAAATCGCATAGCTCAGCTCATCCTGCTCAAGAAATTGAGAAAAGATAAACTAATGTGGAAATGTTTTAATACTTACGCCCAGATGGCTGCCCTGTTGCACGGCAACAGCATAGGGTTGTTCGGCAAAGACCTCGCCTACTTCTGTCAGATTGCAGTTTCTGGTCACCTCATACTTGATCTCGGCGGAATCATGTATGAATGCATAATCCGCATTGCCATGTGAATCAACATTTTTAAATCCCTCGGTCGCATTTGCAACAGGCAACGAGCTATTTATGGCCAGCAAAATATGACCGAACTGCTCCTTAATGGGATAGTCCCAAATCCGGAACTTTCGAAAATCTTTGGATGCATTTAGAGCCAGCTCTTTCCACATGCGATATAACGTATCCTCAGCGAACTTCATATTCACAAAATACTGATGCGTGTCCGAGTCCTTCACCACCGTATAATTAATGCGTGATTGTCGCGCCAGCTGCTCTAGTGACTGTACAGGGGTCTGCATGCGTTCCACCGTGAGGAACGCAGCCAAATTAGCCGTAAAAGTGGCCAGCATGAGTACAACGAACAACCAATACGCAGCGACCAATAGGCGTCCCGAAACGGCTTTGGGTGCCTCGCCGCCGCCTTGCGGTGTGAATGAAGTCAAAGCGAACCAGAAACTTTCGCGAAGCGTAAATTCTCGGCACTCGTATGGATAGGCAACGCGATTGTTTCGCGAACTATACGGTGAATATTTATCCATGAACCAGATCATCAACGCTGTGCCAACCAGGGCAGCAACGATGCTTAGCCACACTTCGAGCCGCAGCACCGTCATGAACTTGAAGAGTGAGGTACGGCGCATCGGTTTTCGCATCACTATGGAGATACCAGTTTGCTCGTAGTATGGGGGCAGAAAGTCAACAACTTCCTCGCGTTCCGAGTACATCTTGAGCGCAGCAATGGCTAAGTCTGTCTCGCCATTTACCAAATCGCCAATGACGCCATCCCACTCGCCCCGCGCATTGCGCTCACCCATATGTCCCCGCTTGGGAGCCACAATTTCGTAGTCGAATTTGAGCTTCTCCGCCAACCGTCTTATAAAATCGATGCAGTACCCCTCCCAGATCAGAGCACCGCTTTTGGTGCGAATCAGCTCTCCGGTGTTCGGATTGCGGCGATAATAGCTCCACGGTACGCTTTCAGCGGTGCCGATTCGAAAAAAACGTTTAGTTGGACTAATTGTCTCATTGAGCAGCTTCAAACCGCCTGATGCCCACATGGCCAGATCCGTTTTGGCCTCATGCTCGCTGGAATAGTAACCTGCCGAAATGTTGGCCACAAAGCTCAAATATGGCACTGACTCCTCATCGGTCCTCTCAGTCAGCGATTCGGTGTTATAGGGATCCTCGCTGGCCTGCATATACTCCACAAAGTTGCTCCAGTGTACGTTCTCCAGCCACATGCTTTTGTCCGCACCTGCGCTATTTGCCTCAGCACTTCTGTTGCAATCCAGGTAGACAGGCTCTGGAAACTCTGGACTCAGCTGCGCTGAATCAATTAGACTCTTTAGCACACTTAAAATCAAAGCGCGATGTAACTGCAAAGATGTAATTGATAATAAGTCTTCAAGTACAACTCAAGTAGAACTTTAAGTTGATACCAATAAGAAATTAACATTAGACTGTGGTAAATATTCGCTCCCTCTCTCTCTCTCTCTTTTGGTCATGAAAATGTATATAAAAAGCAATTTCTACGCTTCTATTTTAAGAAAAATCTTAGACTCAGACTTTCACAATAGAGAAAAGTTTTTTTTATTCTATAAATATGGCTGTGTAGATTAAATATTTACAAATATTTCTATATTTAATTTCAATTATATGTGAAAAAATGGGATTGGTAATAGTCAATACTGCTAGTCATACATACAGTTAAAGTAACTTCGGTTTTTCAAGTAACAATAAAATGGAAATACTTGAATTAATGCTTACCGTGAATCCGCTGCCACAATATAGATCTCGCATCTGCATTGATCGACAGATGGCGCGTGCGTTCAAGGTGAAGCGAGTAGCAAACTCCACCTGTTGCTTGTACTTGAAAACACGATCTCTGGTATCGAGAAAAACCAAATGCCATTCGGTGGGTCGCTGAAAAAGCTTGCCCTTATTTACCTGTAATGATTTTTAGCATTTGCGAATTGTTTGTACACTGCCTTCGATTTTACTCACGCGCTCAAAGATGCCATTCATGGCAGAGCCGCGTGCAAATATAGCATAGTAATTAGGCACGGGTCGTAGCCGATAAAGACGCTCAACAAAATCCTCCGATTGCTTATCATTAGCATCCAGAATGAGAGTACGAAATGGATAACCAGTCATTAGTTGTTTCATTGCCTCAGTAGTGTCGCGAGCACTTTGAAAGATCATGGCCACATTATTAGCCCGCTTCTGGCGCATAAAGTCGGCAAACATGTTTAGAAAGGGTCGCATTACCCTGTCAAGGCGCACATAAGCAATGCCATGCGTACGAGCTACTTCGTAGCCCCACGACCAGCGATTGTAGCTAAGATCGATGATAATCGAGCTGCCCACGCTGCCGAGAATCTCGCAAACTACGCTAGTCCCAATGGGGATAATATGGTTGAAAAGTGGAATTTAGGTAGGCGGTTCACTTACAGCTATCTATGTCCTGCTGTTCGTCGGTGCGAACTAATTGCAGCACCGCATCACTGATCCTCGTATTCAATTGCAATCCTTCCAACTCCTTTAAGACAGCTGCAATATCCGTTTCAAATTCTGCTCGCTGCACTGGGTCGATCCAGAAGGCTGCCAAGAGACGAGATAAGAATTGTTAGGTTCGTCCAAATTAAAATATTCAAATATGCATTCAAGAAGCTTGCATACTTATCTTAAGCTCGTTAGCACTGGCCAGGCTTATGCCAATGCACAGCCAGAGTCTTAGAATATTCGAGCGATCCATTCCAACCGTCAACTGTAAATGCTGACTGCAAATTGACTGATTGCCAGAAAGCCAGAGTCCTATCCAATTGACTTGTAACAAATTCGTGGCCTTCATATAATTGTGCATAATTTGCGCACATCAATTGGACAACTGTCATGGCAATATACATTTTAAAATAGCTCTCACTCCAGTTGTCCAGTTGTCAATTCACAAAATCGAATTAAATTTAAATTCTATCGCCCAGGACATGTTTGTCTTATTGTACAATATAAAATTATATAACATACTTAAAGCTAACGATTAAAGGAGCTTTTAGTTCAAACTTATGCTACTTAAATATACTCTGGATCCCAATACTCTTTATCCTATTACCTTCGTCAGATAATTTAACAAATCCCTACTAACAATCTCAATTGGCTCACTATAAACAGTTTACAACCATACCATAGATGGAAGCATCCAAAAGAAAACTTACAGTAGTGAAAAACTGAATATTGCATATATGTATATGCTTCATTTGAATTTGTCATGTATATACTCGTTATCTTGTCCGAACCAACTGCATGTTCCTATGAGCACAAGCCACTTTGCCGCTATTTAAGCCATAAGTGTCGAATTGGGAATTTTTGCTCGTGTTACACTCGTCATATAAATTGGCTTTTTATTTGTAATGTCATGTCATGTCATGTCCGTATATGTTTCCATCAGTGTAAACGCACAGACCTCGTCAATCACAAAAGGTAGAACGATTAAAATACCACAGCCTCAACTAGAGCGGTCTTTCTTCTTTTTAATATGTAATCTATAGCTGACAAAAAGTTATAAAAACCATTATACCCTGATTTCCCATTTTCAATGGGATCGGGGTATAAAGAGCCGTGCGTCGTCTGGTGGTGAACTCACAACTTCTCGCGCATCACCTCTACCAACACCGCTACATCAAATAAAACTAAAGTAGTGGCAGACTATTCAAACACAATATATTTATGTGTACATATGTAAGTTAAAAATGAATACGGTTGTCGCTGAATGCAAATCTAGTCTTCCTAATGCCTAATGAAGACCATATGCCTCCTTCAATCTGTTGTATAAATTTTAACAAAATCCTTATACACTGATTTCCCATTTTCAATGTGTTCAGGGTATAAAAACAAAAGGTAAGCATCAATTTCAAGCTATACATTTTTCCAGAATTTTTAGCTATTACCAAGTTACTATTGGAAATTTCACTGTATAAAATTAAATATGAGGGCTGCTTAATTAGTAGAGCCGATAATTTATTAAACTTAAGCTTCAACGAGCATACGCTCCGAACAATACGTGAGTACAACATACATAAATCTTGGTTATTAATAATCAAGATCATTTAAATTTTATCTAATGCGAACGTTAATAAAAAGAAAAAAAATTTAATTGATATATTTATTTTTTATATATATTCCATATAGAAGCCGCTCGTATTATGTTCCATGTAGGTGCGATAGTATAGATTCAATATCCTCGATCTGAACACCAGCATCGTGCCCCTCCATCTGCTGTTCCTCACTTGAATTAGCTGTCAATAGCGTGTTACTGCATAAGTCATTAAAGAAGAGTATGATTAAAGCTGGGATAGAATATACTGGCAATATAAGCCTTGGCAGAAAAAATGAGTATTGCATACGAATGCCCTGCAACACAGTTGCTATCTCGCTTTATACACTGTTACGATCTTGCATATATTAGAACTCATTATAAATAATATAATAGATATATTTGCATATATAATATTATATAAACCTACCACAAGATTTTCAAGTGAAGAAAAGGAACCAATTGCAAATATAAATTAATTTTCCTTCGATTCTACACATTACGATGCATTAGTACGATGCTAATAAGAGGTTTGTCATATGTTAAGAGATATCTTAGAACTATTAAACCAAAATTAATATAAACAGAGATGTCAATGGGCAAAACTAGCGTGACATAACTTTGTATCTATAAATAATTATGCAAAAATTTTCATTGCTCTTCAATGTTTTCGAATTGAAAACCAAATTGTTATTCTTTGATTTCCATAACTTTATCGCAATTGAAACCAATAACGATAAATTAATGATAAGCAATACTCGTATCCTTGACCTAAACTATGCCATCCTATAGCGCAGATAATCGATTCGATTTGCAGTTATTTGTAGAGGTATCGCGATTATCATATTAGATTAAGATTGGACTTACATGGAGGCCACTTCTATGTCGTTTTCATCGTGCTCCTCGTTCTGTGTATTTCTTGCTAATGGTGTAGATGACGCCATAGGCATGTCTTGAGTCGCTGCCAGCGCATGGCTGCTACCTCCACTGGTGAAACGAATGATGCGTTTTTTGGGTATGTTTCGTATGCCAGTGGGATTCGCATTGTCCTCGGCACTGGCGCCCAGTGACTGATGAAGCAACAGTGGACTCGTTATGCGAACGTTATGTAACTCACTGTCCACCATGATGCGCATTTGAAAATTCTTGAAGAACGCGGGCGGCTGGCGGAGCACACGATGCACCGCTTTGCTGCCGCTGTCGGCATAGGCAAAGCTAAATGTGTTGATCACATGACTGGTGCTCAGGCACATGTCTAGATCGTAGTCGCCACTGGTAACTGGACCTGTGCTCGATATTGGCGGGTGCTTCCGGGGCTGCAGTTGTTCCGGTGACTGATGCGTTGTGTGCGCCTCGGCCAGCATGGCCAATGCCATCGCTGCAGTCTCAATTCGCGCCTCAGCCCGTTTCTTAGCTGGTTTTTTTGTTATTTTATTATTGCTTGATAGCTTGACTGGTTTAGCTACCTCACTACCGCTCGACTGTGGTTCTTCAAGCGCAGGAGCTACGCAAAAAAATGCATATTATCAATATTCGGTATTCTTCGGCAAAAATGTAAATAAGCTACTTACTTTTATTGTCAATTAGTCGGGAGGAGCGTCGCATGCATCCGCGCGATGGCTCAATATTTGGTGGCTTCTTAGGCCGACCACGTCGTTGACGTGTGGTCAACGAGGGAGCAGGCTGAGCTGCAATATGTACAGCGGCACGTCCCAACTTGTTGTGCTGCTGGTGCTGCTTTTTGGCGCTAAGATTCAATGCGGACAGCAGGGCCGGATCAAGATTACTGCTAGATGGTTCTGGCTTTTCCAAATTGGTTCGAATTGCTTCACAGGACGCTTGCTTCGGTTTCACTGGTTTGCTTGGCGGCGCGCCCTGATTCTTTACCGATGTAATTGCACTGGTAACTTTTGTTTTTTTCTCCGTTTTTGCACTTCCACACTCCTTTTTAGGTGATTTGTTTGCGTGATTGATATTGGGATTCGCTTGCTTGGCAGTTTCGCGCATTGCTGTCAGTTTTTGGTTGACTTTTTTGGGTCGCCCTTTTGGCGTTGTTTCCTGTTTAAACTTTGCCTTCACGCGCTCACGCACCTCGGCTAGATCCACTATACGCTGCTCAATGGACTCCACTCGTGAGCTAACTATTTCTACCGCTTTAACATTCTGCACTAATTTTATAGGTACTAAAGCAGGAGGAGCCATTTCGCCACTTGTGTCGGCATCCGCAGCAGCAACAGATGTCGTAGCGGCTTCTTTGCTTGGTGTCAACCAGCTGCGTAGGGGATAACGCACCTCGCCATCCTGGCTAACAAGTTGCGCTGGCTCGCTGTCAATCGTGAGCGGTGGAGCATCCAGTGAGCCACATGCAGCAGCCACCTTTAGCCATTCCTCGTCCTCAGTGCTGCTAATATCAGAGAGATTGTCCAATTCTAATAGTTTTATCCTTTGCGCAGGCATCACAGCGGTAGTCAAGTGGCCGGATTTTGGTGAAGAGGCGGATGTATTGTTGGTGCTGCTGTTACTACTGCTGCCACTGCTGGATGAGCTAGAGCTGCTGGAGGACGTAGAGCTGCTGCCACTTGAACTGCTACTGGAATGATCTATGATGGTATCAGGCAGTCCTGCCACCAATTTATAATGTGGGGTCTCCACCAATAACGACGACGATTCCCCATTACCAGTCAAAGCTGCGGCTCCCTCGACACTGTCCACTGCTTCGCTGCCAAATGAGCGGACGCGACGTAGCATCATCGGCTCGACAGGCAACCGCTCAGCGTACAGCTCAAAGCAAGTTGTGGTCTGCTTGGGTATCTGCTCGACAAGGTCTCTGGGGGACGTGGATGGCAGGGCGCACTGTGCATTTGTGTCCGTATGTTCGGCCTCATCTGGACGATAATAGGAACTGCCGCCGGAGTAGTCCGTTTTTGCCGCACTGCTGTGCGGCGTGCCCAGTGCATGACCAAAAGGTGTCGTTAGGCGCATGCCTGGCGTAACGGCCGTCAGCATGGGCGTATCTAGTATGCTCTTTGTATCGCTGCCAAACAGAAACGAAGTAGACGGCACCAGTTTAGCATAGGGCGTATCCATCAATGTCGGCCCTGGTGTGGGCGGTACATCACTATCGGCTTCTGTTAGTGTCACTTTAAACGGTGTCTCCAAAAGAGCCGCCATGTTGGCCATATTACGATCAACTGGTTTGTCTTTTATATCCATTTTTCCAGCCTCAGCTTGCTGTGTGGTATGTTGTACCTGCTTCACAGGCTCGTGCTTATGTTCCTGATCTGACTTGATAATTTCATTAAATGGCTTATTATCTTTCATCTTCTTGGACTCCTTGGGCTTCTTGATTTCATTCGCTTCTTTAACATCCTGGCTTCCAACTTTCGGTTTTAATGGCGACTTCTGTGGCGTTGTTATCTTTACAATTAACTCGCCTTCGACATTGTTACTGCTCAACTGCTGCTGCTGTTTCTTCTGCTTTTGGCTTCTCTTCTTCGCGGTGAGCGGTGCAAATGGCGAGGATAGGGAGAGAGCTTTCTTTTTGTTGGCCGCTACAGGTCTAATTCGACGCACACGCGTTTTATTTAGGAACACCTCTTGGCGCTTGGCGTTGATCTCGCGTAAACGCAACTCTAAGTCCATGCTAGTGCTATTCATCTGACGCTGCCAAGCGGCCAACAGATCCTCCTTCTCTTCATTCAGTTCGGTCTTCTGTTCAGTCACCTTTGGCTGCTGTGTTGTTGGCAACTTTTGATTCTCTTTGCTGTCATCTAATGAACTAGAAGCCCCCTTCTCCCCATGGTGCTGCTCACTCGGATCGTCCTGTACTGTCACCTGCGAAATGATGCGTTTACATGCGTTGGCCGCAGCTCGACGCTTTTGCATACGCTTGGGCGTGGCCACCATTGGGACAGAAGACTTAGTAGCCTGCTTCAAATGCTTGGCTGCTGTGACTGCTTTAATTACCGTCTGGTTGCTGCATTCCTCCATGGCAAAGAGCGGCGGCACGCAACCATTGCTTTCATTGCCACTCATATCGGCAGGTGTTGTTTCAGATGTAGCAGCATTTGCCGATGCAACTGCGTCTGCTTCAGATGCGGTCGTAGTTAGTGTGGCGGAGGGCGTCCTACTAAAACTTGGTAGAATCTCAACATTTTTTATGATTACTATCTTCTCTGGCTGTACAACATTTTCATCTAACTCATCAGCAATTTTCTCCTTGAGTGTTTTGAGCACCGTTCGCCTCTGAGTTTGTTGCTTTTGCTGTAGACGCCGCATGGATAATGGCGCACCATGCATATTTGTGATTCCTTTTGGCGAGAAATTAAGTGTTCGTACATGTGAGGTGCGCTTGCGAGGTGTCGAAAGACTGCGAAATGCCTTATCATTCACAATGCCTGACGTGGAAGGCGTCATGCGTTCCTGCACCAGACGCGACGAATCTAGCGAGGCGGGTACAGCACTGGTGTTGGACACTTTACTGGCAGAGCGCTCGAGCAGCGTCGTATTGCCAGTCATTGTCTTTGCCAGATCCGCAATTAGTTGCGTTGGTGGCTCTACTGATGGCCCCTCCACTGTCGCCTGTAGCTGTTTGGCAGCGCTGTTAATGATTATCGAATTGGGTGGGAGCTGATTGGCTGCAACCGTAATTGGTTCAGGCAGAGGTATTTCAATATGAGAGACGTCCATGTTGGTGAAAGCATCGGAGCGTAGCTGCTGCGCCAGCCACTCATTGTTCACCAAAAATGGCAAATGTGAGAGCAGCCCCTCATTAGATAGAAACATGGGAAACGTTAGCTGGCCATTGGTTGCGTCCACGCACACCTGGCCGCCGCCAACAGCAGCGACATTGGCAACAGCATCTGCATCTGCCAAAGTTGAACCATTATCGGTTAAATTGATGAGATTTTCGCTGCCAAAGCTTAGATTTGCAGTCGACTGCTGCTGCTGCTTCAATGCGCTCTCATTCGAGTTGAGCACTATAAGCTTGGATATGCTGAAATTGGGATCAATCAGCGTACCAATCGAGCTATTCCCATTCAACTGAATGATGGCATTGCCGCCATTCACCATATTGATATCTCCATTAGCGTTGACAGATGCCGCAGCCGCATTAGCTGACGCTACCGCTGTGCGAATTATGAGTGGTGTTTGAGGCGGTGCAGGCTCCACTTCAGTCGCTGCAGTTGCCATCGCTGCTCCTACTGTTGCTGGTATGGGCTCATTTGATGTTGTATTCATTCCTACTACTTCTTGAATAACGCGATCAAATGATGGATCCTTCTCAGTTGCCTCTAATATATTTCTTACTAGACCATCTAGCACCGCCTCCGAGTTTACAGACTCTGCCGTTGGTGCATGCACCGTCAGCGATTGCAGAGCCATGTTAATATTGTTCAGTAGCTTATTCTGAAATTCGCGATTGGTCATGATGGCGTGCGTTATTTCCTAAAATTTTTCAAATGTGTTATTGTTTATATTCTTGTATATAGATGTTTCTTTACAATTATCCTTGGTTTCTACACCGTTTTACAGAAGATCTGGAAGCTTGCTTACCGGCATTGTTTGTGGCGTTGGCATCATTACCTCAGCTTCTTCACTGGTGGCTGTGCGAGGAGTGGAATTATTTTTGGGTCCATGCCCATGTCCATGACTAAAATTTATCGTATCGTCTGTATGTTCACTTGTAATATCACTACCGGTGCTACTATCCAGCGATTCATTCTCCTCTTCCACGTGATCGTTGGGCCCTATGCTGCAGTAGAGATGCGGATCCAATAGACGTCGACGTTTGCAGCTAACACGCTCTGAAGGTGAAGGTGAAGCTGATTTCGCTTGCTTCCCATCTAATGACAGTGTATGAACGCGTCTATTGATACAAGCAGTGAGTACTTATTGAAGATATGCTAATGTAGTTACTTACACGCGTCGTCTCTTACGTTGCATATTTGAATTAGTATTTTGTATGCCAGCAGCGCTATCTTTGCTGCATTCTGTTGTTGTTTTTGTTAGTTGTTCCAGCTTTAGTAGCTCGTGAACTCGCTCGGATAGTTTTAGCTGCTGCAGGCGTTGGCGAGTGTCGATTGGCAGCTTCTTCAACGCATTGGCCACTACCAAATTGAGCTCAGTTAAATGTCATATATATATTTAATATTTTGTTTTTATTTACCTAAGCTTGTGATCTTGACGTGCTCCCGAATGATGTCCTCCAGGCCGCCATTAAGAAAGTTGTGCGGCTGCAGGCCCTGTCGCAAGGCAATGAACTCCTGATGTAGATGAGGCGAAGTGCGGCAGAGTGTGAGTGCCACACGCCACAAATTGTTATTTACAAAATAGCCTAGAAATGCGACCACCATAATTGAGTAAAGTATTCGAATTCAACAACACAGAAGTCGCATACTCACCCAAAACTAGACGCGCGATATCCGAATGCAGCACTATTGATTCCATATTAATAGATTATTAAATATTACATTTATTTTGTTTAGTACAATTATCCCACATATTTATAACAACAAAAATATTAATTATATTTATTTGTTTGCGTTGATTTCTCCCTTTCCTTTTTTCCTTATTTCTCTATTCTGTTCGCTTTTTTTGCCGATCCCACTGTTGATGCCGATAATGTTGATGAGCTTTGTTGGGTATTTTGTTTTTTTTTTTTTCTATTTTGTGATTAGATTTGAGTGCAAACCAAAGTTATTTCGCATATTTATTTTCCATTCATTGTCGCGCACTGTACAACATACCCAAACAATAGCATCTGTTTGCCGCCAAAATGTTAATCTGTTGAGATACAATCCAACATATACTATCGATATTAATTTTAAAGATATCGATATTATTATATTTTATAGCAAATCATTACCTATACAAAATTGCGCCGTATGCTAATGTGAGTGCGACGAGCTAAAATGTATATACTGATAAATATTTTATAAAAATGCCATATAGGGATTTGCTATAAATATCGAAGTATTGCACATCCGAATAGTTTGAAAACAAATAAATCTGGCAACGCTTAATACCTTCAACTCCTGCTTTAAATAGGATTATTATTTTACATAAATCCAAATGGCTGCTATAGAAGCTATTGCCGAGAAAAATGATGGCCAAGAGCCTGAAAAAACCGTGGCCGACGCTAAAGTTGGCGCAGTTGTCGGCTGCACAGAACCCACAGCATCTCATACACAGGTGAAAACTGAAGGTGGAGGACGCAAACGTAAACGCCACATTTTTAATGCGATTCGCGGACAAATGGAGTTTTATTTTGGCGATGCTAATCTCAGCAAGGACCGCTTTCTACGTCGATACGTGGAACAGGATCCTTGTAAGTATACATACATATCATTAGATAACTTTGTTATTGTTGTTGTTTGTAGACGTGCCGCTGGAAATATTTCTAACGTTCAACAAAATCAAGACACTCACACAGGATGTGCAGCAAATATCGACATCGCTGTCCAATTCACAGATGCTGGAATTAGACGAGACTGGACTCAAGGTTCGCCGTAAGACTACGCTGCCCGAGCACCGGGACGTCAACAACAAAACCCTATATGTTGAGGCATTGCCTGCAACTGCAACCCACGATTGGCTAAAGGAAGTCTTTGGGCGCTATGGCTCGGTTAGCTATGTATCGCTTCCGCATTATCCGGGAACGCGAAAGATCAAGGAATTTGCGTTTATTGAATTTGAAAAGAGCAGCTCCGTGGAAAAGGCTCTGAAGGCCTATTCATTGGTTCAGGGCGTTTTATCCGTGAAGCACACAGACCCCAGTAATTTGGCCAGCATACGGTCCTTCCAACACCAGCAGCAAAAGATAAACCAAGAAGGTGCAACAGAGACAAATGTTGTAGTCAAGCAGCCAAGCAAGCGTGAAGCAGATAAACAGTGTGTACAGATGGCCGTGACAGCCAAACGTGCGAAACTTGAGTCGGTGCCAGAGCAATTCGAAGCATCAGCTGCAGAAACTACTGAAGCTGAAACCTCACAGCAAAGTGAAAGCGACAATAACAACGAGGAAAAGAACGTGATTACGAATCAGAAGCGTCGTCGTAAGCAAAAGAAGCGAATTCTCGCAGACAAACTTAAGCCCAACATTGAGCCCAGTGCACTGGATCTAAAGGTATTGCCCAAGACCAGTTGGTGCAGCCTTCGCAATAAGTATCTTAATTTGCAGCGTCGCCTAATCAGTGAAGCTAAGAGCAAGCTCTGGCGCAGCTCGCAGGTTCAGCAATCCATGCACAAGTGCACAGCTATGCAATTGCAATTACAAGCACAACATCAGCAATTGGTGGAGTCGAAGGGTATCTGCAAAAACAGTGTCAGCAGTGGGCACGAAGAGCCTGAACCTCTTAACGATTCTGTGGATGTGGCAGAAGTCCCGATGCCGCCCAAGCGCAGAAAGCGCAACAGAAACGCTGGCGTCCACAAAATGAATATGAATTTCTATGGTGCGGGTGGCAACGAGGCGGACGACACAAAAGGGGCATCTAAGACTGAGGATGCGGCGCAGGAACGCTCGCCGCTCTTCAAATACGAGCCAGGTCTCATTGTTGAATGTGCGCTCCACGAGCCATGCGTCAACGTAAAGGATTTTAAGGCCGACATGCGTCAATACACAGACATTAAGTATGTGGATATCAAAGAAGGCGATCAGGTGGCACATCTACGCATGGTCACACCGAATGCCGCCGAAGAACTGACGCACCAGCTCAGCTGCGCCGAGATGCAACTCAAGGTGTTGCGCGGTCAGCCCGAAACGCAATACTGGCGTAAAATCGAGCAGGATCGTGAGGCTAAGTTGAGTAAAAAGGTCCGTGTACAGCAGAAACGCGGACGTGAAAAGGTTACTAAGATGTTGGCTAAGCACATCAAATTTGAAGATGCGGACGACGAGGTAACCAACGATCTGGCTACAAGCGTCAGCATTCCATCTGATAATTAATGTTACTCTTAAAATTTACTCAATATTATATGAACTGAATTCTATAAATATGTATCTGAATACATAGAACAATATGAAGTCGTTATTTTTTTTTTTTTATAAGTATTTAACAGACAAATTGAACCTATATATATATATATATATATATATATATTTTTTTTTTATTATTATTCTTATATTTAAATATTTACATTTAATTATAAACAGTCTTCTCTTATACATATAGTAAAATCCTTCTGAACATTATATGAAGATATCTTTATACCTATTTGAAATGTTGAGCATATTTCATCGTACTTAGAGATATACATTATCTCATGTAAATTAGCTTAAAGATATTTATTTAAAACATAACAGAAAGTTAGTTTAACACTTAATATTAATTTTTATACATTTTACATTAGCTTTTTTTTATTTTATTCAGCTAAAATGTTCGTCAATTGTCTTATTAATCATGCGTTATAAACTAGAAATGTTGAAAATTGCAAACTGAATTTATATGATACGCATCTTAGGTAATTACCCCATAACCTCTTACACTGTCCATTACATATGGACATTGACAAAAGCGGGGCTGCTCGCCGGATTAAATATAGAGTGAACCGTCGGCAGGGCCCAAATAGTGCATAGATATAAGCAGCACATCGATGATTGTCCAGACGCCGAGGCCACCAAAGCTGAACAGCTTGCCAATGCCTTCTTGCCAGTGGCCCAAATAGAAACGGTCGGCGCCAAAGCCGCCTAAAGTGAGGCTGATGAGCAGAGCAGTGCTCCAGCGATAGCCCTGTGTCCAATTACAACGCAAATTGCGAGTAAACGAGCGGCTGCCCAGACAGAACACATCCTGGTGCACAGTGCAATTGGTGCGATAGTATTTCTCTGCTGCCGAATTGCAATTGGCATGCTGTTCACAGTTCTGTTGCCACATTTCAGTTTGGTAGCAATAGCGACAATTCATTTGACGCTGAAACGAGCGCTCTCCGCTGCATTGAACATTGTTGGCTGCCTCGCACGTGATGTTTATATCGCGGCCGTACAGGCAATTAAAATTGTATGTGCAGCGAATGCATGGGAAGTGCAACCGTTCACAGGGTGTTTCTTTATCCAAGGGGCATAGCATGTTCGTGGTGTTGTTGCCGTTGTTGTTGTTGTCGCCAGCAACTGGTGACTTACTGCCCATGTTAGCCAATGCTGGCACAAATACCACGTTATCGTTGTTGTTGTTGCCTGCATTGTTGCTGTCCTTTCGCTGCTCACTCTTGATGTCCGTTAGATCCATTTGGTTGTCCCCGCTGGCGGTTTCGCTATTTCTTATGCCAGTCAGTACGAATATGATGATCAGCGCTACCGCCGAACGCATGTTGACGACAATGCACTCTCGCTGTTGTCCCATTTTTGCTAAAGGCTTCTATTCTGGAATATCTTTGAGCTGAAGTTTCTTGATGTTTTGGTTGTAAATGCGATAGCACCCATAGGCAATATTATCGATACAATGATACGCAATATCATCGATAGTGTTGAAAATGCTTCGAATGCGTGTGACTGGAAAAACTACAAAAATGGTTTTAAATGAATTATAGAAAAAATCCGTCATTTATTGATTATTGTGTAAACCGACATATTTGAATCATTTAACTTTCTTTAAATTAAAAGCAATTTAATTGAATTTATCATCATATTCCTACCATACTGAAAATTACTATTCAAAACTGAATATATCGATATATCGCTGAGAACTCAACAGCCGAAGTGTCTTGAACAGCTAGGTAATTGTTTCATATTTTGGTTCAGTCTTGCAATTCTATAATCAAAATGTCTTATCACGGTAGCAATGACAATCATACATTCCGTGTAAACGTGCGTCTACATAGATTCGGAACAAACTTTTCGGGCTCCTTTCCGGACTTAAGTCGCCCTGAGCCAATTGGATTTTATAGTGTTAACGAATCACGAGAGTTCCAGGACAATGCCAAAAATTCGAGTTTCCTTCGCTTGCCACATCCTAGCAAAATGCCACTAGATCTCAATGCTGGCATTAAGAATGTGCAACGTAAAAGCGTTGACCCCGACTACCTCGACATATACCACATCTGCCAATATATATACAACCATCAAGAGCACCTGCGCACCTCGTCCACAGGGCGAATGGAGTTGCTAGCTGATTTCGTCACTTTACGCGGTGTACTTCGTCAGATTATGTGTACGCCATACCAAAGGAATCGTGACTATCGCCTTATGGCAACATGCCTAAACGGTACAACTTACATATCCAAGGTAGAAACTAGTGAGCAGCGCATCGAATCCCAACAGATGACACGCCATCAACAGGACATGTGCTCTTGGGGCTTTAAATTCGAGCAATACTGCACAACGCCACAACCTGACAGATCACCTGTTACATGTACTCCCGTAAATGAATCAAAAGAGTTCGCCTGTGTCTATCGAACCAAACTAAATGGACTGTGTCTAATCTACGGCGCTGAGATGGACTGCATCAAAAGTGATGTCTATGTGTAAGCTATGTTCTTTGTGTAAAATAAACAAATCATAATAAGGACTGTTTTCTTAGCGACCTCAACGATCCGGAACAACTTCGCTTAGCAGAGTTCATAGAGCTTAAAACATCTGCCTACAAAATGACACAGAAGCAACAGCATACCTTTGATAATTACAAGAGTCTGAACTGGTGGAGTCAGTCGTTTTTGGTTGGCATTGACACGATTATAGCTGGATTACGGGATGACAATGGGCTCGTTCATGATATTAAAGAATATAGCGTGCGGGAACTATACCGCCATAAGCCCTGGAGTCCAGCAGCCATGACCACATTCCTGTCAAATTTTCTGCACGAGCTCAAGTCACTGATGCATCGTATTAAGGACAGTAACGCTGTTGTCATAATCGACTACAAAGCGGGCCGAAATAAGATACAGTACTCCGTGCGACGCGGTCCAGATGTGAAGCCTATATTACCTGAATGGTATCGCCAAATGATGCAAGATAGCCAGGTTAGCGGTATGGGTTCAATGTAAAAGTATATATAAGGTTATATATATTATAGTTTCTTAAATGTTAACTTTTATGCTCTAATCGTTTTTGATGACTTATTTTAGATCGTTAGTTTCCAGCAGTGGTACGAGAGTCTCTGTTGATGATTTGCTCACATATGTCGGAAACTCTGGGCTGGTGGGTTGTGAGTTAGCGGCTCGACGTCTGTCTGTGGAATTGGGGCTTACCAGATGAGCGCTTGAGCAGCCATTGTTTACGCGCTTCTCGATGACACAATCGAAGAAACGGGACAATTTAACCGCATCAGTTGTGCCGGCAGCTAAGCTCCGTGTGTCCCGGCAGTTTAGCCAAATTTCCTCGGCACCACATTTATCGGCTACAAAGTAGATATACAGATTACACGAGATAACAACGGCAAGAGATGGCCAATTAGCAATACTGACCAATGCCACCGGCCTTTTTAACAGTTGTTTTGGGTTGACGCTTTTCATCGATCAAATCAAGCTTGGTGCCCATAACTAGAATAGGTATTTGTGTAGCGCCTAAAAACTCCTCTAAATCAAAACGCATGTTAGCATCTGTCCCATAGCCGTGCAATGGTGTTGGCGATGGCGGCAATGAGCTGCTGCGACATTTGTACGTATCTTTGCCATCCTTGTTAACAATCTCGCAGAGCCAATCACGCAGTTGCTCCTGCGACTTGCCATTGGTTAGATCATGCACCAAGATAACGCCATGTATGCCAGAGTAGAAAACGCTGCGCGTATTTTTGTGACTCAATGAACCACCAATGTCGAACAATTCAATAAAATAGGGGCACTGGCGGGTGGTACCTTCTTTGAACTCATGAATTTTGACTTGAATATTGCAGCCAACTGTCCAGCCCGGCCGAATTAACGACTCATTGTGGGCAACCAAGTGGGTCAGACAGGTTTTGCCCACACCTAGAAGTATTGTAATCAATTGATATTAAAAAAGCATCAACACAATCAACAATTACCTGAATCACCCAGTACGACTATGCGTACACGATTATTCATTGCCAAGTTGTCGTGTCATAAGCCCAACTCACTCAAATTATTGCTTCATTGCGCTTAATTTTGGCAATGCGTATATAAGTTATTATCGATATTTGCGATATAAATATGTATGTTCTCCGAAATGTTAACATGTTCACGGAACAGCTATCGATAACATTGTTTCGATATCTTATTGCAACAGGTTGTTATGCCGCCCTGTCAACCACTTGCATAGCTTCCCAATTTCATTTTGATGCTGTATTTAGTACATACGTACGACTTGATACTTAAAGTAATTAAAAACACATACGCCAATTTAAGTCTAGACGATAAATTCGCTTTTCTTTACAAGTTGCTAACGAATTAAAAAGTGTCAGTCAATACATAATGTGCCGTTATTTGGTAAAAATTTACCATTAAACTCGTATCTTATATATCTCAAGCCGAAAGATACGCAAATACATATACATTTGTATTGTATATTGAGATGTACATAACACATCCTGAAGTATATTGAAAATAAGACATACTATGTTACATTTGAAACGTTCATTTAATTTCAGACATTTTTAAATTGTGTATGCTTAAAATTATGTACATCTGATATATTCAGTGTTTATATATATGTATATGAGCAACATGCAACCAACTGTTGATTTCACGGCCTTGCATTACAAAAATAATTACTTCAAAGTGAATATCAGAAATTGAAATACATATACAGTGCTGTATATATATATATATATATATATATATATATATATATATATATATATATATATACGGATATGAGCAAGCATTGAATCATTTAGGTGGGTCGTAAGATGAATCAGATATTTAGTAAATGTGAACTAAATCTACCCTTTCACATTAGCATTTATTTTAAGTCAATTTCTTGATTTCTTCTGTGGTGTATTTCGTAAATATTTCGCAATGCGAAATTAAGAACAGTAATAAACCGGACACAACCTTTTGCTTTCTACGCCTATGTCGTCATAAGAAACGCAACACGAAATAGTCAAGGGGTCAATTACAACGTGGCTGTGTGACTCATTCATAACCCAGACTCTTAATAGACACACATACACGCACATATGTATATATATAGTTAGCTGTTAGAGGATGTAAATTATATTAAAATATAAATATGGCTAATACTTACGGTTGCCGAACATGAATAGGCTACGAATATTATGAAGAATTAAACTGTTAACTCAAATTTATATTTGTTTGTGTACAAAGATGTGACAACCAAATAAATAAGCAAGCAACTGAGTGTCACGTATAGGTAGGTCGTTTAATAGATACCCTGTATAATAACATATGTAGAGAGAGGGTTTAATGTCTGAATTTTGTACGTTTTTGGATTTTTATTTACTTTAAAATTAACTTTAACATTTTTACTCTCTTCTAGTATTGAATCTCACAGGAATATCCTTACCCAGTAATCTCATTAAATCCCAATAAATATTCAACATGTATCCATACGTAAGTAGCCTTTTATTTATACTTTACGGTAGTCACGCACTTTAAACTATTTTTAGCGTCCAAAGGGGGGAAAATACAAAAATATTAAAAAGCTAGTAGGAACGTCAGTGAAATTTCAACAAATTTTGTAATAGACCTTTGCAGTACGTTTTAAAATTTTTCAAAATGAGCCTTCGTTATATCTAAAATTATTTATTACCGTCCAAAAGTTACCTATCCGAAGTGGCAAAGAGAGACTTATTAAACATGTGTTTATGTGTATGTGTTGTGAATGTATTTTAATGTTTAAAGATCTCAAATGTACTTTAAAACAAGTAAGAAAGCTCTAGTCGGGATGCCCGACTAGGAGATACCCTTATCCCAGTCCGCCTATCTGCGTTTTTTAATATTTTACGTAGTTTGTATCGAGTATTAAAAAAGAACAAATAAAAACCGCCATTACGACACCAAGATTCGAACCCACAATTTTTACGCAACGCGCATCAACTCTACCAACACAGCTACATCATAATTAAAAAAAAGAATAAATAAAACAATAAGAAATGTCTCATCGCCGCGAGTTTCGAACTCAGGGATTAACCGCTTACGAGCGTCGCCTCTACCAAAGCAGCCACCGCAACGCTTACAAGAGGGGTTGCAAATTTGAAGTCGATTCTTCGAATAGAGAAGAATACACGCATTCGAATGTATGTGTGCACACGCATAGGAAAAATGCGTGCGCTGGGTGCTGCTAACATGCACTTTTGCTAATTGGCCAAACGTTTTTTTTACTAACTGCTGTTTTACTTAATGGATTTTAATGAAATTTTCAGCCTATGATCTACATATCCTATTGGCTTGGTTGAGCTGCAAACGTCTTAACATAATGGCTCTATTTCCAGCTGAACTTAAATTTAAAGAATTTGGGGAACTTTGGAGCCGGTATCAAACAACAATCCAACAAAAATCAAAATTGCATAAAATATACGCTAAATCCAAAATTGGGAAGCTCTAGCTCCTAAGACGTCCGATATATATTTTATTAACTGCATCAATCATGTTTCTATTCGATAACAATTAAATGCGAATAGTTACCGAATATTTAAAATAAACTAGATATGCGCGTGCTATACACGAACCTTCGAAAAATATTACAATTTCTCTAGATCTTACAGACCCATTCACACATACGGACAGACAGACATACGGACAGGGCTCAATCGACTCAGCATGTCGCAATGATCAAAAATATACATACACTTGCCAGAAAAACTATGCGTACAGGCCTAATGAGCGACTTTGATAGAGAATAAATGTGATAAATAATAGTATATTTTATCAATATTATATTTTTTAATGGAAAACACTTTAATAACACACATTTAGCAACATTTTTTTTTTTATAATATGAAACAGTTTTTTTTTTATATTTAAAATAAGAAAAAAACAACGAAAATTCGCTTAGAAAAAGGATGCGTACAAACTAACAACCCACTGTTCTTAATCGTCGTGTGAAACTTTTAGTACCGTTAGACAGCATATTACGGTAAATAAAGCATTAAAGGATGTCAATCATGTGTTGGTTTGCAAATTTTGTCATTAAGTTGATAGATTTCGTCATGGGCAGAAAAACAAAAGAGTTTGATCCCGATTTGAGGAAACTCATCGTAAAATTACGCGATGAAGGGAAATCTTTTAGATAAATTGGCGAAATTATTGGCAGAAGTCATTCTTCTGTCCAAAGAGTAGTCAATAACTTTAATTTGACTGGCTCAGGCCTGTACGCATAGTTTTTCTGGCAAGTGTATGTATATATATATACACGCCTCCTTCAGCCTGTTACATACATTTGCGCAAAACCATTATACCCTGATTTCCAATTTTGAATATATCAGGGTATAAAAAAAACAAGTCCCCTTCGCCACCAGGCTCGAGAACCCAGAAATTATTGCTTACGAGCGCCGCCTCTGCCAACACTGCTTGCAGTAGAGGTTGAAAATTTGAAGTTAAGTAGCAGCTGATATTTCCAGCACAATTCAATCACAATTTCAATTCTTCGAATAGAAAAGAATACACGCATTCGAACGTGTGTGTGCACACGCATAGGAAAAATGCGGGCGCTTAGCGATGCTTGACATGTGCTTTTGCAAATTGGCCGACGTTTTGTTTTATAACTTCTGTTTTATTTAATGGATTTTAATGAAATTTTCAGTAAATGATCTACATATTCTATTGGCTTGGTAGAAATGCAAACTAATTTATTTATTGGCCCTATTTCCAGCTGAACTTAAATTATAAGAATATAGAGAAATTTGGAGTCGGTATCCAAAATCCGACAAAAATCAAAATTGCATAACATATACATAAAACTGAATACAAAATTTGGATATTCTAACTTTTAAGCCGTATGATATATAATTTAATAACTGGATTTCGATCATGTTTTTATTCGATAACGATAAAATAGTAATAGTTATCGAATATTTGCCTTCTGCCTATTACATACATTTGCACTAAACCATTATACCCTGTTTTTCTATTTTAAGGGTATCAATAAGTTTCGCCAAAATTTTAGGTTAACGCCTTTTGAAATCTGTCGGTTGATAAGGGTCACATTATTTTGAAATTCGAATTAAGCATGGAGTTCTATTTAAAAAGTTATGGTCTGAACTATGGTTACCAAATCCTGTTAGCTAGCGTTATATAATTCGTGGAAACATTTAGTATTCCTTCATATTGATTTTTAATTTTAATTTAAATAGAAGTGCTATAAACAGAATCATGTCATTTTCTTGTTTTATGTACATATGTATATCCCGTAACAATATCAAAAAATGTATTTATTTTACATATATTTTTCATATTTAAATCATGTAAATTTCTTTTAAAATATATATATTATTTTTTTCGCCAAATTATTGTTCAAAATTATTAAGTACCTAACCCAAGGATAACTTCTCTGATAAAGCTAATTCTGTTCCATATTGTGTCCATTCCGCTCATTGCTTTAAGTTTTAGAGCAATGTTTACGCATGTTTAGTCTAACCGATGCACAATGAATGTGTGTATTTTGACTTTTATAGGATTCTGGAATGGCAAACTCATCCTATCCATCCGCTAATGAGCAACCTAAGGTGCCGTTTGGAGTTGGTTGGGTCTCTGCACCAGTGCATCAGAACGGTCCACATTCCGAACTGTACCCACCACCCGCCGCACAACCTTATCAGCAGCAACAGCAACAGTTTCAACAATATCCAAATTACCAGCATGGCGGGGGCGGTGCTAGCTGCCCTTATCCTTCCAAATCAGAACCATACCCTTTTAACGCACCATATTCGACCAATCATCCACAGAATGTGACACCCAATCAGCATAACCAAAGCCAATTTAATCAGCATCCATATGCAACTAATCCAGCTGGATACACGCCAGCCATGACGACATCATATAATTATGATTCTTCCAATTACCATGTCCAGCAGCATGGTCATGGACAAAGTTTTGGGCATGGATTTGGGCATGGGCATGGGCATGGGCTTGGGCAGGGACAGGGAATTGGGTATGGGTATGGTCATGAGCACATGCAGCAGTCACTCAATCAACACTTTACGGCCCACAAAGAGGTTTGTTCCTGCATGTCTCAAATCTCTCATTGATCAATCTAGACTAAGTCCTAAGATAGAATCATATTTAGTGCTTTGGCAATTCAATATTACTTTTGATTTTTATATTTTAGGGAACTCCCACTTTGCTGCCGGCTCAAGGCTTTGATCCGGTTAAAGATGCGCACGACTTGCGTAAAGCGATGAAAGGATTTGGCACAGATGAGGATAAGCTCATCGAGATCATATGTCGTCGTAACAATGAACAGCGCCAGGAGATCCAGCGCCAATATAAAACTCACTTTGGCAAGGATCTCATTGAAGACATAAAATCGGAGACTAGCGGCAATTTTCAAAAGCTTCTCGTTGGCCTATTACGTCCAATAGTGGACTACTATTGTGCTGAGTTGAACGATGCTATGGCCGGCCTGGGCACCGATGAGGAAGTGCTCATTGAAATTCTGTGCACGTTGTCCAATGTTGAAATTCATACTATTAAAAATCAATATTTACGCTGTAAGTTTTGCATGATTTTGAATGTCCTTAAGAGTATTTTTTAATTTAGTATGTATATCTGTTTAGTGTATGGCGCACATTTAGAGTCAGAGCTTAAATCGGAGACTTCCGGCAATTTTAAGCGTTTGCTCACTTCGCTTTGCGCTGCGGCGCGGGATGAGAGCGGTCGTGTGGACCCTAACAAGGCAAAAGAAGATGCCCGGGAGCTTCTCAAGGCAGGTGAACTGCGTGTAGGCACCGATGAGAGCATGTTCAACATGATACTTTGCCAAAGGAACTATCAGCAATTGAAATTTGTGAGCTATTATAGACAGTATCTTCTGAAACAATCATTACGTACGCACTCATTTCAGATATTTCAAGAATACGAGAGCGTAACTGGACACTCTCTGGAGAAGGCGCTCAAAAAAGAATTCTCTGGCGATATTATGGAGGGCTTAATCGCCATCTACAAGTGTGTGACAAACAAGGCAGAATATTTTGCTTCGCGCTTACATAAGTCAATGGCTGGCATTGGCACCAACGACAAACAGTTGATACGCGTCATCATAACACGCTGCGAGGTAAATATAGAGTATATTTGATGAAACAAATTGAAATTCGTAATATTTTGCTTAATTTATTTTGTAGATTGATTTGGCTGACATTAAAGGGGCCTTCGAGCGTTTGTATGGTAAATCGTTAAAGAGTTGGATAAAGGTTTGCATATATGCGTTTATAATTTATTTTAAATGTGACTCAAGGTAATAAGCCATATTTTATTTACTTGTTTCACAGGGTGACACGTCTGGACATTACAAGCACGCTCTTTATGCATTGGTGGGAGAACAGCGCTCATCTTAAATTAATAAATAATTCTATATAACTATACATATTACGTATTCTATTTCTTATATATATATATATATATATATATATATATATATATATGTGTATATGTGTATATGTATATATGTATTATTGACTACGAAGTAACTATTTTTATTTAAATAAGACAATGGAATTTCCCATCCAAAAATAGCAGTGCAAAATATATCTAATTGTTAAAAACTGTGCCTCGACAAACAATAGCCCTTAAGCATATGCATTTACATTTACATTTACACTTGAGGAAACAACGAACAATGTTCACATACTGTCTTATTTTTATTTAAAAAATTTTAATTTTACGATCCTTTTATCTAATGTCAATGCCACGAATATGTTTCTATTTCTTCTTTTTCCAGACACTGTTTGTATTTTAAATATACCTATATATGCATAGATATTCTATTTTATTTAAGGTGCTAGACTTTTCAATTACAGTTGTAATAATCATTTGATGGGCAGGCAGAGAAATATTTCAATTCATCATTATTCACAATTTTTTTTATTATTATTATTCTAAACATATGTAATAGTCTAAAGTTGGTTTTTATTAATGAATTCTTTTTGGTTTACGTTTCTCAATGTATAAACTAAACATTATTCCATATTCATTTGAGAACTCGCACTTCGACAAACAGTGAATCGTTACGTAAATAATTACGACTGGTAATAACCTTGTGTGGTATATGGAAATACTGATTAGTTTGTATATAATCATCGCTCTTCTTTCGCACATAGATCGTCTTGACATAGTCCTGTGACTCCAGCGTTATTTCGCTTTGATCCCGAATAATTATCTCGGCTTGCAGACGACATGGCCATTTTAGAAGTGGATCATATTCGCCAGATAGCACATTTAAACAAGCAATCAAATTGCGTCCTTTCCAAGTGCCCTTACCATTTAAATAGATATCCAGCTGAAATCGGATTGTATTAATCGACTATGTAGGGTCCACATAATATAAAACTTACTCGCAAGGCATATCCAAATGCTTTATTGGAGAACATGGTACTATGCAGAATAGTATCGTATTGCTTGGCCTCCTCTAATTTCTTTGAATAATCCTTGATGCGCCAAATTAAATGACCTGAAATTGTCCATGAATGAATCTTATTTCTATCTACTGCAACTGTTCTACTTCTATCTCGTCTACATGAATTTTATTAAAATTTGAATCTGAAAATCATTTATTCTGAGTTGGCGAAACAAGAAGATAGTAGAGCGAAAGCTGTAGTTGTAGCATTAAAGATTGATAAATATATCAAATTGGCACTATCAATTATGATCAGCATATTATTACTTATTTTCCATCTCTATGCATGTTTGTTACCCTTAAATCATTGAAAATGGGTACAATCGTTTTATTAAAATGTAGCTAAAATTGAAAATGGTTATAATCGTTTTACTTAAAATGTATGTGAGAGATCGGAGGAGGCTCCGAGTAACTCCTAGAATTGTATTATTATTAGTATTGTGATTGAATAAAGAATATTCTCTGTTCTTTCACCTCTTATATTCTTTATGATATGACTCTTCAATTGTACACTTCCAATACTTTTAATAATATCTGAGTGTTTTCCTTATAGTTGAAGTCTTCTTTGTTTTTTGAGCATCTTATATTAGAAATTATCAAATAAAATATGCTCTGCGCTGCCCATTTCTTATATTAGTATTTTCACCTCTTTTACTCTCTAGATTATCGAAGTATTTTATATTTCACCTTTATGTTTACCTGTTATATTTTTAAAGTCCATTCTTTATTTCATATTTAGACCCTCCCATTCGCTGCAAAAAAAATATTAGTCACATCTCACCTCTTATATTCTGAACACTGGCTATACGCTGCTGCATGGCCAGCTGGTTTTCGATGTCCGCGATGCTTTGCATTGTTTGATGGAGTGCCTTATCAAGGTTTTGGACAATGCTTTGTAGCTTATCGCAGCGCTCCTCTGTTTCGCACATGACGCTCTTAACATTCTTAACTTCATAGTCTAGTGTGGCTTGCTTCGTGGTGGAAAAATCCGTAGATCCCAATTTAGTTTTAATATCCTCATTTATCTCCTGCAGAAACTGGTCGATCTGCATAAACTTATTCCTAATAAATTATGTACAATCGAGCTCAGATTGCAACGATTATTTGAAAAAGTTTATTACTTACCGATTGGTTCGCTCATTTTCAAAAACAATTTCCTCCAATTTCATAATATTATCATTCAGCTGATTCTGATGGAAGCTCACATCCGAAGACAGCTGATTAATATGCTGTTGCAAATCAGTCATTTTCATTTCCACTTGTTCCTTCAGCGACTTTACGGGATATTGGCCATATCTGTTATATTATTTTTTGGTATCTAATGTTCCGAATTACCTGCGTTATGCTGCAACAATATTGAAAGTCCACTTGGTTTTGCTCTGTGGCAAAGCCGCGCTGGACCCTTTCGTCGTCGAGCTGTTGCCGTAATTCCGTGATACACTCATCCGTCTCCCGGGTCCGGTCCTCGACCACCTGATTGTGTTTCCGTATGTTGCCCACGTCCGTGATAAGATGCAGACGCTGTCGTATTTCCTCATTGAGCACTGAACGTATAGTCGATATGTCTTGTTCCAGAACCTGGACACGGTGATCGGTATGTTGATCCAAACGTTCCATGCTGACACTGAGACGTTGCATATTATGCTGGTGCTTTCCACGTGGACACTCCTTCAAATGGGATCGCATACGGATGCGTGGTATGAACACATTGCAATTATTCGGGCACTCCTCTAGCACCTGTCCACAGTGTATGAGGTGTTCCTATATAATTGTAAAGCGAAAATTCTTATGAATTGAATTTATTGACATTATTTTAAAGAGCTTTTAACACACCGTAAAAGTTTGGGCGTCGAACCACTCATTACAAAACAGACACGATGATTTCTCATATTTGACGATGGTCGTCGATTTGGGCTGCTGGATTGATCGATCGTCCGCAGACTTATTAAATGACATCATTCAAAAGATTTCCCACACGTAATGTTTCCACAAAACAAACCTAATTTGCCGTTACGTGAACCGTCTCAAACATACTAAATTCAGTAAAAAAAGAAATATATGTCCATGTATATATGCACATACATACACATATAGATGATTAAGAATTGCCTTCGACATAGCCAACCCACACACATATAACAGCAGATATAGATATGCGTTGCTACATGGCTCTGCTGTGCTGTGTTGTGCAGTGGGAGGTACCCCGATAAAGCTGCGGCAACTGCGAGCCTACGTAGCCTACATATGTATGTATATAATAAATATACAGTATAAACATAATATATAAACTCGATTCAATGAAAGCCACAAACTCAACTCTTCCCATTTACTATACACTGGCTTAGATCGTTTCAACGATTTCTGTCTCATTTGAATTATGAAAAAGTCGAATTGCATACACCTGTGCTGACTATATAAAAACCAGCACACACACATATAGAATTCGAGATATCATTATCAATGGAAATAACTGTACAATCAAATATTCTGGCACTGCAACAGTAAAAATAATATCACCAGAGAGTCAACACAGCAGAGATAACATTGAAAGGGCAAGCGGGTAAGCACGTATCATAGTTACTCTGCACAACTGCAACAAATATTGTCCAGTTAATCGGAGTCTCTTTTTGGTCAGCTTGAAATGGTCAGCTATAAGATTTCACATCTTTTAAATTAAAATATATCTTTTTGAAAATATTTGTATTTCCAGAAAATATTTTAACGAATAAAACTAATTTTATAAGTAAATTTTCACCTGTAAATTAGTTAATGCAATATACACTAAATTTAAAATATATTTTTTTCCGGGATCTGTTTACTGTTCGAATGAACGTCTTACTTTGAAGTTTGTTTCGTCCACTTTATTTGTTATAAATTAAGAATTAAGATACTAGTTGCTATTTTTCAAACATAATTAAATACATTGCCAACACACTCCATATTGCTCTCCATATTTGATTATGTAAAAATTTGTCCTTCTAAATATGAGAAACCCCTTTAGGTATGGATTGGGTTGATAATGCACAATTCATTTGGATTTCGGGCCCTCTTACTGTACTAATGTTTTTATTTTGTCTTAAATATCAACTTTTTGTGCTGTTTGCTAAACACTGTCTAACTGTTATTTTAAGGCCAAGTGCCCGATCAATGAACTGCTCCAGATATACCCTATAAATTGGGTGTCGCAAAAAGTTACAAAGTGGACCACACAATTAGGTGAGCCGCCGAATTGTATGGTAATCTTATCGTAAGTATGTACTAAACAAACAAATATATGAACGTATAGCCTATTCATGTATCTGAATGTATTTCCAGTGCCGCCCCATGATTGGCTTATAAAGCAATTCTGTTTACGTTTGGTGTGCTGATCCAGGCTACTTTTTATCATTTATGCTCTGACAAGTCATGCAGCTCGTATGGGTATCAAGACTGCCGGCCCACACGTGAAAGTTTTTCTCAATGAAACAATCAAGAATAAAGATACTTTAACAAACAATCGATTTTACTTATTAAAAAAAGTACATATATTTCATATATATAGTTTATGTACAAAAAAAAACCAAATAAATAAATTAAGCGTACAAAAAAAATTGACTAACTCTAAGTATTATAAGTAGGTCGACTCGAACTTCTTACGCATTTCAATCTTTCGTTGTTTGCCGGGAAATATGCTAAATCTCTCTATTTTAAAAGCTTTCTGGAGCATTCTCAGCGTGAAATCGGGCAATAAAGAGGCGATAACAACCAAAAACATGTACAACCAAATGGGCAGGGAGGCTAGCAGATTGTTATACGCCCAATAAATATCCGTATCGTAGTCCCTGTGAATTGAGATATGTATATAATTGTCAAATATAATTATTGCATCTAAAGTATATAATCATTTGAATTGAAATGGAACTTACAAATTGATAACATTGTAGATGACGGTCGTAACCATAAATGCAAGTATTGATAATACTATTGTCGCAATATACCAATAGGAGAGATACATGGACTCCAGCCAGAGCTTCAGGTTTACTATGATCACCACAGCCCAGATAAGCAGCGTACCAAAGCAGGAGAAGGCCGCCGTCTGGCCTCCATTGAGTATGACATTGTTAAAGGAGAAGACACAGTACGCAAAATAGAATATGACCACCGCATGATAAATCGCAAATACGGTCCACATCAAGAAATAGGGCCAATGAAGCGCCTTATTGTCTGTATTTTTCCTATAGAGTTTCGGATTTCTGCGAGAGCAAAAAAATGAAAAATCAAGTACTCAATAAAATACATTCAGTGTAAGGCGGATGATTCTATAGATATATATATGTTAACTTGTATTGTATTGAGGTATTTCAAATGTGGAGTACTTGGTGATTGTTAAATAGAAGAATTCCTAACTATATCGCATTGCACCGATTATCTTCGTAAAATAGACGTATGTACTTACTGCATAAGCTGCTCCTCGGTGTATGGCTTCTCCGTTAAGGATATAAAGAGAATGGGCAGGGACGTGTAGATGACATTGTAAAGGGTCAGGAACAGTGAATCGTAAACCGACGATGAGGAAAAGAGCGTGTGAAATTGAAATAGAAACATAATGCCCATGAAAACGATGTTCTTGTAAAAGAAGTATAGCACCAGAAAAGATAGGCGCACGCTGTGATAATGGCCATGGACTAGAAGCAGACGCTTCAGCATACAAAACTTGGCAAAAGCGAAGTCAGCGCAGCGTGCCGCCTGCCGGCCTTCACGGCCCATGATCCCGATGCCGACATGGGCCTCCTGGATCATGGACACGTCGTTGGCTCCATCACCAATGGAGGCTGTATTATAGTTCTCATTGGATGACTTGATAAGCGCCACCACCTCGCTCTTCTGCAGTGGACTAAGGCGACAGCAGAGCACAGCCGTGCACTTCACGGCTACATTGCGAAATTCCTTGGGTGCCTCAGCTAGAGCAACGCCCAAGCTCTTGCCATCGATAAGCAAGGCGCACTCTTGTCCAATTCCAAACACAATTTCCCGCTCGAGCACGTTCAAGTGAACCAACAGATCGTCACGGCTCTTGCACTCGAGTATGATATACTTCTTGGCGTCAGGCGGAATATGGCCGCAGGACAAGGCAATGTTCAATGCCGTTTCCACTTTGTCGCCAGTGAGCACCCAAATCTTGATGCCAGCTGCTTGCAGAGATACTAACGTATCTGTCACATCATCCTGAAGTGCATCCTCGACAGCTGTCGCGCCGAGTAAGTCGAGGTCTGTCAAAATATAAACATATATGTAATATTTCGATTACTAAGTGACATTGTCAACTTACTGCTCTCAATCTTTGAATAACACTCCTCGCAAAGCTGCTTACGATTCTCCAGTGAGCTATTAGCCTGTGCCAGGGATGTGATGAATTCTTCGTACTCCGTTTCAGGAATCTCTCGTCTGGCTATTGCCAGGGTGCGTAAACCCAAGCGAGCAAAGTCACTGATATGGTTGTCTGTTTTGGAGACCATGTCCGCCGAGCTGTTCGAGCATAGTGGAAACACATAGCTCTCCGCGCCTTTGGTATAGATCCACTTTTTGCCAGCATCGTCTCGCATTATTACGCTCATGCGTTTGCGATCGGAGGTAAACTCTAACACATGCAGTCGATTGAAGCAATCCTCTTTATTTTTGTTGTTGTTGATGGGCCGCTTATAGTCCAGATGTGGTGGAACGATGCGCACACGCAGCACCTCATCATCGTCCCCAGTGTAAACCAGACCCAAGTAAGCGCATGCCTCCACAAGCGCTTTCTCATCCGGACTGGAGGCCTGATAGTCCAGCAAACTTTTAGATACAAAAAAGGCAATAGATCATTAAGAACAGGCGCCGGCGCAGAATTAGTTATATATCAATAAATACCATAATGTTTGCTGAATTTCATTTTTGCGGCGCTGGGACTCAGCACGTAAGAGTAAAGTGGGCTGGCGTGTGAAGATGGGAGCTGCATAGGACTCGCGCGATGTGGCGCTGGCGGTGCGTAAGAGCCCACCAATCGGTGGCGTCATATTACCAACTGGATTAGAGAGATACGCATTGGGAGCGCCGTATGAGTGCGCGCGTCTGTGACCCAAAGCGGAGGCATTGCTTGTCTCCCCATACTGTGGTAGATCCCGCTCTGAAGTAGACCGTTGGAACTGCAGCGATATGGGACGCATAAGATGGGGACTTTGCACTGGCATACCAGCCAACGAGTGACCATTCTGCTGCTCTATGGTGCCAACGGCAACCTCGCCAGCTGCCACTATGTGCACCTTGTTGGATCGGGCAAAGTTCGGGCTGCGTTTGACCACCTGCGGCCGCTTGCGTCGCTCTACGAGGTAGCTGTCGTCACCAATCAGCAGGGGATTCACATCCGATGAGGTCGTCGGAGCATTACCGCCATTCGGATGAGCCGAAACGGATGCCTCGATCGTGTTGCTCACATTAAGCTCACTGTGTTGGCTGGAATTGTGACTCTCCTCAGTGATGTCAGTCATGGAGTACAGTTCCGCTGGTCCAGATTTGTTGCTTTCATTCTTATTGGTAACCTGAACCTCCGGCGGCGTGCTCGTTGCCACCTGCACTGTGTGGCATAATGCCAACGCTTGGAAGAATATCTTTTGGTCTTTCTGTTAAGAAAATTTGTAAAAGTTTTAGAATGAAGTGGACTCTTTACAACCATCCCCAACGTAAACATTATCGAGTATAAGGATATACGAAAAAATACTTGTGCTCTTGCAATATACTTAATTTATTATATAAGAAATTTAAATCGCTTATTGGAGCGGTAATTAGTACTGCATAAAGTTAGACGTTGTTACACACATATAAGCTCAGCATAGATCGCGGTAGCTCGCTTATTTGAATAAATATATCGCTGTAACTCTAATATGTATATTTACGACCGTTGGGAGCTGTCTCTTCAATATAATTCGAAGATAGAATTAAGATTTGACACGTAAGTTACTTACTAGGGCCGTAAGTTCATATGAGCTGGCAGCGATTAGACCGTGAATGAGTTTTATTCAGTCGAAAGCGCCAGACTACACTTTTTTTTTTGAATTATGAAGAAATGAAGAATGGAGAATGAAGACAACTTCATTACTCTAGTGATAATTTTATATTTATCATAAACCAAGACTGTGAGGCTATAACTTTTGCATACATCTTTGCTTAAATTGAGTAACCCGCAATTGTCCTGCGTTTCTTTTCAAGATATGCGTCTTAGCTATATGTTGACTTACGGTGAATTTGTTGATGTCTATCAATGCTTTGGTCTCATCATCTTCCAGTCGCGTCTTTTTGTAGGTAAACTTTTTACCAGCTATCGAGCACTGTTGGAAGTTCATTTCATTCTTGGTGAGCGTGCCCGTTTTATCAGAGAAAAGTATATTAATCTGCCCAAGCTCTTCGTTCAAGTTCGATGTATTCACAACGCATTGTTGATCGGTCTCCTTCTCATATAGCTCTGTATCCCATTCCATGAAAAAGCCACCAATGACGCGCTGCAGCTCAATGGTTACATAAAGCGAAATGGGTATTAGATAGTTGAACAGTATGAGAAAGGACAGATAGTCCTGCAGAAACTGTTTAACGCTATATCCGTCCGCTGCAGGTCCCAGATAGGTCAGCTTTGGTATCACAAAGAGTTCATTGTAACTGCAGGAATAGGCATTAAAAAGTATGAGAGTAGAATTTCTAACAGATACACCTAACCTTGCTATCAAACACCTAGTAGTTCTTTGACATTATCAATATTAACAATTCAAATTGTGTAAAAACAAAAGGAAATGCATGGGCCTAGCTTAGATCTAAAGATTGCTAGTAGAGAATACTTCGTAATTAGGACTGTCGTAGAGTATGTGTTTTATGTTTCCTCTTTTAATACCTTTAAATTCTAGCTCGCTCAGAATTAAAACAGTGTCCCAACTTTTAAATCATATGACAGCAAATGCAGCATATGTTTCAGATAAATATAAAGGCCGCAAACAATTAAATATGTGTAATTGTACTTACCGTTTTAGGAAATAGAGTAAAGTTACTATTGCAATTAAAGCCACAAGTATAAATATTAAAAATCTGTTCACATAGGTTTCACTTGAGGATGTCTTGTTGCGAGTCAGTCGACTGTTCAGCTGCAGCTTGGTGGTCATTCCCGTGTAGATGGCACAGCCGATTACACATTCTGTGTTCTTCACACGCGATCCACGGAGCAGCACATTCTCTGCCGAGAGGGGCAATACGCGTCCCTCGCTGCCGGCTATCTCAATTTTTCCATTAAAACTATATAAATCAGTGCCGGGACTTTCGCACTCGATAACGCCCAGCTTGTGCATCTCGTCAATGGGAACTGTTGGCAAATCTCTGGGCACCAGCAAAGTCTTCAGATTTGACTCCCCATCCAAATTAGCGGTTGTAATAAAGCATTTGCCATGCGGATCAGTTGATCGCAACAATACCAAATCGCAGGGCACATCACAGTCTCGTTCCACAACAATCAGATCGCCCGGACCCACATTTTGTGACTGTATTATAGCCTCAGCGCCATCCTTAATGATCGTTACTGTGAATCACACTTTACACATTAGACACTATCATATATATGTATTGGTTCACATTGTGTATACCTACCCGGAGATCGGTTAACGACATTATCAGTTCTATAGCGCAGTATATCTTCATAGCCCTGCTTTGCTGCTGTCACAGCAATCACAAAAACTAAAGGCAGCAACGACGTCATAGGCGAAACTGGACTATCTATATGTAACATAAATAATTCATATAGCAATGTATAAATTATTGCCTGTATTTAGGCTTACCAATAAGTAGTGATATTATCGTCATAACTAGAAAATAAAAATTTGCTATGCGACGAAATTGTTCTAATAGATTCTGCGGCAGAAATGTGAGCAATGTGTATTTCGTGGACTTAATACGATTCTGATTTGTTGGCTTTTTCTTTTTGACATCCTCAGAGCCGCCAATTTGTATTTGTAGCCAGTCATTTATTGTACTAACTCTCGAGCCCTACAAAATAATAAAAAGAAAAAGCTTTTAGTCAAAAAAAAATATTCTATATACATCAATTTATTATTATATTATCATGAATTATTATTATAAAATACTTGAAGACATTTTATTAGTATTATTAATATTCTTATTACAGGGCAACGCTACTTGTTGCCAAGTTGGCACACAGACTCCACGATTGGCCCCATTGGATAGGGAGGCAACCGCCCAATTGTTAACTAATGTGTGCAGCGATTTCAGAAGATGAATAAGATTGAATTGAAAGTGATGTTTTTAACCGTCCACGGACTACGAACAGTCAAAGATTCGGAATTGATGACACCTGCATTGAAATATATTTCATTGTAGCACCTCACTATTGTGTAGTGATATCGTGTGTAAATGGCTTCTGGGACAATGTTGCATCTGTCCACGTCCCCTTAAGCCCGTAGCAGGTCGCCAGGTATGTTCGAAGCTCATCACCGGTACAGGTTTCAATTGAGATACCTCTTTAATCTGGGCATGATTGAGACTGTGAACTTTGGCTCCCATAAGAAATAGACAATCAAGAGATTTGCTAAGAGCGACTTTACATCCCAGCTAAAATAATGGTTTGTAGTCAATATAAATATAATAAGCAACCCCATAACGAGAAAAATACGGTTTAGAACACCACAAGAGGAAATTGATCAACGCTTCAGTGATTATAGCTAGGCTTTGACAAAAACTCAGGGCTTCAAAGAAGCCAGTGAAATGTAGAGGAAACACCACAAGCAATCATGGCTAGATATCGGCGCCGAGAAAGAATATGCCATCATTAAAATATAGCCAGGCGCCCATTGTGAGACATAAAAACTGCAGTGACGAAGCAGAAAAACATTAGAATATTCAAAGCGGTCTTTCCAACCTAATCGAATTGCTAGCTGTTCTTGGACACTGAACACTCCTAGAAAAACAGAAACCTACACAAGGAACCGAATATGTGGCAAAAAGTTGAAAGAAAAGATGCAAAACAAACAAAATCGAAGAAAACTGTTTTGCTGCACAAAGATAAACCAAAAGCAGCAGCCAAAAAAAAACAAAGAATTGAATAAAAAGACTTCCCAAACCGAATTGGTTCTCATAAAACATAGCAGCACAATCCAGTAGGACGAGAAGACAAATGTAAGAGACATAAGGAAAACCTGATTCGGGACACTCCTTGTTGAACTCAATAACGGGGAATAACTGCAGCAAGAGCTCGAAGAAAAGCTACGTAGAAGCCTAAAACGACAGTATAGATAGGAGACCTCGACTCACTCAGAGAGTAGAGACGGAAGTTGCAGAAACAATGCGGAAAGTCTTCGCAAATCCATAGTGGAATTACGCATAAAGATTAGTACTCCATATAGCCGGAAACATGTTAGACCTTTTGCAACCCTAGGGAACCAATTAGCAAAGATATATTGTCCGAGGTGGATTCAGCCTGTGCCAAAACATCCGGAGATGCTATCGATGTTTTGGGGTCGGCTACCTACAGACCAAATACGCAGGACCATGGTTGAAATGACAGAGGCTTCTGCATTAAATATTATGAAGCGGGTCTTAAAATAAAAAATTTAAAAAAACCTCCCAAATGTACTATTTCTGCTGATGCGGGGCGTACTCTCGATTATATGATTATGGATGTGGCCGCTAAGACCAGGCTAATTATAGCAAACCCAGGGAATAAAGCTACTTTTAATAGGCCTGGATGTGAAGGTACAATTTTAGCATTAACCTTTTTATCAAAGGACATAGTATATCAGAAGAGAGCATAGTATAGAACATAGTATAGAATAAGAGAAAAGAACTCGATGATTTTCCTGGTAGTGACCATGTAAAAATTTCATACACTTTCCAGAATAAAAGTCAGCATATATCCCTCTCGTGCCCCGCAAAGACATCCCATAAATGAGTTTATAAACAAACTAGACCAGGAAAACTGTCTCTAAAATAGACACCCGAGAACGTCAATTTGACAGTACACTGCACACTGCACTACACAGCACTGCTCGACTATCTGATTATTTGAAACAATACAAATGATGCTTTCTAAAAGGTTAACGGGGTTAATAAATACACATAAGTATATAACATAAATAACATGTATGTATGGATGCATTCATGTATGTTTGTGCATAATTTCACAGTAATCTCAGTTTTTGTTTTCATATCCTGAACCATTGAAAATGAGATTTCAGGGTAAATGCGTTTCTGAAAATGCATCTAGCAAGCAGAAGTCGGCGTGACAGGCCCCATAATATATATATTCTTGATCACGACGACTAGGCGAGCCGATCTAGCCATGTCCGTCAATATCGAATATTTGTGCTTTGGAAAGTACAAACATATATACGTCATTATTATGAAGTCCAAGCGTTAACTTCTCAGTAAGCAAAGCGAGTTTGCGGGTGCGTATGTGTGTACGTATGTATTATATGTAATGTATATATAAAATAATGATTTTAATATCAGCTCTGTGCAGGATTAAGGGTATTTCCCAGTCGAGCAGTCACGACTAGAGCACTCTTACTTGTTTTTCTTATTTTTCTGACGCACCTTGCGTTGTTTCCATATAAATGCTTCCTTTAAATAGTATTGCGATTCTTGGTCAGTCCAAGCTGGTGGATGATATGCACCGATTTGATTAATGCGCCGAAATCCGCTTAGATAGTCATGGCCAAAGAAATTCATTGTCTAACAACTGGCTGACATGCATTAGCAGATGAACCGTCTTAATCAAATACAAATTGTGCATGTGCATTTTACTTTACGAAAGCTCTGTTCTCAGTCCAAAGAGAGTTTGAGAGAGAGCTGGACAGCGGATGACAAATAGTTTGCTAAATCATATCAAATTGACACGGTGCGAACTTTAATTATATTTTTGAGCACATTTCATTTCCATTTCTTTATTTATGATTTAAAAGTATTTGCTATCGATTTACTTTATCTGCATGCTTGTCAGACTGCATCAATGTTTGTATCTTTTTTTTCTCCACACATATTAAAATCTATAACCTTAAAACGATGTTAAGTGGGTAATTTTAACACTTCAATTGAACAGTATATACATATATGTATACGTATATATTGTTATTGTGTATACGTATATATGTTTATATATATATATATATATATATATATATATATATGTGTGTTTGCGAGTGTTTGTGTGTGTGTGTTTGTATGTATATCAGTGCGTGGTATTTGTTTTTCACATTTACATGACTTTTAGTTAGATCTTTAAGATTTCAATAGGTATTTTTACACGTTCATGACTTTGAACATCACGTAATAAAATTGGAATTACTCTCCACTCAATATATATATATATATAAAAAATAAATGGAAAAAAATTTTTTTTTTATTTTGTATTTTACATTGTACACTGTCACGATAAATCTGTTTAAATTTTAACGTAAATCAATATATACCCATGCATATATGTACATATATGTTGAAAAACAAATTCAAATTAATTGCTGACCGAACGCGATGCGCACAACTTAAAAGCCGTTCTCACACTGAGAATTAGATCTGCATTGCCATTGGGCACTTCTCATACCTATACCCATTTGCCCCATTTGCGTTTACCAGCTTCCCGCTCGTACAGTTCACGAACCAATATTCGTAAAAAAAATCAACTTATTGACGCTAGCTACTGAGAGCTACATTCGAATTCGGACCGCCAGAGACCTACTGTTCGTACTCTACTTAGGAGTTCAAAGTTCATGCTTAATTTGCCAGAGCTCGTCAAATTCGTCGATACTTGATTGAATTGAAATATTTAGATACTCGCGAGCGCGGAAAGAATGCTAGTAAAAACATTGCCTTGTGCTAACATCGAGCATATAATATAATATATACATATAGGCAACTAGTCATTGAGTGCTTAGACGGCATGTTTAGAATTCTTGAATATCTTGTATATTCATGCCTGAACATTCTGCGGGGGCCAAATGATACAGCTAGCAATTGCTGCCTCTGGTTTCTCCTCTTAATAAGTTACCTGTATCTCCTGTATCTGTCTAACATCCCAACTTTTCATCCCAAAGAGTTCTCTGGGACGCCCAGACACGTCGTTATTGATGCGCTTGTTGCTTGATAATCCAGCTGTATTGCCAGAGACAATCCATCCAAGTTCCAAGTCCCAGTTTTTCGTTAATTTTATTTACTCTTTCCAAAATGATTTGGGGATCGCCAACGCCAACGCCAATAACAACATCGCTCGTTAAATGTTATAATGTAGGTCTGCTAGCACGTAGCCCAATCTTTATTGGCATCCATGTCAATTTTTTTGATCGGTAGAGCCCTCTCAAGTTTTAGCATAACAAGTGCCTGCGTTGTGGTAACGAATTTGCTTTTAAATCTGGGTTTGATTGTTAAGCAAACGCTTTTTGATTACCTCATGTCCAGTCTACCTCATGTCCAGTCTATTGAGTTATATAGTTGCTCAATAAACTCTAGCACATTGTCCAAGGATTGAATTTCTCTAGACTTCTTTACATGTTGCTCGTAAAGTTGTAGGATTTCCGTTGAGAATGGTCGCAACAAAATCTGAGCAAATAGAACGTCAGCTTCATTACAAAATGTACCTTTTTCTTTGACGCACTTGCGGATATTGCCTTTATCATTGTTCTTCAGCAGTTTCATGTGCACTAGCTGGTTAAAGGCGTTAGCAAATATTTTGCGTTTATTTTCGTAGCTTCTACGAGCCAATTAATAAATGGTCTACGACCATTTTGGCTTCTCCTTTGAGGCATGATTTCAGGTAGTTCAGCTTCCTTGTGTCGCTGATATCTTTCCTGTTGTGAATCACCTCGGCGAATAATTCGATAAGCATTGGCCAATCTTTGGAACTTCGATTAAAGTGAGAAAGATCTACTTTCGGTATCTTTGGAACGTCTTTTATATTGTGCACGTCAACTACTCTTCTGCTTAATTTTCTTGTGAGTATGCTGACATTGCATTCCAGCTCATTAATTTCATCGATGTCAAAGGCAAATTTCTCATAATTTGGCTCTAAACCCGTGAGTGTTGACTGGACTTTGTTCCAGAAGAAAATAAACTTTTCTGTATAGTCAAGGATTTCTTCCTGGCTGCTGAGCTCTAGGTTGGCATACACCTCTTGCATGTGTTTCCTTACTTTTAGAGTTCTTCTGTCCACAAGGTCCACCATCACATCAATTGGGCTCGAGCTTCTTTGAGAAAATATTTTTTGCTGCCTGTGTTGTGCCTTAAATGTCTTCGGTTGGATGGATGATGTTTGGCCGGTGTCTATGGCATGGTCAGCAAATTCGACTTTCATTAAAGACTCTTCATATTCATCATATTTTCTCCTTAAAATATTAATGGTCGACGACACCAATTTTGATCAACATTAGATGATTGGAAGTAAATTCTTCTGCCAATTTATCGTCTACTGATAACACATCCTTGTTCGGGATGCTCTGCCGGATCTTGTCACAAATATGTGAATGCGTTATGAGCAACTCAAGACAGCATTTTGTTTGCGTTTTTGTACCCTGATCCCATTGAAAATGGGACATCAGGGTATAATGGTTTTGTGCAGTCGATTGAGTCGATTGAGCCCTGTCCGTCTGTCTGACTGTCCGTATGTGTGAACGTGGATCTCAGCATCTATAAGAGCTACAGACTTTTTTGTAGGTTCGTTTTTAGCACGCGCAGGTCAAGTTTGTTTCAAATATTCGATAACTATTCGCATTTAATTATTATCGAATAAAACATGATTGAAATGCAGTTAATAAAATATATATCGAACGTCTTAAGAGCTAGAGCCTCCAAATTTTGTATTTAGTTTTATGTATATTTCATGCAATTTTGATTTTTGTTGGATTTTGGATACCAGCTCCAAACTTCCTCAAATTCTTAATATTTAAGTTTTGTTGGAAATAGGGCTTTTATGTGACGGCGTTTGCATCTCTACCAAGCCAATATAATATGTAGATCATAGACTGAAAATTTCATTAATATACATTAAGTAAAACAGAAGTTATTAAACAAAACGTTTGGCCAATTTGCAATTTTTTTTTAAATATGAATTGGCGGTGTTGGTAGAGCTGATGCACGTTGCGCAAACAATCCGGGCTCGAATCCTGTTCTCGTAATGTCGTTTTTTATTTTTCTTTTTTTTTTTGAATACTCGATACGGAAAATACTAAAAAACTCCAAGAGGACTGGGATCAGGGTATCTCCTAGTCGGGCACCCCGAATAGAGCTTTCTTACTTGTTTTTGTGTAAATTTGTTCCTGATTTAATCTTTGGCTTGACCCATTGTTTTTGTTTTAATGTTTTAATGCTGTACCTCTATCACAGCTTGAATTGGTTAGTCAAAGAAAATTATCTAAACAATTTATCACTGAGCTTTTCCATTTACCCCAAAACGTAGCCTTGTAGATTAGATCGAAGGACCTTGTAATTCACTTTACTGTGATATTGTTCACTATTAAATTGATTCTTAATTCTTCTGAACAAGGGTTCTTATACCCTGACATGCGTATTTCAACCCTTAAATCTAGCTTATCTATTTCTGAGTTTGTAAGGCTCAGCATTGGTATGTATAAATTTAGATTCTAAACATGTGGCCTTATCTATGCACTACCTGCTAGTAGTTGAGTGCGTAGACGGTATGTTTAGAATCCTCGAATATCTTGTACATTCGGGCCTGAACATATATAAAAAATCGGGTATAGCGATTGAATTGTGTTTGTGTTGGTAGAGCTGATACGCCTGGCCGAGAAGATGGTGGTTCGAGTCTATTTTATTTGATTTGTTTTGACAAACAATCCGAAAGTTTGTATATGTGCTTATGCTAGATACAAACTATGAACTATATTTAAAAATGCAAATCGGACGGGGTTTAGAGTATCAAAAAGTCTGACTTCGCCAACTAGTGCTTTCATATTTGTATTATATAGATATAGAAAGATAATATAGACATATAGATATGTAAACTTTCAAATTTATCTTTCGTAATTGTCATAACATGAACTTTGAAACAAAGTTCGGAAAACTTAAATTAAGATCACTTTAGACATTTTATGTTTAGCTCTCTTATATTTTTTTATTCTTCTAAAAGGCGTGCAGATATATACCAAAATTCCTCTTAATCTAGAAGAGCATATATTCCTCAAACTCTTAGCACACAAAATTCTATACCATATTTAAGTATTATACATAAAAAAATCGTGTACTTGACAATATATATATTTAAATGATTCTATTAATAGAAGACGGTCTATAGAAGATCTATTGCCTACATATAGGTAAAGTCTCTACCATTCGCACCAGACCTACTCACTTGGCGATACTGATTAAGTTATATATTTATGTGTAGATATATTTCTTTTATCTGATATATACATTCTTAGCAAAAACTTTATACGCGGAATTCCAATTTTCTATGGTTTCACGTTACTATGAGTTTTTCTTTGAAACACCAATAGAAAAATTATATTCAGTAAAATCTCAAGGTCCGGAAGTAGTAAGCCCAAAACGTTGCTTGTTAAACATAAACAGTCCAAAAGTAATTGAGCACCGTTTATGCCAATGGCTCAGAAATCTATATAAGTGAGAACTCATGTTAAGAACTAGCTATATATGTTCGACTCCATAGCTATTCACCAGTGGACGTTTTGGGTGTGTCACCGTCATATCAATGCGCACATTTAGTGAGAGATAATAGAAAGATAATAGAATAAAGACTTTATGCCTTCTGATGTCGCAACTTCAGCGTAATTTTCGCCGTGTGCACAAAAATCAAATTCAATTGCAGAAACAGGATATAATTCATTTAATTATAAATTAATAAATTGTAGTTAATTGACAGAAAAAGTCTACCTTTGAATGATTAATTATTATTATGTTCAAGTGCAATAAACATTTTGGATGTCTAGGTAAATAGATGCAACGACAACTTACCCGCTTGACAAACATTTTGGAAAACATCTTATCCATTTTTTCCGAATCCAGTCTAAATCAAATAATATTTATTATTGTTTAAGTACAATGTGGCTCGGAGTCGCAACAATCGCATACTACGGAACAGGTTGTATATGTCAACCGAAAGCTCTTCGAATCGGGGCTTATCGCTAATGTGGCTAGTGGATAGTGGGTACCGGGTAGTTTAGAAACCAAATACCCGAATGTAGACAGTCGCCGTTAATATTCAATATCAAATCCAGCCAATCGATCTCGGTGAGCGCAAGCCATATGTGTATATACTATTATATGAGCATGTATTGTCAAATAAGCACATAGATTCCATTTATGAGCGAGCACGAAACGATTGTTAGGGCGATTGAGCGAAACACACGAAGGGCGACAAATTGGCATCGAATGATTACAGGGTGTGCGTATTTCATCAGTTCATAATAAACCATATCACCTTTGGGCTTCAAATTATTGTTTTTATTTCGTACGCCATAATTGACTCAAGGGCGTTTAATTTATTCGCGTCTCAAAATCGTTGACACTACGGCGGATCTCCACTAATCCAGAAGAGTCAGTTGTGGGCGACACCAAAACTGCTCACGCTCTATGCAGAGGGGTTTTTCTATTGTGTCAAATAGGGCGCTCTTGATTAGAGACTTTCTCATATCAGCACCGTCAAGCCCGATAAGATTAGAACCATGTTTTACCTGCTTAACTGACTAACACATTTGAGGCATTTGAACAAGAATGTTATTATACTCGAATTATACTACAACATTTATATATATATATATATATATATATATATATATATATATATATATAATTCGAGTATCTATATATGTATTGGAATTTCTGCATTCCATAAACCAATTCTGAATGCCATGTATTATAGGTACTGCAGCACCCATTATTAAACTGCATATGGTCTATAGGATAAGTACATCAGTACCCAGCCTAAAGCATCAGCCTTTGTGAATACCTTTTGAAGACTTTGTAGCTATGAAATACACAATTCGCACATGACGAAAATCAATACATTCTTCTTATTCACCGTAAATGTTCATAGTTAAAGTTTAGTTTAGTCTTTACTTATTATCATAGCATACTTTATGGAGAAGGCAAAAAAAACGTTTCATGAGTGTCCGCTTGCTTAAAATGAGAATTTGGGGTATATGGGTCCACCTGAAATATTTGTAACAGATGTAGCCATGACACAATTTCTTGATCAGAAAGAGCAAACGTCGAGTCCAGCAAACATTGTACATTTGTCTGTTTATTATTATTTGGCCGCTTATCTGTCCATATGAATGCGTCTATCTCTTCATCTATAGGGACTTGAAGATAGGTTTTCCTATAGGACGTGCAGATGAGGTTAGTTTCAAATAATCGATAACTATTCCCATTTAATGGGTTCAATTAAAAGTGTTATTGATCTTCTATATTTTTAGCATTTCTCCCACTGTTATTTTAGAGCTAAATTCACAAAATTATCCATGTATACAAATTTTATTTCAGATACAAATAAAAACTATAATTAAGGGAGCTTGTTACTTCATATAACTATATTAGAAAACAATACTATTCACTGTTAAAAACTTCAGAGACCAAACCTGCTTTCAATAAACGACTTTTTATTCCATTTTGAAAATAATGAATAAGACTCATTACATAAAGCAGTTAATTAAGTATATTTCTTTCGCTTTGAAGGCTACATTTAACACATATATCCTACTTGAATGGATATCTAATGAGTTCCACAAATAAATACAAAATTAAACAAGTAACAAAGCTCTAGTTGGGGTGCCCGACTAGGAGATACCCTGATCCCTGTCCTATTTGCGTTTATTAATATTTTCCGTAGTTTGTATCGAGTATTCAAAAAAAAAAAAAGAAAACAAATAAAAAACGACATTACGAGACAAGGATTCGAACCCGGATTGGTTGCGCAACGTGCACCAACTCTACCAACGCTGCCACTTCATAATTAAAAAAAAAAATAAAACAATAAAAAATATATCATCTCCTAGCCTAGCTGCCTAGCCTAGCGGCCTAGCTGCATACGAGCGGCGACTCTACCAACGCAGCCACTGCACTTCTTACTCAATCAATTGCAAATTTGAAGTTAAGTAGCAGCTAATAATTTAGCATAATTCAATCGCAATTTCGATTCTTCGAAAAGAAAAGAATATACGCATTTGAATGTATAGGAAAAAATGCGTGCGCGTTTTGCTTAATAACTGTATTACTCAATAGATTTTAATGAAATTCAGCATATGATCTATATATCCTATTGGCTTGGTTGAGATGCAAACGGCTTCATATAATGGCCCTAGTTCCAACTGAACTTAAATTTTAAGAATTTGGGGTAATTTGGAGCCGGTATCAAAAATCCAACAAAAATCAAAATTGCATGAAATATACATAAAACTAAATACAATTTGGAGGCTCTAGCTCTTAAGACGTTCGATATATATTTTATTAACAGCATTTCAATTATGTTTTATACGATAATAATTAAATTCACACATACGGACAGACGAACAGGGCTTAATCTACTGGGCTTGTCGTCCTGATCAAGAATTTATATACTTTATGGGGTCTGCCACGCCTCCTTCTGCCTGTTACATACATTTGCACAAAACCATTATACCCTGATTTCCCATTTTCAATGGGATCAGGGTATAAAAAATAGATAACGGTAAAAAAAATAGGAAAAACTTAGTTTTTTTGGTTATTCATTTTCCACTTGTCACCATTTCACAATAGCCCAGATATTTCCAAATATGAAATTGTATAGTTACATATATATTTGTAAGTGTTTGCAGATACCTCTTTATCTCTTTTTTGCTCACATAGCTTTTACCAATATGTAAACATACCATTCTGTAGATAATGTCATTAATTGATGAAATTCTGATTCTTTGACACAGAGCGTGACGCTGATCCTTCAAAATTATATAAACAAAAGCCGGGATTGAAAATCAAACAAATTAAGTGTAAATATATATATATATATATATATATATATAATATATATATATATTTATATTTATATATATATAATATATATATATATTTATATTTATATATTATATATATATATATATATATATATATATATATATATTATATATATATATATATATATATATATAATATATATATATATTTATATTTATATATTATATATATATATATATATATATATATATATATATATATATACATATATATATATATGTATGTATGTATATGTGTGTACGAGTATACTCAGGAAGGAGAAGCCTTCTACGCGCAAACTGATCTATCGGCAAACTGTCGAAGAATTGTTGATAGCGATATTACTCGCAATGATATGAGGCATACATATAAATATATATATATATATATATATATATATATATATATGCATATATATACATACAAATGGGCTTACCGAATCACATTTATAAGCATATATATATATACATAAAAAAAAAAAAAATATATATATATATATATTTGTGTGGGGAAGGGGAATATTATCTAAACCATTCACGTTATATTTTAAACTTCCATATATTCTTTCTAAAATGAAATAAATTGGCTGCTGTAGCTCCCAACATAATATTAAAAAAATTATTTTCTTAAAAGTTTAGAAAATAATACTAACAATTTAGTTTCTGTAAATATCCAGTAATATGTACTGGAAAAATTTACCTTTTTTTCAAAAACTCAAATTTAAAAAAAAAAAACAACAAGTTTTTGGTCAGAGAGCACACATAGGAAAACAGAAGTTGGAAAATTACGCGCTAATCTGATGACGAGCAGTGTATATAATACATAATATACAATATATATTATATATAGGTATTGCTATATGAGTGCATATTGAAGAAAATGGTGTAGATAGCCGTAGAAACATTTCAGATACGGGCAGTGTTTGACCAACCCTCTCCTGACTACGCCTATGAGGCACTCTCAAATACCGTTCACTTCGATGTTTTTTCTATCTTAACTAGCCCCAGCCCCAGTCACTGAACCAAAGCTATAAGGTAAAGTTGATAACATTATCTTATCTGAAAGCATTGAATCATGCACACACATTTGCACATACACACATACACACATATGTAAGCAAACCGAAACGTACGCATAGACTTGACTCATTTCCGTGGGCGTTATCGTCTGAAAGCTTGTATGAGGGGTTAGATTATTTCGGTTGGAGTACACATTACCCGTGCGTTAGCAAAGTTCGCTCAAGGAATCGTAAAATACACATACATATGTACGTATATATATATGCATATATGGTATATAATGCGCACCTATGTAAAGAGTAGTTCGTAGCCTTATCTCACATATTATCGGCGAGAGTACGTAAGATATCGGCCTGTACTCTGTTTAAAAGGTGTCTACAACAACACATGAAATAAACGTGCATTAACATTCTGTATTTGCTGAATTGCTAACATTTATTTTATTACATTTTTACAGAAATAAATAAACTTCGCTAACGTTAGTTGCACAAAAAAAACGAAAAATTAAAAAAAAATACTCTTTTTTATACTTGTACACGAAGTAAAATGAGTAAATTATGAACGCAAACCATTTTGCCGCTATTGAAACTAGATACTTGAAATTTGGAATATATACTCGTGGGTACCCACCTGGGACGTGGCAAATCGGAAAATACTGAATCGAGTATGTCAGAAAAGCTATATATTGTGTATAAAGTGCTTGAGACTTTAAATTTGGAATATATACTCTCTTGGACAATGTAATACAAAAAAATATATCTACGCCTATTATGGACGTGGAAAATCGGATAAAACTGTTCTTCTACAGTTCGGATGTACTGCTAACATTATCAACAAATTGATGATTAAAAGAGATATCTACACCCAAAGGAGCAAATCAATTTAACAAAAAAAAATTAAGCACTTTTACAATTATGTTAGTACAGATAATTCTAAGAATTGGCCAAAAATTTCATATTCTAGTTTTGTTGTTAACAACTAAAATACTTTTTACCTCTTCTATCGATCTACCAAATCGGACAATATACATTCATTATTTTTATCATTATACGTGACAGAAAAACAGTAAATAACTTCATAAATACTTTAAAATCAAAAGATTCTAACATTTTCGATCCTAACATTTTCCAAAAAAATATGAAGAAAATTTTAATTTTACTAAAATTGCTAAATAAATACCCAGCACTCAACTTTTTGACTTCATTTGCTAACACATACGTCTAACTGCCTATGCTTTTCCTTCTTCTTTTTCACCTTAAAATATTTTCTAGAGATCTTTATCTTATTCAATTATATTTATTATGGACTGAATTCCAAATCTTCTTGAGACTTATGAATTAACAATAAGTATAAGTGTAACAATATAAGTATAAGGGTATTCACTTTATTAATACATGAAAGCTTTATTCCGACACTTCCATACCTTAATTAATATCTCGAAGCTCACAATATCTGGTATATTTAATTTTATTAGGTAGACTTTAGCATAAGTAAAAAGCACACATAACCAATTAAGCACGTTTAAGCATAGTTATTTCATATTTTCAGATGTCTCATATAGCCCCAAAGCTCTATTATTTACTTAACAAAAGTGTTTAACTAAACAACATTGAAACCTTTTTAAAGGAGTCAAGCAACCAGCCAGATGCTATTGAACATTTTTGACTTGTTGATATCAACTCGAATTTACGATATTCCGTCGAGACGTTCGCCCGCCTGGTCGAATATTCATTATATATAGATAATTTACAAACATATATGATTAATTGCTTACTACTTCGACGAACATTTACAATGTCGAAACTAAAAGGATTCCTGTTGACAGACTGCTGAGTAACCCTTTTGTCTCCAAAATAACTCCTTTTTAAGTATAAGTCAATGTAATGTAAAATTAAAATAAATAAATTCTTTAAAAAATTACCATTCGACCATTTATATATCATATTATCATATAACATATTAGGCACATGCATACATATATACTAATTTAACACTTATGGTATAAAATTCGAAAGTAAGTAATACATGAAAGTGCATTATAGAATACATTCAATGAAAGCAATAAAATATTAAAATATTTTCAAAGTGTTTGTCGTGATTGATCCCAATCTGAAACTAGACTTGCACACGTCGATTTAGAGCAACGATAACCAAAGCTGGATAGATTACTTGTAAGCAATGATATTTGAATAAATATAGTTGTTGTTGGATCGAAAACGGGCTTACAACAGTCTACTATTTTAGCTTACAATTATTCCTGTTGGTTTGTGATATTTCACACATTCGTGTACGACCAGTCGAATACTCTAGTTAGATGAGTCAGCAATATTATCTTATGTTGGGCCTTTAGACAGCGGTATTTATCTTATATAGGCTAGAAATGGAAATACCTCTGCTGAGGGTCTAATTATTTATTTGTGAATTGTGTAAATGGAATTTTAAGATATATATATTTTTTAACGGTGATTGTTTTTGATTAATGATACTTATATATAGAGCTACTACGATTGATAAAAAAGTATGTTTTATAGGATAGGCACTTTCTCCTTTTAATATTTCTTTACTACTTGTATATCTCGACATAGAAAAAATTTGTCAACGACATGAATTAAGTTTAAGCTTCTTCTTATATATATTACCATGAACATGAAATGAATCAACTTCGGACGATATAAAATGCACTTTTAATATTTATCTGAATAGTTTTATAGCGAAATCCTTAAGTGCTAGCTCAAGTATCTGTCTATGGGTAACCAAAAACCATCTTTCTCCAAAGCTACAAAATATTCTACAATTGTGCTGAGGATGATGTAGATGCTCAAAAACTTTCGTGCCTTTCTCACAATACGTATATCGTACCATCTATAAACAATATAAAAGTTAGTAATAAGCACAAAACACTTCGAGTTAAGAAATATACCTTGTTATTGTATTATGTTATTATTAACAAGCTATATCTAATCTAAGCCGATGTTAATCTGAAATAATGATTACATAACTGGTGTATTGTTCTAATGACAGTTGTTTGTAGTGTAACTGCAATAATTATAGTGTGATGGCGGTTAAGAGTATTTAAGCAATTAATCTCTCTTGTCAACGGGATATTTGAATATCGAACTGAAACTAACTAAATAGCTCCTATGTCGGTCATTCCTCTACTTGTTTTCAACGGTTCGTATCGCTCAGAAACGAGAGTACGTTATACATTCCGATTAAATAAGAACATTCTTGACTAATTTCAGTCGAAGTTTAGCATTGCAAGATAACACTCGTGTGTTACCCATAATCCATCAAAAAGCCAATTTCAAGAGTGAGCCAAAAACAAAGAATATTTCAATAATGTTGCGATCCAGTAGCAAAGAGAAAGAACCGTTACGCATAACAATTGGCACTCCGAATCAGCAAAAGAGATTGCCCTTCAACCGCGTACGAACGACCAAGTACACCTGGTTAACCTTTATTCCCTTGAACTTTTACGAACAGTTCCGACGCGCCGTCTACTTTTACTTTCTGCTAATTACTATTATATCATTCTTCGTTAGTATGTCAGATAATCATGACTGATATAACTAATATACATAACTTCAATTCTAATGTAGATGATACTATATCTCCACTAACATCGCTGCTACCGCTGTTGTTCGTTATGATAGTGACCGCACTGAAGGAAGGTATCGAGGATTATTGGCGGTCACAAAATGATAAGATTGTTAATACAGCCAAAGGTTCGAATATTTCTTAAGCAACTTCTAGATAAGACTTATACTATATGTTGGTGGCTATATACTATATGTTAGCCATGTCCGTCTGTTTTTTGGTCTGACCGTCAACTACAAAAACTTAAAATTTCGCTGTTTAAATATATATTTTTGAATTTTAATGGCCGTGCAAAAATATCTATTTTTATCGATAACTCATTCCATTTTCTTCTCAGCGATCTTTTGAGTTTAATTCGAAATCATAACGTTTACATATATATTGGCGGAAAACACACACATTTTGAATAATTTTGATTTTGTTTTTGATTTTGGATACCAGATACCCGACTTAAAAAACATATTCAAATTTCAAGTAGGGATTTCGGCTTTGTCATAGTTAAGCTCTGAAATATTCCCTAAATTAGAATTGTACTGATTGACTGCTCGTAAAGCATGTGTGTGCTTGTATATGTATGTATATGTACATATGTACACATATGTAGAAGCTTCCGGGTATCTCAGAGTCAAACTCTTCTGACTAGAGCACTTTAACTTTGTTTTTCCATGCTACAGTAGCCGTTATACGCAATGGAAAGGAACAGTGTATAGATTCGGAATACGTTGTACCAGGCGATCTTGTGGTAGTGACTAGTACGACTTATGTTCCATGCGATCTGGTATTGCTTCACTCGTCTTCAGCAGAGAACATGTGCTTTGTCAACACGGCGAACTTGGATGGCGAAACGAATCTGAAGCCGATCTTTGCTCCAACTAACTACACTTACAATGTGAACGACGATGTTAAGCACTTAGGTTGTATCGTCTGTGAGCCCTCAACGCCAGATCTCTACAAGTTCAATGGACGCATAGAAGCGAATGCAGATGGTGAAGATAAGCCAGAATCTATACCATTAACAATCGAAAATATCCTATTGCGTGGTGTACGCATTCGTGGGCCAGAGCGTGTTGTCGGCTGTGCCATTTACACAGGAATGCTCACAAAACTTCAATTGAACAGCCGCTATACTGGCAACAAATCAGCGTCCAGTGAGCTCTACATCAACAAATTCATTATAGCTCTGATTGTAGGAATGGTAGTTGTTGTCTTTATACTCTACCTTTTCGAACGGTAAGCGTATATACAATTTATTGAAAACTTACTCGCTCAGATAGAGTAGGTTCTTCTTGTAAAGTGTCAATGATATATGATCAATGGTCAATGGCATATCAATTTTGACTGTTTGACTAATAGTACTCAGCGCATTTTTAAGAAACTGGTTATTCTTCTAACAGTAACCCTTTTGTTAAAAAAAATTCACTAGGGACAACTAAGACTTTACAATACATATAATTTTTTATACCCTGAGCCCATTCAAAATAAGCAGTCCTTCCCTCAGTCAATAATACCATGATTCGATTAATCAGCTTGTTTCATATTGTCAATTATATACTGAAGCAATTCAAGAGCAGAATTTTTGTGTAAGCATCGATAGTATATGTATATTTATTTTTAGGCAAAAATCAGCCGAAGTTTATCCAACTCTATACTATTTGGGACCCCCTATTAACTATAATGCGATCTGGCAAATCTTTGAAGATTTTCTGTCATTTCTGATTTTATTCAACTATATGGTGCCGATTTCAATGTATATGAATATCGAATTATATCGAGTTTTTGGCGCTCTATTTATGAGATCCGATTTGAATTTATACGATGAGGAGACCAATCAACCGTGTGGAGTGAATGCATCCAATTTGAATGAAGATCTGGGTCAGATAAACATATTATTTTCAGATAAAACTGGAACTCTCACCAAAAATCAAATGTTGTTTCTCAAGTGCTACGTAAATGGACATAACTACCTTCTACAAAACAACCAACTATATTGCCCCAATACAGACGAGAGCTACGAACTTTGCGCAACAGATGTAAGTAACACTGAGTCCTAAACTTATTATCAGTGTTAATCGAATCTGTTAATCCTCAGACCAATGTGAATAACTTTTTTGAGGCGTTGGCCCTGTGTCATACAGTGGAAGTTATAACTAGCTCTGATGATAACTCAACCGAAACTCCATCGAATCAAGAGAGCCTGATAACTTCAGACATTATTGACAGATATCAAGCATCTAGTCCAGATGAAAAGGCCATACTTGAGGGATGCGCTAAATTGGGATTGATTTTCCAGGGTACCAACTGCAACTCTATGTATCTCACCCGAATATTCGGCGGTCGAAATTATGGCGTCGCACACTACGAACGCCTTCATGTGCTCGAGTTTAGCTCGGAGAGGAAACGCATGAGCATTATTGTTCGGGATGAGATGGGTATTATCTGGCTATATAGTAAAGGCGCTGAAGCTGCCATACTGCCACGCTGCAAGCCAACATTTTCCACTGCCCTAACGGATGCCCAAATAGTGGACTATGCCAAGGAGGGTCTTAGGACCCTAGCCGTTGCCAAACGACGCCTAACTGAAGAGGAATATGCCAGATTCGTTACATCATGTAAAGATATCAACATTCAAATCACAGATCGAAATAAACTTCTTGCAGCATGTTACGAGACAATCGAAGTGGGTAAGTGTTAAAATATATGTTTCGAATTACATATATAAAACTACCGACATCGGAAATTAGCATTTGTATTATTTTGTACTTCAGATTACGATCTGCTTGGCGCTACAGCATTGGAGGATGCACTTCAGGACGATGTTGACAAAACATTAATTTCCCTGCAAGAAGCAGGCCTGAAGATTTGGGTCCTTACGGGGGATAAAGTGGAAACAGCATTCTCCATTGGCATGGCCTGTAAACATATACCGCAAATAGCCAATGTGCACTTCCTTATCAACATAACCGAGCGTGAAGAGCTGCAAAACCGTTTGAATCAGATCGAACTTGACATTGCATCGCTTATATCGAAACCCACGTGTCTGGTCATTGATGGTATAACGGTATCTGTACTATTGCTGAAGCTGCCGGAACAATTCGCTGATGTGGCACTCAAATGCAAGGCCGTGCTATGCTGTCGTCTGAGTCCCCTACAGAAGAGCGAAATAGTTTTGCTTATAAAGAAGTCGGGCAAGCATATTACAGCAGCCGTTGGCGATGGGGCCAATGATGTGTCCATGATCCAAGAAGCCCACATTGGCATTGGCATATCCGGTGTAGAGGGCAAACAGGCAGCCCGTAGTGCTGATTATGCCATTGCCAAGTTCTTTATGCTGCAGCGTCTGCTGCTAGTGCATGGTCATTACAACAATGAACGATTGGCGTTTATGGTGCTTTTCTACTGCTATAAGAATATAATTATCACTGGTTGCATGGCACTTTTTCAAGTATACGACTTGTATTCGGCGACGTCTGTCTATAACGAACTGTTCTTATGGCTATTTGATATTATTTACATATCCTTCAGCTTTACATATTTGGCCATTTCCGACAAGCATTACAGTGAGAGCACATTGCTAAGGTGAGTTAAATGCGATAATACCTAATATATGGAATTTCATAATTATATTTGGATATCAGATTCCCGACTTTGTACAAAGGAATTGCCCACAACAAGCTGGCCTCATGGAAAGCATTTGTAATATGGATTCTAAATGGTGTCTTTCAAACTCTCACTATTTTCTTCTTTGCCTATGCTGTTTTATATGACTGTAATGTCGTCTTTAAACAGGGACAAACTGCAGATTTTTCAACTTTTGGAACTATGCTTATAATGGTACTCGTGATTGTTGGTAATTTGAAGGTATTGCTAGTTTCACACTACATGAGTTACCTTAACTTTGCGTTTATTATTGCATCGATTTTTGCATTTATATTAAGCACTTACCTTTACAATTTGGATAGTAGCAGTACCTTATACCATGTGTACAATATGTTTTTGACTTCGCCTTCCATGTGGCTATATATTATTATTTGTACAGTGGCATGCTTGTTGCCTGACTTTGTAATGAGAGCTATTAACGACATGTTCTTAGATCGCTCCAAGTCAAAATAGATTAGTAATTTTTAAATCGTGGTTTCCCAAGACGTCTACATGCTATTTGCAACGTTTTTATATAATACCGTACAATAAAAAGTATTATTAGTCAAATTGGATTGTATTTAATTTCATATTTAAATTGAAGCGGAAAAAGAATATCGATATGTCGGGGCAATTATTTGATAAAATCGTATCAGCACTGCATAGCGTTTGAATAAGTACAGCTGTGCAGTAAAATTAAACACACGATTGCCGTGTGTTGGCAAAGCGTCAGGGCTGCAAATATATTAGTATTTTGTATCGGCAATGTACCTGAAAAATTTATTTACTTTTTATTATTATTAAAGTATAATTATTATGTCATTATTACAATTTTTTTGCTCTGTTTGTTAGCGAACCAAAGAACCTTAAGTACTAACTTTAAAAACGATTGCCTAGAAATATATCGAATGGTTATTCATCGGTATCGGTATTAACAATGCATCGATTTATTTTGTACATGTATCAGGGAAATAAAAAATAATAATAATATAGCTAAAAAATTAAAAATTAGATAAATTGTGTATAGATTAGCAATGGAAGTCGAATACGATGATTCCGGCTGGCAAGGCCGCACAAAACAACAGTCAGGTGCCGAGGTAAACAATTTTGACGTTTATGTCTACACCATACCAAAGCAATCCAATCAAAACAACATACTTGTTTGCTTTTACACACTTGTTTCTAAATCAAGGAGCTGCACGAAGACAATCCGCAGAAAACAATACAAGAATGTCTCGAAAAATTTCTAACGCCCGACTACATAATGGAACCAGGAATTTTCACACAGCTCAAACGCTACTTCCAATCCGGCGGCTCCCCAGAGGAAGTGATATCGATGTTATCTGAAAACTACAAAGCGGTAGCGCAAATGGCAAATCTACTGGCCGAGTGGCTGATTTTAGCAGGTGTTAAAGTTACTGAAGTCCAGGCAATGGTAGAAAACCATTTAAAGGAGATGATTCTAAAATCCTTTGATCCAAAAAAAGCAGACACCATATTTACTGAGGAGGGCGAGACGCCGGACTGGCTTACAGAAATGATTGATCATTATACGTGGCGATCACTAATATATCGTCTCGCTGAAGAATATCCAGACTGCTTGATGCTTAACTTCACTATAAAACTGATATCAGATGCTGGGTTCCAAAGTGAAATCACATCAATCTCAACAGCCGCCCAGCAAATTGAAGTGTTTTCTCGCGTTCTCAAAACTTCGATTGTTAAATTTCTAAATAATCCCGACGATGTGCATGGCGCCATTCAAGAGTGTGCACGCATGGTCTGCCACGGCCAGCACACGTATGTTTATTCGCAGGTGTTGATTCAAGTGCTTAGTCAGGAGCAGAAGGGTGGCTTCAATATGAAACGCTTGTCCCAGGAAATCATCAAATACGCATTACAGAAGTATACATAAGTATATATTGAATCTAATGCATGTCACTTTTGTAACTTATTTTTTTTCATATATTTTTAGCAACCAGAACGTAACACCCATTACAATGGCACTGAATGGATCGGCGGTATATCCGCAGGCGTGTCAGGCTCTTACCTCAATGTTAACCCGAAATACGTTGAATCCGGCGGATATTACCGTGCTATTTCGTAATTATTCGGGCTCAGATCCACCGCCAATAGATCTGATACGGAATCCGCAGTTTTTGGAACTATTAGTCGATGCGCTCTTCCGTTCTGGTGTCAAAATTAATCCGGAACACAAGCCCAAATATATTTTCTTGTTGGCATATGCCTCTTCCGTTATTGACCAGCCAGCGAAGAAGAGACCCATGACCGAAAGAACTTTAAACAAAGACGAACTGAAGAGCACGATTCAAGCAATAGAAAAGGCACACGCTATATGCAATGTAGACCAAGGGTCCACTGAACTCATTGCGGAGTTACAGACGCTTTACAATTGCATCAAGTAGGGATTTTACTCTTGACTATAGAAGCATAAATTAATATGTATATATTTACTATTCTTTCCTTCTTTTCCTGTGTATATAGGTATCCAGTTGTTGGTGTCGGTGTAATCCGATGGATAGAAAATGTTGTAATGGAACCATCATATTTTAAACTATCTACAGATAGCTGCCCCACACATTTGGCAGTGCTGGATGAGGTTGCTGGAGTCCATCCAACATTGCAGCAGCAAATTCTTTTTCTACTTATCCGTTTATTCGAGTCCAAGCAGGATGAATTGGAGATACTTGTGCAACTTGAAATGAAGAAAATGATATTGGACCGAATGGTTAATTTGTTGACACGCGGTTGTGTTGTACCTGTGCTACGATACATCAAGCAATGTTGTGCAATCGAAGACACAGACATTTCGTTAATTCGATATTTCGTTACCGAAGTTTTAGAAACCATAACGCATCCCTACTCGGCCGAGTTTGTGCAGCTCTTCCTGCCAATGGTTGAGAACGAGGAGATTACGGGTACAATGCGCGGCGAGGGCGACAACGATCCCGTTTCGGAATTTATTGGTGAGTCATTTCAAAAACTGTATTTTCGTGTATATATTTTAGTCTGTATTATCTTCTCTTTTTCAGTGCACTGTAAGGCGCATTTTATAACTGTATAGCCGACAATTAATTAGCAATTTAAGTAAAAAATTTTTTTAGCTTTTAAGTCAATATTCATGTATATGTATATCAGTAAAGTCCAGTTTTCAACTTTCCTATTTTTATTATACGGATTTTTTATTTTGACACGGTCTTTTTCACTTTCTATCTCTCTCTCTCTCTCTCTCTCTCTCTGCCTCACTCGGATCGATAAAAAGTAAAATCAACAATACAAAAATAAGTCACATAGATTTATTGCAACCAATGATCATTAGTAACTGATACAAAATACGTTTAATCGTATGAATACGCGTTTACATATAATTATATACTAAATAGTCCGATTGTGGATGTACATATATATATCAGTGATGAACTCTTTTAAAAGTATGTCCAGCTTGAATATATATACAGACAAGCAAATGTAATATTTCACAAAATATATATGTATGTGCATCTAAATGATTGGCCAAAAAAACTATTAATAATGTTTGGTTTATGACTTAGACACTTTTATAATGTACTTCTGAGTAATGCAGTCCAAATTTCATTAAACTGCAGACATAAAACGTAAAATAAATTAATCGTCGTACTATGTTGAATTTTTCAGTCATCATTAAAACAAAACACGACAAAAATATTAAATGAACCTTAAGTTCACACAGTTAAATGTTCCTACATATTTTACAAATTAAAACAAAGATAGAAAAAAGTTAAATATGTTAAAATCAGAGTCAGGCATAAGCAGACACACCCATTTGCTGGTTATGACTGAATTTGATTTTGATCATCGAATCTTGTACAATTAGTAGACTTATGGGACAATTACGTAAATAAAAGTTCGTTCGATATCAATTGAGTTGAAGCTTTGGTTGGCAGCTTATGCAAATTTTGAGCTAACTTTTAAATGATTTAATTGCTTTTCTTAACGTCTTTACTATCGCCATCCTTGGCTTGGCCACGTCCCAAAATCTTGGCCAAACTATCCCATATGCCACCAAAGAAGATTGCACAACACAGATTCTCCAGTGGTAGGAACGGATCGTGTATGCCCAGCAAGATAGAAGAAAGCTTAAAGTACACCAGAAAGATGACAATGCCAAAGTAGACTAAGGCATGTGGCGCTGAGATCCAATCGGTCTTTTTATCAAGCACAAATATGATAGAGGCCAGCAAAGACGCTTTCGTATAGCTGAAAACAAAAAGACAAACAATTAGTTTATACAAAAAATTAAGATTGATTCGTTTACAAGGATGGCTGCATGAATTCCATTGCTGTCGGTGTCCATGCACCTCTTATAAGCCGCTCGATTAGCTTTGTGAAGCCAGCGCCATTGCCCTTCAGAGTGCCAATTATGATCATGATTATCCAGGCATTTGGATACAGTTTGGCCGCATGTCCCACTCCGTCGTAAACTTTCTTTGCGCGATATATTTCCTTCATGGCACTGGCCACAATTTTCACAGGCAAGAATTTGGCTACTTTGTATCCAATATCAAATGGTGTATAAAATACTATATACCTGCGATAATTAGATATATATATATATATATATATATATATGTATGTATATATGTATGTACATATGTGATTGCATAGTTAACTAACCACACAGATGTGCCCACAAGGAGCTGTCCGGTGTTCTTCAATGGTGCCAATATAGGCTCCCCAAGCAATCCATTGGCCACCATGCCGCCCGCGAATATTACCAGCATTGTGGACAGCCAACATGCTAGCGGGTGCTTCCGGGAAAATGCCTGAGCATTGGCGCCCAAATCCTCGCGCACGGCCAGCGCGGCAAGTAAACTGTGCGCGATATCAAAGAACGGAAACATTTTTAGCTTGATGACCTGATTGGCCACATCCAAAAACGCTTCCGGGTCCATGATCACAGCTGATCTTGTATCCTGCCTTCACGGATAATATTCCCTATGTGGCAGAAAAATATATCATGAAAAATATCATCATTTGTTGAGCTTTTCGAAAGGTAAAAAACTACCGGATTACCGCACAAAAAGAAACAAGACAGAAAATTCTATAAAATGTTTGGTGCGTTTTTAAAATTAATAGTTTTTTATTTAATGTTTTTATTTACAACTGGTATTTTTGTTATTTAATTTTTATGTTTATATAAAAGTTATATAATCATAGGCAAATTCGAGCGACAATTTGCACTTTGCAATTAGAACGAAGACATTTTTAATTCTGTATGAAATATTTTGTGGCATACGAAAAATGCCTATGTAAAGATATATGATGATGTACATATATTATCTAAATATATGTATGTATATCTGAAGGTATGTACGTAAATATATATAGACCGATATCGAATGCGTTTGCTCTGATTTCTTACACTTTCTATTGTAAATTCAAATTAAAGCTCTTTGAACCCGCACTCACGCCGCGATGCTGAGAGATGTAGAAGTTGTCGAATTGTATGTTAATGTCGAAAAACATAAAAACAAATTCTAAGTCTAAATAAAAATGTCGCTGCTATGCCAGAGCTCCAAAAATAAATTTCGCCGAGTAAACGGCGAGGGCTGAAAGAGGCGTGCACCGGGTCCCCGTGCGAGTCCGTCCGTTTGACAGTCTAGTCGTTCGCCAGCTCATGCGTTTTTACGTATCTCTTGTGAGTGGGTGTATGTGTGTACATGTACACATCGTTCACTGGCGTTGACTGTTTTCGAACGAAAGTTAGGAGATGTATGTGTATGTGGGCATTCATGTATGGTTGTGAAATAAATGAATACAAGCAAAATATGTTACGTTTTACTCCCCACACGCGTTTCCGGTCGCAGCTCCTTAAGGAATCTGGTATACATAACCTCTTAATCAAAACTGGCTAGCAATATGCGCACTATTTATTTAAATTATTTATATATAATTATGTAGTTAAATATGTATGTATGTGATCCACATACAATTAAAAGAATATTCAAAATAATTCTATAAATTACCTACGTCTACACGCGAACAACGGATTGCTCAGTGCAGCACGAACACGGGGAGACTGGGCTCGAAGCTGGCCCGTATATTACATGCTCATGTTGATTCGATAATTCGACGTCGCTCTTGGGAATACGTTATATATTTAGAATCTGTGAGTTCTTCAGAGAAACAAACGAACTATTTATATTCATGTATGTGTAAATAGCTGATTAGAAAGCTAATAAAATTGTGTCATAATTCGAAGTTTACTCTACAACTCCTAATTATTGCGTTTGCGTATGTATGTAAGACAAATTGCATTTGCCAATATATATTTCATATCATTTTTATATATGTTTTTATTTACTGTGGCAAGTTCTTATTTAGAAATGGAATGCTCCTGTCCGATCTATACTAAATATTTGTTTAAATTATTTTGCAGTTAGTCGGTCACATTGTTTCTTGGATATCTCTTGTGCTTATCATGAACCGACTAGAAAGAAACAAGTTAAATTTTCTTCAAACTATCGATAGGTGCGAGAAGCTGGTATAATCGGTACTTCGATGACTCGATTATCAAAATTTTTAATGTTGACATCACTAACTTACTGTATTTTTTTGTGTTTTTACAAATTCTAATTAAAACTTCCAATACTTCAGCGAACTCATATTAAATAAATCCGTCCAAACAAGATAGTATATCGGCATAATTTGTAAACAAATCCACATACGTTTCATACATACAGCTTATAGAAACAATATATTTATATATATATATATATATATATATATATATATATATATATATATATATATATATTTATTTATTTATTTTCTTTATATATATATATATATATATATATATATATATATATATATGCAGACATACACATTTATTGTTTGTACAAAAAGTGGTGCAGATTATTATATTGCCATTAACGATAATATAAGGGTCTCACAACAATAAGGTAAGTGTCATTTACAGTTTATTTTACAACGCTGCTCATATTTACAAAAGAAAATCAAAAGCAAGCTTTTGACTCGTCGTAATGTTTATTTGTACAAAACCAACATGTATATATATTTACATACACACATGTGGATATTTGTATCACATCCATTGACTTACACACTCGCATAGGCACGCATGCACACATACGCACTTATTGTGGATCTTGGCTTATTTGGTGAAACTGATTTGCAAATTTAAGGTCGCAGCAGTTGGGGCGTATTAACAAGGGAATTTAGGTGAAGGATAACGTAATGTAAGATGGCTTAATCAGAGATAACCCTAGGCAATTAAGATATTGCCATTTATGCTTGCAAATGTGTACATCATTAACGCTATCTTCTGTTTGTTAATAACTAAACATCAGCAGTGACACGCATGCATATACTTACAAACATATTGATATATGTGTATGTGTTTGTTTTGTCATATACACTATCAGTACGTTCAACAATAGTATAGAAAGCTGTAAGTTATCATAAGAGCTTAGTAAGGGTGAATTGTAACAATTGTTTGGATCGATGGGCATATAAATTCCCCAAATGGAAAAAGCATCTAGGGGTACCTCTGGATATTTGTGAATGAACACGAATGCATGTGTATGTTCGTCTGTGCTTGTTTGTATGTAATATTTGAAATGGGGCGTTGATTTTCAGATGGCTTCCAATTCATCTAAGAAAAGCAAATCGTCTGGTTTACGCATATTGTGGATACCAGGACGAAAAAGCCATCCGAAAGGTCGATTGAGTTCTACAAACAAACACATCTCGTATTCGCCCACCCAAAAGAAAAACGAGGTGTGGAGCTTGGGCGGCAGCAAGGCCCAAACTGAACTAATTGACTTGTGAGTATATAAACCACCCCACCGCTTCCTACGTTCTACTTTAAGTCAAAAGATTAGCTAGTCCACAACATTATATGGCACATACTCTCACAATTATATATGTATTCAGCTAATATATATAATATCAGCAACGAAGCCATATTTCAATGTTTTAACAAGCGTATATTTTATTTTTTTTACTGTGTGAAGGATCTATATATCCTAAATTTTGTAAATTATATTATATGTTAAGATGTTAATATAAATTTAATATATTTGTAACGTTTATCATTATCACATTCCTTTAGGCCCTCTCCAGAAATCAACGGTCCTTCGACATCATCATCATTGGCTCTGCTGGGCGCCATGTCTTCGACGCTTGTGAAGAGTGTAAAAAGCGATTCACTGAATCGCAATTATATAACGAACCCAGACGACGCAATAGCAGTATCAGAATGCGCCACATTGCCAACAACTCCAGTCGCGGCAATAACACCAAATTTAAATAGTCCACTATCGGAGCTGGCTCCGTTGACACCCTCAACCACAGCAATGGCTTCCCCAATTGTTGTAACAACAGTTGAAATTCTTGATTTAGTAAGTAGTGATTGTGGTTATATATATATATACATATATATATATATATGTATGTACTAGAGTTTAATTTGTATTTTATCTACAATAGCATATTTTAAATCCCGATGATTTGCCTAAGGTGCCATCGCTCGGCGAAACTAATTTATCAGCATCGGCCGTCATACTAAATAGTTCAGCCGGGACGACAGCATCAATAACAACGAATTCATCTCCTTTAGCCAATCGAAAAGCTCACAACCAGATAGCTGTCAATAACAGTTCACCTCACAAAAGCACACACAGAAACCATAACAATAATCAGGTTAACTTGAATCATTTTAATTACGATGTGACCAAACGTAAACATAATCATTCCTATTGTTTCTTTAAGCAGGATGATATAAATTCGATTGAAAGTATTTCAAGTTTTAATAGAACTCAGATATCTACAAATTTTGAATGGATTGATGAAATGGTGCACCAGCGCAACTGCTCCGAGCTGATGCACAAAAACAAACGTAAAAAATCGAAAAAGGTCATTGCTAGCCAGGAAATGGATCAATTGGATGGACCTAAAGTTACGGAGAAACATGATGCAAAATTAATGGCACCTTACGATGACAATGATGAAAAGGTGGTTAAATGTCTTTATTATTCCCTCATGTGCTGCGACTGTACAATATCATAGATGTAGATTTAGAAATAAAACAAACGGTGCATATGCACGTACATATGCGAATGTATGTAGCTTAAGAATGTAAGCATTTACAAAATTGCTCAAATATTTTTATATGTATGTATGAACAAACTTGTACATTCTTTTCCGGATCAGAGGATTATATGCTTAGTAGTTTGTACATACGCACAAATCGCCAGTGCAAAATAACCGTGATCAAGTATTCCATTTAATAATAATAATATTCAAAATTTAATATATCGAATTTATGCAAACGCACAAATTTTTGTCAAATCTCAAAAATCGAGAAACTAGCGAAATCAAATTGTTAATTTACATTTAGCACTTCCTCCACAAACGCACACACTCGAGATATGTATTATATCAATATTTGATACTTTTATACATACATGTATATTTGCCTGTAAATAAAGTGAACGCATTTTTCTACTGATGCTTTTTCAATATTTCTTCAAAATATTACTGAATGTCATAAAGACTTATCGCTTATTCACATTTGCTATCATATCATACATGCATATATCTTACTCTACCTAAACACATATGTATATGTACATGCATATACCCATAAACGAAGTTCCTTTGAAAACGACTCCTGTTGCATACGATAAGTACAAACTAAAAATAAATATATGAAGAAAAAACACATTCATTGTTCAACTTGACATAACATTTTTCATAAAAATTTAATACAAACATTAAATTTACAAATATATATATATAAAAACAATTCACAATCACATATAAATTTTTATCATTTCGGATGTTAAATATTTCGATTCGCTATATTCCTCAAGGTTAAAATGTACTAGTCCAGAGCAAGAAATTCAGGATCAAAGTTGTTGGTGTTTCATTTGTTGCAATTGTTGGTATGGGTGCATTCGCATATAATTTATCAAGGAATCAGCTGTGAACAACCTTGTTATTCATTATGCTGCTCGTTGCCTGATTCAAATACGTGGGACTGCTGTTTTCGGTGTATATGTTTACATTGTGTTGCGTATCTAATTTACTTTGATTCACATTATCCGCACGTTTGCAGTGAAACTCAACCGCATCAATATCATTTGTACTTTTAATAAAAAATTCGTTTCCATTCATTGGACCATTGGGTTCGTAGGCGACTTTCTTAATAGTCCTCGTAGTGACATCCAAATCATCATCCGTATTATCATCTGTATCATCACCGTCCTCGCCCACATTGAATATAAATCTAGCTTCATTGTTCGGATCGTTCATACGACCGTCCGATCTGCTTATAATTTTCCTGTACCGAACCGAATTCCTCGATACATGATTACTATTACGCTGTACAAATGAGCAAAAAATATAGTGTAAACATATTTGACAAAACATAGAAAGCAAAATTCTGCTGCTTACCTGTAAAACGGCAAATATTATAGAGAATATCGTGATAATTAGCAAACAGATGGCAACCGCAATTGCTGTGATTGCTGTCAGCGGTGAGTCAAGACGCAAGGCAAATGTGCCGCTGTTGCCATCGTCGTTTATGGCTGATCGATCCACATTCTTAAAAATACTGTCAGAGCTCACCACGGTGCGGCGTTTGCCAGCTGTGGAGGCTGTCTTACATTCGCCTGAAAATTAAAACATTTGTTAAATGACGACTTAAATGGTTACTTATTTTAATACAAATTCATCAAAATAAAATTACGCTCACCTGTGTCCTTGTCGCAATGACAACAGTTTCCAGAGTCAGTTTCATTATCGCCAGAGCTTTTATTCGGGCAGCAAGGCACACACTGGCTATTTAATTGATCTAAATGAAGCGGGGGAGCGCATGCCTTGCACGAGAACTGGCCAGGACCAAAGCATGAGCGGCACGATTCGTGACAGCTCTTGCACGTCTGTGTTGTTGCATCATAGTACTGAGAGCTGAGGCACTCCATACAAAGACCACCATCAAGCATAAAATGTGTGGGACACGAAGAGCATGCCAATGGACCTGCACCTAAAACATACTTCGATTATAATGCTTACTTATGAAGTTTAACTTTCCATTACGTACCATTACAGGTTTTGCAATAGTGATGACATTTCTGACAGCCAAACTCTGATTTGTAGAATCCTTCAGGGCATTCCGGATGGCATTCACCTGCAGCTAGCTGCCAACCAGCCGGACATTGGACGCACTGATTACGACGCGGTCCGCTGCACGTGTAGCAACTGAGATAGCATTTTGCACAGATGCCACGATCGCTGTAGTATCTGCAATCAATAAGAGGACATTTGAAATATATCTAATTACGCTGTGTATTTCTTCTATTTTTACCCATCGGCGCAAGTTGTGCGACATTCGCCATTCTGCAGCTCAAGACCCTTGGAGCAGTTGCTGCAATTGGTGCGGGATACGCACTGTGTGCAAGTATGCAGACATGGCGTACAGACGCCCGTTTCCATAAAAAAACCATCTTGACAGCCGCTCACACAGCTGCTCTGCTCCAGCAGCCGATTCGGATGACAGGATAGACAATTGGTGGACAGGGGTCCGTTGCAAGTCGCACAGGACCCATGACATGGCTTGCATTTGCTCTCAACTTGGCTAAAATACTCAGCTGCATTTGAAGAGGGATACAAACCGAGGTAAGTTGCTTATTAAATATAGTCCAAATCAAAGTGCGCTGAACCTACATTCAAAGCAACTTTCACTGCCGGCCACTACACAGTTATCCTTTTTATTTAGCGTCCAGTTGGGTAGGCACTCTGTACAGATGCCGTTACTACTGCACGTTTTACAGCCCTCATGACAGGGCAGGCACTCTAATCGCTTCTTATCGGCATAGAAGCCTTTGGGGCAATTGTTCACGCATTTGTTCTGAAAAGCATAGCGACTGGGGCGACAAGTAATGCAATTATTTTCGGAAGCTTCATTACATGTGGCGCACGATGAATGACAGTAGGCGCATCTGCAAATTAAAATAATAATATATATTTATATATATATATATATTTTTTTTGTAACAAGCGAGTTTGTCGTTTATTACTTGTTCTCGTCTGTTTCGTATGTGTTTAAGGGACAGGCTGAAAAGCATTTGTTCTCATGCATGACAAGATGATGATCACAACTAGTGCAGTACTCTGGACTATCCTGACATGATGCACAGTTCGGCTCGCATGGTACACATGTTTTATTCTTTAAGTCTATAAGCAAACAAAATATTATCACCCATTCGCTTATCTTATGATGATGCCATACACTCACCTTCAAAGTAACCATCGGGGCAAACTTGCAGACAGACGGCGAGATCGGTAACATGCAAGTGTGCCGGCGCACAGGTAAGGCAGCTATCTGGTCCAGCTCCCGCGCATGTTTCGCACGAATCATGGCAGGGCCAACATATGCCCACTTGATTGGGAAACGAACGCGGTGGGCAACGGCTAACGCAGGTACTGTACAGTCAGAAAGAAAATCAAAATAATAAGTAGATGATATAATTGACAAATATATAGTTCGCTTACTTATCCAGACGATAGTGGCTGCACGCCAAACACTGTGTAGGTCCGCGGCCATAGCAGCCAAGGGAGTCGCATTCGGCATCACAGGAATACTGTATGAGCTTGTTATCGCCATTCGGCAGACCATTCAGCGATTGGACAGCTGTTGCGGTCGAGACATTATGTCCGTCAAGCGTGGCGGTCGCCACCTCTGGACTGGAGCCGGCGCTGCTGAATAAGTTTTGATAATTCAGATAGCTGGCGAAACTATCCGTATTGAAGTTGCCGCCTTCGTTTGCCGGCTGGCCAATATTGGAGGCTGAAGAGAATAAGAATGGATTGTTCGCAATAGGATTGTTACGTAGCTGCGTATTTAGAAGTTCCGACTTGAGTCGCATTGGTTGCGTTGAGGTACCATAAAAGATCAATTGCCATTTGGATAAAATTCCCGGCTGATTGACCCGACGACGACCGCCGTTGATCACTTGCAGGGTCCAACGCCCTTCGGCCTTCTCGCCCCAGTAATGAACACTGAGGAATGGCCAATCATCGAAGTTTGATTTGACAATATCACGCGGACGCTCAAACAGCAACGTACTTGTCGTGCCCATGGGCGAGGTGAGCAATATACGCAGATTGCCGCGTGGAAAGAAGCGCAAAGTGATACGACACTGGACATGCTCCAGATAGCGCACCTCGTTAATGGTGCCAGCGCAGCCATTAACATCCATATGCGTAGCCAGTGAGTATCCGTAAGCGCCCTCGATTTTACGGTCTTCGTTGTTCTCACGTGACTTGCATATGTGCTGAGGCGGCACCGTATTCCATTGCTCCGCCAGGGCAACCATAGCGCCTGCATCCATTAGACCGTAGCCAAACTTATGACTATACTTCCGCTTAACACCGTTCAGCGTCCAGCCGCTCTCCTTTTCGAGTGGCCCCGGTCGCGATGTATATACCACCAAATATTGCATGTCGCGCCAAGTTATATCTGGATTCGCTTCGAGTGCTAAGGCGCAAATACCGGCAGCCAGAGGAGCTGATGCTGAAGTGCCAGTATGTTCCACTGTACATATGTGATCGGGTCGCAGGCGTCCATCCATGTCAACTGTGGCCACGCTCTTGTCATGTCCCGGCGTACCTGAGCTATAAGTTGTGGCCAGAGTAGACGAACACTCCTCCAAATACCAAGGCTTAAAACTGTAAAAAAAAGACATATTTCATAAATAAATTTATATATATATATACATATACAACCTATCTTACCCTGCTTGTGTGGCGCTCGATATGGAAAGTGTGAATATGGAATTGGTATAGCCATCACAGTTACAGGAGTCGGTATAGCGACCACCATTGCCAGAGGCCCATACAAAAATAGAGCCCTTGCCTTGACGACCACTGGTTACGCCATAGATAAAAGCACGACGTGCCAATGGGCCGGGCCCATCGACTGTAGAGCCATCATCCTCTGGACCCCAAGATGCGCTGTATATATCGATATGCCCTGGATTCAAACTCAATGCTTGTGCTTCAACCACATCATTCACTTTACCATCCAGCATGCGAACACCTGCAAATAATACAATTCATATACTTTTATGTATGTATAGATCGTCAATTAAGTTTAGTTTTGCTTAGATCCAAGTTAAGTTTTTTTTAATAATCGCACTGATATCGTTCCACTCAAACATATACACTAGTCGCATAACTATCTTGCCGAAAAAAGTCCGTATTTTTTGTTTATCTTTGAAATAGCTTCATGAAGAATTATTGTTTATTTTTCCCCGTGTAAGTAATAGTAATAAGTGTAAGTAATAGAAACTTCAAATTAAACAAACGAATATTTTTACAAATTTATTTTTTTTAATTAAAAAAATATTTAATTTTGACGAAATGTTTGTGCAAATGTTTTTTCACTTTCAAGCACGTGAAATCCAAACAACTTATATTTTTAATTTTAATTGATATTAAGCGTTGATAAAAAATAAATTATTTCTGTACACTGAACCCATTAAAGATGGGAAAGCATCTGCTGCTTTGGTTGTGTTATAATGTATGGTGCAACAGATCCCGTAAAGTATATATATTGTTGATCAGGACGACAAGCTGAGTCGATTTAGCTGTTTCTGCTTAAGAGTCCATCCGATGATTTTTGTAATATTCCCGATATCAACTCCAATTTTTTTAAATTGAAAAAATAGCCAATATGTGAAAGAATTTGCATTTTACAAATATTTCGATAGAAAATGTAGATCCCGCAGGAATTCAGGGTGTCTCCTGTCGGGCAAATGCGACTAGACTTATTTTTATTGTTCGACTTTTTCTTCTATTTCAAGTATTACACACATTTAATTTATGTTATGCCAGTTGCTTTATAGGCTTACCACCAATACTGGCATTATATGCCACGCCAACTCCACAGTAGTTATTGAAGGCAACTGCAGCTACTTCTCCTGCACATCTAGTGCCGTGCTTATTGTCACCGTTGTCCTGCGGCGTTGGATCTGAATCGTTACCATTAATATCAAAGGAAGCATCGGGGTCCTAAAAGAATAATTTACTTAAATTACAAAATCGACGTATATCCTTTAAATATGAAGCGTACATAGTTTTGGGCCAAATCCGGATGATTAGTTTGGATTCCGTCATCCAGAATGGATACGACGACACCTTTCCCAGTATAGCCCTTGTGCCAGGCAGGACCAATATTCATGTCAAGGCCATCCTTAGCTCCGCCATTCTACGAAATAAAATATAATATGTAAATAATAATTTTGCAAAAATTTTTCAAGGATCAAGGTAGAGGACTCAATAATAAGAAATATTGTTGATAAAGCCAAGATCAACGTATGCATATGAGCAGGACACCAATAAACATATTAGGAAAATTAAAAATGTACTAAACAGCTACAAAAATAACCAAAAACAAGTAAGAAAGCTCTAGTCCCAGTCCTCTTTGAGTTTTTTAATATTTTCCGTAGTTTGTTCAAAAAAAAAAAATAAAAATAAAAATTTACCGTACAACACCAAGATTCGAACCCACTATTTTTACGCAACGCGCACCATCTCTACCAATTCACTTCAGTCACTTCATAATTTAAAAAAATAAAACAATAAATAATAAAATTCCATCTCCACAGGTCTCGAACTCCGGGACTAGCTGCTTACGAGCGCCGCCTCCACCGACGCAGCCACCGCACCTCTTGGAAGAAAAGTTGCAGTTGAGTAGTAGCGAATAGTTCTCGAATATTTAAAACAAACTTGATATGCGCGTGCTATACACGGACCTACAAAAAAATTTCAAGTCTCTAGCTCTTATAGATGCTGAGATCCACGGGTTCACACATACGGACGGACGGATAGACGGACAGGGCTCAATCGACTCGGCTTGTCGTCCTGATCAAGAATATACAGTAGGGAGCAAAAGTGTTTCCATAGTTGACACTTTCAATTTTGTGAGTCAATAACTTCCAAACGAATGAAGCAAATCAAAAAAACTTTTTTTTCCCAATAATATGTATTTAATTCTTAACAAATTGCCGTATAAAACAAAAAATAATCAGTAAAATATTCAAACAAAGAAAACTGAAACAAAACGCATGTGTACAATTTTGCACCTTCCGATATTCTTACTTTGGTTTGATTTCTTAATTCTCTTATCGGCAATAGACATGCAGGTTTACCCTTATATGTTTTATTTTTGCATTCTACACCTTTATGATCCAGAAATCCACGTGTTTCTTATTATTTGAAGTAAATTTGTTAATTTTAGCAATTAGTCTACAAAGTACCACGAAAAAATGAAGAAGCGTTCGTCAGATGTCGAAAATAGTATTATTAGCCTAACTGAAAGTGGCTGTTCGACTCGTAGTATTTCAGATCAGCTTAATATTTTTCATTCAGCGGTGTCCGAAGTGCAGAAAAGACGCAATGGCGCATCCAAAAACACTATTAAAGGCCGCAAACGACTCTTAAAGGACTCTGACGCCAGACTGATAAGTTCCTAACATTGAAGAAGGCATCTATGGACATAGGAAAAGACGTGAGTCGGCGGGTGGCTAGAAGAGCACTAGCTATGGTTGGATATGTGGCAAGTGTGAAAAAAAATAAACCAGCTCTATTCGAGAAGAATGTCAAGGCTCGATTGAAATTCGCCCGGGAACACAAGAACTGGACTGTAGATGATTGGAAACGTGTCATCTGGTCCGATGAATCCAAGTTCAACCGTTTTCAATCAGATGGCAAGCAATACTATTGGCACAGGCCCAAGCTTCAAAAACACCTTGTGAAGCAAACCGTTAAGCATGGAGGAGGCAATGGGGATACTTTACTTGGTGGCTCATTGGACCATTGCATAAAATTGATGGTATAATGTTAAAAGAAGACTATCTTAATATTTTGAAAACCTGTCTACCCAATTTTCCAAATTTTGCGCGAATGGTTACAAAATCAAGATTTTGTGCTGATGGAGTGGCCAGCTCAAAGTCCCGAACTTAATCCGATTGAGAACCTGTGGTCAATCGTGAAGCGACGGCTCGGGCAATATCAATCAATGCCATCCAACCTAGACGATCTTTGGAAGCGTGTAGAACTAAAGTGGAACCGAGTTCCAAAGGAAACCATAGAAAAGTTGGTCGATAGTATGCCAAACTGAATAAAAAATGTAATAGCTAATAAGGGCCTGTGGACAAAATATTGATTTAGAATCATTAAATTTTTTTCACTGAAGGTGCAAAATTGTACACATGCGTTTTGTTTCAGTATTCTTTGTTTGAATATTTTACTGATTATTTTTTGTTTTTGTTATTAAGAATTAAAGTTATTAAGAATTAAATACATACTATTGGAAAAAATAGGTTTTTTTTGATTTGCTTCATTTGGAAATTACCGACTCACAAAGTTGAAAGTGTCAACTATGGAAACACGTTTGCTCCCTACTGTATATACTTTATGGGGTCTGCCACGCCTCCTTCTGCCTGTTACATACATTTGCACAAAACCATTATACTCTGTTTTCCCATTTTCAATGGGATCAATGATAATTGTTGAAATCGCATTTGGAAAACATTCTGAATATCTTTCACAACAATGTATGCATGCGCGTATGGATATATGGATGTATGTATGTATAGTTCAGATGAAATATGGCATGATGACATACTTTACTCACCAAATACCACTGTTCCTTAAACAACGGATCGGAAAATATAAGATGCGAAGTAACGTCACGGTACTCGAGGCGCGGCGATTGGGTTCCAACCAACGACGGTGTTAGGATAGGGTCTGGGGAATATGAAAAATGCGTATTCGTATGCGGATAGATAACGTAGCCATTTGTCTGGCGCAAAATATTGTACGGACTGTAGGTAGGTATATCTTGATAGGGGCCATCACGTTTTCGGCGGATCTTCTCGTGTTGCTGCTGTAGCCATTTAACCTAGAAAGCATAGTAAAAAGCAAATGTCAATCAAGCGGGTTATTAACCAAACCAAACTTTCAAGGTCAGACAGCATGTATGTATATGTATGGTCAATGTATTCGCTAGCTACCCGCACTCACCTCGAACTCCGACTTTAAGGCACTGTGATGCTTGCGACTCGACCGAAGCGAACGCTTTGACACACGATGATGGTGAAACAGATAATAGTCGTCAAGGGCGCCAATCTGAGAAGGATGGAAATTATTAATGATGAGTGCAAATGCATGTACAACTTCAGTAAACTTCAAACACGTAAAGTAACATATATTAGATGAAAAAAAGGGGAAAACAGCAAAGAGCAGAAAATATTATTGTTGTGGAACTCTTGCAGCGAGTATCATAATGACAAAATAAGTTGCTTAGGTAATATTTACGAGCAAAACGAATAACAAATAACCATATCAAATAGGTTTCATGGTAAGAATTTATTTTAGTATATAGTTAATAAAAGTTTACTAGCTGCAATTAATCGGTAAATTTTCTATGCTCTTGTCTTTCCATGGTTACGAGTTTTTGGAATTCCGAAATACGTAATGCATTTCTAATTTTTTTTTATGATTTAGTATTATTTCTGTACCTGTCCCTTATTGGTAAAGCCGTACTTGTCAGCTATGTTATCTGCCACGGATTTGCCAGCGGGTATGTGCACGGCGAACTCATTTGTATAGATTGGATCGTCGGGTATGCTATACGCACCAAATATTTCAATAGCATCTAAATGATGTTTCTCAGTCTCTTCAGCGTTCTTCCCTGCTCTGGCATTATTGCTGCTAATGTTTCTGCTGCTGTTGATGTTGTTGTTGTTATTGATTTTACTATTGTTGTTGTGAGTATTACTAGCCTCAGAGTCAGTCTCAGCGATGATCAGTGTTGGGTATTCACTTTTACTATTCCCATTTAATTGGGGCTTACTGTATTTATGTTTATAATTCGAGTAGTCGTTGTTGCTGCTGTTGCTGATGCTGTTGTTGGTTGGAAAGAATTCACTGGCTTTCTCGTTAACGTGGAGTATTCCAGCAGAGTTTTGAGTTTCGCTTTCGCCTTCGATATCATTATTATTATTAATATTATAATTATTTGTAATATTGTTATGAAAAGCAGCGCTACTATTTCTTACACTTAAAATTGCTAAAACTAATACAAAATATATACAGCTTGTTGCCATTCGATTATATTCACATAAATAGATTTTTCTATTGAGTTTTACATATGGATGGCATCTGCTGGCCGTCGACTTTTCAAATTTCCAGCAGGATTTTGACGCAGTATTTGATGCAGATATTGTTCTATATTTTGATGTTGATTTTGGTGTTAATAATGCTGTTCCTGACCGCTGATTGTTGCCGTCGTTGGCGCAATCAGTACACGTACGCTCCACAATAAATGGTAATTCGACGGTTCCTTTGCCAATGCCTATATCAAGCATATTTAACTCTGTTCGGTTCTGGTTATTTTTCTTTCTTTGTATTTGTATCTGTGTTTGGAGAGTGCTTCTCTATGCTTCACCTTCAGAGCCCCTCTATATAGTGTATAAAGTTATGTAGATGTTTGTGTTTGTGCTCCAGATTTAATATCTTCATAGGTATAAGTCTGAATTTGGATTATCTGTAAAATTAAGTGGAAATATAAAAATCATATATTTACAGATAGGTTTACCACATATAGGTAAAAAATAAGTCTAGTTAAAAAAAATAAACAAATAAGTCGCCGGAAACGTGATTCATGACCCGTGCTAACGCAGGCAAACAGTCACACATACACACACACAATCACACTCATATAGGGTATCGTAGCTTTGGTCAGCCTTTTAGATATGATCTCTTGAGAGCACTTGATTTATTCAATTGTTATTTTTATATCTACATTAGTAAACGCTTTTACGCCAATGAGATATATATATATAGAAGTATGCAATCTTCAACTCTATTAAATGCTAATGATCAGACAAGAAACATATATATATATAAATTATATATATATATATTTTATTTATACTCATCAATATTTATATATGGTTTTTTGTGTTCTGGGATTCACAGTGCATTTTCAAGTAAATCAAATAAACTCTTCTTATAATATATTCGATGTTTTGTTTTCTAATTTTATAGAAGCATGGATTCACATTTATATTTAAATCAAGTTTAGAACACATACAGACATATACACATACACATCTGTCATACAGGTACATAATGTACCTAGATATAACTGTACATATGCGATTACACACGTCCAGGCATGTGATACGTGCTTGATTTATTTACGTGCTTGATTTATTTATATTATGGTTTATTTAAAAAAAAAGCATGTTTTAAGGAATATATAACGTATATATATATATTTATATATATATATATATATATATATATATATATATATATATATATATTTATTTATTTATATACATATATAGTATACTTGCATTTCTTATGTACAACACTTGAAAAAATTACTTTAAACATACATACATACAAACAATTATGGCAATAAAGTATATTACATATTGATTCCGATTCCGGTTTATATTTCACTGTGCCATTTATACAACATCAACACATCATTATGTATGTATGCATGTGTTAAGAGCTCACATACATATGTAATTGTTTTCTTTTATTATAAATTCAAACACGTTCATTTTTGCCAGCACTTAATCACAGATTTCTTCACTGATATTCAGTGAAATATTTCGCACTAACCATACAAAAACAAAAAAAATACGAAAATCGCTTAAAGTGCATATGTGTGGGTGAATTTAACTGACACAGGGTGGGTACACAAGCATATGCACATGCACATTCACATGCATATATGTATATGCACACATCTCCTAATTACGGTATATGCATGTTTGAATGCGTAAGAGTTGATACTGCATTTCAATATGTACACAAGAATAAAATTGTATACAATTTAACATAAATGGGTTTTTTGTTTTGTATCTAAGTACATAATATGTACGTATTTATGTTGCAGTCACAATGCATTGTTTTTTCTTCGTTTTTTTTTCTCAATTGAACCAAAAGCAATTTATCGACACCACTGAAGGAGAACGTGCTTACCATGAGGAACTAACCGAATGGAACGGAACGGAGCGGACCGACCGAACGAACAAACGACGCAACCTCGACTGCGCTCCAGCTTAAACTGAACTTTATTTTGAAGTTAATACATACATACACCGATACGTTCAACATGAACCGTACCTACATACAGACATTCGTATAGCGTTGACTATCTCTACTCACTGGATTTGAACTAGTAGTAGTACGTTCGTACCTATATATGTATATACGGCTGTTCGTGCATTAATACTCATGAAAGCACAGCTTTGAGCTTTCAAAACAAAATAAAATGCAAAACATAACACGCAACCGTGCTGTAACAAAATCCAAACTAATTAGTATTACGTATGTACATATTTTCCAATACATTTACACCAACATTCACACATTTTTATTCAAGGTATATATGAGCAAATTGAAGACATGTTTCGTATGCAACTTAAAGCCAACTTACCCACACACAGGCACGTTGAGATGTGCATATATTCATACATGTGTATACAGCCATATGTATGTCTGTATGTTTGCCTCTATCTCTCTCAGAGCTGACATTCAAAGAGTTATCGTCTGCAAAGCAAGGTTTTTTCTACTGACCAAACAAGATAATTATTGGTAATTTTTTGCTTTTTATTTATTTGTTTGCCGAAAGCATACAAATAAATATAAAACCCACTACTAATACGTAGGTATTTATTTATGGATGCTTAGTAAACAATCGTAGGTAACTTACCATCCAATTTGTACGTTTATGCAAACGGGCATAGACTTTGTGGTGGCGGCATCAACAGGGTGTTCAAAGTTCACAGTTTGTCCTTGTTTCAGAATGGTTCATCCTGTTTAACAGCTGATTTCGAATGTTGCACATACGATTGCTATCGAATATACATGTATGTTATGAGCTGATCCAATACGCCTATGACTGATAAGACACCCATGTGTCAAGCATGTTGGCTCATTATTTATATAATGAATTAACGGAAACCTATTTTAATTTGATATTTTATTTGATTACCTGCTACCGTTTATATCAGTCACGGCCAAAAAGCGCAAACTCCCAAATACACGAACTCATATATACATACATACCCATGAATGTATGCGTTCAGAGAGCAGCTTATTCACGCTTACTCTCCCCACGAACGTCGAACGATGGAACTAAAAAAGCAATTAAAGCGGTAGTGTGGTTTCAACTAACACCACCATCGCAATCGCAAAAAATATATAGACATATATATGCACATATACACACACACATACACGAGTGTATTACATATGTTAGGGAGAGAGCAGTGCAGATAGTTCGGTGTGATTGAATTGCGTCACAGCCGCGATCAGTTAACTTGCCTTTTGTGGCTAGCATCCATCCATCCATCCATAGGTGGCGCCGGTAGCAATTGCAGTACGTCGTTTTTTTGTTTATGGGGTCTGTGTGCCAGTTTCATCGATCTGCTTCCGTCGTCTTGCAATACGCGAAATTTATTTGGGGAAATGTCGAAATGCTTTTGCTTCGATGGACGGATAGATGGGTTCCTAAATAGTTTCAACAATCGTTATTACTGGTAACAAAAATAAGACAGTTTTATGTATTTGATATATCCAGAGTACTTTATTGTCACTTTTCAAAGGATTTAATAATGTGTTCATGCCAAAAAATGTGTGCACTAAAGGACAAGTTTCATTGCGTTCCTCCTTCGAGTACATCTTGACTAGCCTTGGCGATCTACTGTCGTCTTTTAAGCCCTGTAAACATATCAAATAATTAATGAACTGCAAACTTTAAACAGTCCCAACTCAGTTTAAATCGACAATGGTTAAAATTCCGAAAATCATAATTATATTATACTCATATATTGGTAATAAAAATAATAGAAAAAGCACAAAAGCAACTCTTGAATACTTTTTACAAGGACAATATCCTATTTCAAATCGATCGTTATAAGGGTGTTCGAACCCAGCTCCAAATATGGAACAAACAAAAGCTTCATTTAAATTTATTTCCATTTCATAAATCATATATCTACAAATATTGAACGTTAATTTAACGAATACGATTTCGAAAACAATTTGAATATCTGTGCCGTTTATACACTACACACATTAATAGTACATTATGCAGGAGTGACGCTTCAGTTAGTATTTTAGATTACTGTATTTGCATTTGATAGATGAAATAAAAAGAGGAAGAATGTTCAAGCCAAGATCCGAGCCAGGAGTTGAACTCACAACTATCAGTGGCGCGCATCGCGCCTACCAACGGTACTATTTCACTGCTTACTCTATTAGTGGCAAATTCAAACTAAAGTATCAGCTGGATTCAAACACAATTAAATCTCGAAGTGGGATTCTTTGAATAGTCAAAAATGCTTGGCGCTGCTTGCCGTGTCCTTTGGTTATGTTCAATATCTTCTGTAACGAATTTTAACGAAATATTTAACATGTGATGTACATATTCTTTCAGAATATTGGTTAATTGGGTAAAAATGCAAACTTTTGCAACTGCTAAGACCCGGTATCCAAAATATAACAAAAATCATAATTGAATAAAACATACATTAAATACATACTAAATGCAAAACTGTAGCTTCAATGATATATAATTTGAAAATTTTGATAATAGTTTTAAAAAAACATTGAATTGCATTGATTTGAGATATATATATATATATACTTCCTTGGGTTTGTCACAACTATACATTTTAACAAAACCGTTATACCCTGAATATATAAAAAAAAAAAAAATTGTATGACTTACTGTCGCGAATTTGCAATGCGCTTATTTGCAATAATAAATCGTACATAAGCCTTAGGATTGCAGTCATTTCTGACCTCGTACTCTTCTACTGAAAGCATTAAGCATTTGCGAAAAAAAATAGGTCTATGAGAATATATAAATATGATATTTAAATGCCTTTACGGACTCATAGCATTAGATTTTTGAATTGTACGATATAACATGTATCCTTATAGAGATGTTTTAGTGAGCTTATTCAATACCATCAATAATAATTTAGAAGCCGACGCATGTTTTAAATATACATATTCATTTTCTTCTCAATTAACACATTTGTTAAATATCCAAATTGAACAGACAACAGGAATATACATATAGCTTGGATGGGAGGTTCAATACACTTTGAAGAATATTGAGGCATTACAAACAAATGTTAACACAGTCATACTCACACAACTCGCACACCTACAAAAAAGAAGTGTTAATTTCGTGGCACATTAGGATTGCGATCCGTCCATACTTTTAACTAGTCAGCGATCGACTCAGAGTAACATTGATATATAAGATAGTACGTGACGTGTCCAGAGTGGCACGCTTGAGCCACCAATTGATTATAAGGAAAAAGAAAACTTACTTTATTCATATTTGCACCCCGATAGATAGATATATCGTTTATACTCGTAAATATATTATATATATTTTGCTGCAGTCAAACTTAAATAAAAATTCGTCCAAAAAATAACTGGGATATCTTAATTCTTAAAGGTAAATTCAAAATTCGCTTTTCGAAAGGTCCCCTACAGTACAGAAATAACATCGAAAGCCCTGCGATAATTATTTAGAGATTTGTATAAAGCTAGAATATTGTTACGATATCAAGTGTAACCGTTTTGAAAAGTTGTCTCTGAAAAAATAATTACATTTGAAAAGTTGTCTCTGAAAAAATAATTACCACTTAGCAAAAGTTTAGGTAATGGTTAAATATTAGTTACAAATTCCCATCTAAATATATTAATTCTGAAATATGTATAAATTGAAGCTTTTCCTAATATCTATACAAGTTGAAAAACATCGCATTATCGTAATACGAAAATCAAATTATAAGCCCTTATAAACTTGCTTGATAATAAAGCAAAGTTACCCCTCAATCCATACTCACCAAGACCTGTGCTGATGCACAGCTGAACACAACATTGAAGATAAAATATGTACGCATATACATTGCATATATTTGAGAAATGTATGATCAAGGGGCAATTATATATATATATATATATATATATATATATATATATATATATATATATATATATATATGACTTCACGATGACATATTAAAAAAAATTAAGAATTAAATCAAATCATAAGTTTTTTTGGTGCATCAGGTTGATAATATATTGTTTTGTATTGTATGTTAAGTATGCTCCATAAGTTTTCGGTTTTGTTTTTGTTTTTATTAAATGAATTTTCACACAAATATATGTGAAGTGTCGAGTGTGTAAAACGTAAATCAATTCATCGATAGATAGATCGATTTTCCATACTGGTCCATGCATTTTATCTCAACGGTTGTCTAAAAACGACGACGTCCCCATGGAACATTATTTCCTCCATTATTTCCACGTTGATTGCCACCTTGGTTCATATTGTTAACCCCAAATTCAAAAGCAGCGAAGGAGTCCTATTCGAGCAAGGAAAGTACAAGTGTTCAATTGATTTATTACTATTTTTTTTTTTCATTTTTCATTTGTCTATATATAATCTCTATTCCTATACCCACATATAACTGTAAATATGAGTTAAAACATTATTTTCGGCTTTTACCAAAGTTATTCGCACATATATTACAAAAAAAAAGCATTCGGCACATTCGAGTAATTGTGATTTTCTATACAGCCTGCGTCAAGCAAAATCAGATATTTCAAATGTGTTTGTTCCCTCTACTATGTATTTGGGAATAATATTAAATACGTCTTCAAACGCTTTAAGCTAGAAACAATTATAAAAGAATATTACTTCGTATTGGCAAAGAAATCTATATAAAATCACATAATCAGAGTCGTAAGGAGTGTCTCCTACATATATATATATATATATATATATATATATATATATATATATATATATATATATATATATATATACACTCACCCAATGAAGTAAATATGAAAATGAAAATGTAAAATTCTAGTCCAATGCTTGCCTCTTCTATGTATTTAGACATATTGCATGTAACTGTACAGTACAGTAAGAAGTTGACGCAAAAAAGTGTCCTCTACGTTAACCTACCTGCTGTTGATTATTTCCGCCAGGCCCATTGTTGCCGGCCATGGACGAGTTGTTATTACCTAAATGCCAAATGCAAAATTTTTAAAGTTTTCTTTTTCTAACTCGGTAGCAATTCGGGAACTTACCTCGGAATACTTCAAATGGCGAATTGCTATTGCCTTCGAAATTATCAAAATTAGAATTGCCACCACCGCCGCCACCGTTGTTGCCACCGATTTGATCTAGCAATGTATTTAGCTGCTGGGCCTGCATAAACAATGTGTTTTCCTGCTGGCGACGGCGCATATCCTCCTCCTGGCGTACCATGCGACTCTGCATTTCAGTCTGATGGCGACGCATGGTTTCTTCCTCCCGTTTACGCATCTCCTCGGCCTGTTTTTCACGCATTTCCCATTCCAACTTCTTGCGCTCATTGTCAGATTCGCGTTTTCTTAATTCTAAAAAATAGTCGAGGATTAGCTAACGAATTGAATGCTGCTTAAAGATTGAAGAAGCTGATGAGATCAGCAAACGGGCACCAGGTCCCGAACGCCTTACCCACAAAAACATATTTTTATAATTCCTATATGTATATATACATATAGTTACATTAACTATTTACTATAACCAATTCTGTGTTACCCGCCGAAAAGTATTTTAAGATTTACATAGAGTTAGAAATTACTTTATATAAACATAACGCTCGCAGCATACATTATATATATATATATATAAGCATACATTATATATATATATATTGTATAATATACAAATATATAATTCAAATTATCAGATCACACCTGCCTAAACATTTAAGAATAGAAAATCCGTCTTTCAGTAGGGTACAACGTACTCGTTTTCTTTCAATCAAATTGATTCCGAGTTATTTAAGGAATTGCGATATGCAATATACGATATACATAGTACACCGTATAGCTCAAATCTTATGTTGGATACTAACCGTATCCCAAGCCTTCCATGTTATTGATAAGGGCCATTAGCAATTAACCTAAAAATGCCCACACATAAAGCATGAATAGAATATATATATATATATATATATATATATATATATATATATATATATATATATATATATATATATTCATATATATATATATATATTCATTTGATATGTCATTAGTGCAATTTGTTGCTTTTGGATTTAAAATACTTTACGAATCAGGGTATTCATTATTAAATGGACTGTTTTTTTTTTTTACTATTACCAAAAACAAACACGGTTTCGTCGAGATAAACCGATAAATATTAATGATATATTTAAAAACCATTTACAGAAAATACGAGTAAGGAACAAATGGCTAACTTTGGCATGCCAAAGACAAGAAACTCTTGTAGACAGGGGTTAGCAGGTTTTATTTTACACTATATTTGTCTTTATGTCTTGGAGCTATAAATATAATTTCCTGATTTTATGGGCTTAAATTAATAGTGAACTTAATAATTGAAGTTCCTTCAAAAGATATTAAGAGTTACGACTTTATTTCGATTGAACTAAGTAAAGCTGTTTCAATAAAAATAATATGTGATAATAATAAACCTACCAAACTTTTTTATTTGCTCGAGAAATCTCGGAGCAAAATCTGTAAAAAAAATCTTTTTTTTTTAAGATTACACATATGACAGATACATAGTGACATGACTATCCGATCTGTACCAGAAATACGAAGTTGTCAAATAATAGTTCCATAAAATTAGCTTTCCAAACATGACAATAGTTTAGCATCGAAACAGACAGACATAATAAATTAAAATGTTCCCCCTTCGATAATGTTTAAGAATATTTATACTTTATGAATATGAATATTATAAGAAAACATCTCATTTCGTGTTAACAGAGATAATGACCAGCCTAAAGAGCATTTAAAATAATATGCAATGTCAATGATTATGCATTGTCAGTAATATTATTTCAGATTATATATCAACATTTAATCAAAAGAATCGACCCCTCAAAAAGAACATAGCTGAGTTCAGTTTCTTTGCTAATATCTTGGAAAAAGTTCCCAAGAAAATATTTTTGCATTGCTTTAAATCAGATTTGCACATCATGTGCCCTATGTAAATCCTTAAAGAAGACATCACATTTGACATTTATAGATATCAAAATTAGATACAAGTGATCATAAATCGTATTTGTCATTATAACACATATACGTTTTATGCAAAATAAATTACATGCTCAAATGTTCAATATCGCAAGAGAATTGTTAAAAAACAATCGGTAGGGCGTCGAAAGTTTTTTTTGTATATTCTCAGTTCTTAAATATAATACAAAATAAATGTTTTAAATTGTCGATACAATATATCGATCATCGATACCATTAGATCATTTTTGACTATGGAATGGTTTTCTTCCACCGCATCACTGCTGTAATACGTTCAAAGAGTAAAAACCAATTTAGTCTATGATATTACTAAATATAAGTCGATTGTGAATGTAGATTCATATTCATTAATTGCTTAAATTTTTTTTTCCTGGATTGGAAATTCGATTCGATTGGGACAAGGAATCCCACTTTAGTAGATACACAGAGAGATAGAGAGGAGGAGGGAGAAAGAGAGATATAGAGAGAATATGCGTAAAAACTTCGGCTAGCCAGAAGTTAAGTTATGATTTTTGAATTTGATACTCGTATTACCCTGTTATACTAACCTTGACGCAAAAGTTCTGTTTCTTGCTCATAGCGAGCATACTCCATCTGAGCATCAAGTTTTTCTTCTTCCATTTTGAGCTCGCGCTTGAGAGCATCTTGTTTGCTTTTAAACAGATCATGCAACTGCTTCCATCTGGAGCCGTACTCGTGCTCAAATGAATTCTGATCAGCGAAACGGGGGCCAACGCTGCGCTCCTGATTGAACTCTTGTAGCTTCTTATTAAGCGCCTTCTCAGGCAGTCCGTCATTGTCATCGTTGATTTCCATCGGCTCCACCAAGCACGGACGCAACGAGGCTGTTATAAAGAAGCATTTCTCATTGCACAAGCGGAGGCAGGCGCTGGCAGATGACTTTTTGGCAAACTCAACAGTACCTTCGCCTAAATGTTTGCCACGATCGTCGACTGTAATACTGGCCCGCTCAATGGGCCCAAAGATTTCGAAGGCCTTGTAGAGCAGCTCGTTGGAGACAAATGGCGTCAGATTGCTAACACGCAAGATAGTTGCATTGGGGGCGAAACGGACGCGCAATTGACGCCCCTTGCGCATTGAACCGTCTAAGGCGCGTTTGGCCTTTTCGGCATTAATATGATAGTCGACCTTAAGGAATGTGAAGTTCTTTTCCAAGTTTGAAAATATCTCGCCTATTTCGCCATATGGCTTAAACATTTCGCGCAACTCCTCATCGGTAATGTCATTGGTTAAATTACCAACATAGAGCCGATTGCGGCCAGAGAATTTGGTCTCTTGGGCGACTTCAATCGGTGGCAGTTCATGGGTGGGACCACAAATGCTACGTAAGCGTTGGGCAATAAAGAAATCATCACCACGCTGCGAATTGTTCCCGCCGCCAGAATTAGGACCACCGCCGCCGCCGCCGCCACCACCACCACCGCCGCCGCCACCGCCACCACCACGCGATCCGCGATTCCTATCACGTCCATTGCCGCCTCCGCCGCCATTACCACCGCCGCCACCACCACTACCGCCTCCGCCGCGAGCCCTAAATGCCAAATGGGCATGAGCTTGAGCTTGGGCTTGGACCTGAGCTTGAGCCTGGGCTTGAAGCTGTGCCTGGGCTTGGGCAGCTGAATTAGAATTGGATTGATTCGGATTGTTAACTTCGTTAGCTTTGTCATTGAGATTTCCTCCGTCCGGTTTCGGTGGCTCGGTTGTGGACTTTTGTTGCTATATATGTGTGTATTATATATATATATATATATATATATATATATATATATATATTCATGTGAGTATATAAAAAAAGAGATAAATTTGATTTACACTACGCATGCGACCAATTTCTTTCTTCTCTTCGAATTTGCACAGCAAACAATGCAAGTAATTAATTATATTTATATATATATATGTAAATATATATATATATATATATATATATTTTTTTTTTTTTTGCAGAAGTTTTGTTTCAACCCGACCAACAAAATACAGGTCCATTATATACTGTATAATATACATTAAGTTAATGATACCTTTTTATACATCGTACATGTTCAATAGTATCTAAACAATTGAATTTACAGTTACACTCCATTAAACTTTCATAAATTGTAAAAAAATAAAATTGTGTCCTGTAACTCCCAACATAATATTAAAACAATGTTTTGAAAAGTTTAGAAACAAAATGCCAAAAATGTAGCCACAAGGATCATCAACGCTAACGGTTTCTTTAAACAATGAAAATGTTTAATACTCATATCTAATATATGAGATATTTTAAAGCAAGTTAGTAGTGAACGGTCCTGCCTTTTTTTCGAAATTAATTCCAAAATTTGATTGGGAACCGATTTGTATATTTGAGAAATATAATTAAATGAAATCGTGGACCTTCAAATAATTATGTTGATGTATTACATCGTTTTTTTCAGACTCGTAAACGTACTGGGTCAACTTTTACAAGACATTCCTGATGATATTTAGGTCGAAAAGTTTGGCGGTCATTCAATAATGAATCCACGATTTCATCGACCAATTAGTGGGGATTGGTACATTGCTTTGTTGAAAAGCTCAACTGGGAAGAACAAATCATATGCACAAGTAGGTGTAATTTCCGAAGCTGTAGGTTTATTTTTGTTTTTAGTGTATGTAGATATCGTTTTTTAAGCAAGTCTTTAGATTTTTCAAAAACTCGGCTAGATGACTTTTTTTTCTGGGATTCTTACAGAGATCCCATCTGAGGATAGCAAAACCAAAAAAATCCAAGTTTCGTGCAATAAAAAAATAGAAAAACCAAATAAGTATATAAATGTATATCTCAATATATATTATTTACTAATTCATTACTTTTTTCGCATGTTTAAACTAGCAAGAACTTTAAATGTTTAATTAGCAAAGAACTTATATTTTCAACAGTCTTTCAAGATATATCTCATCAACAAGAGCTCTGATTTAAGTAAAATACATATATATGCTTATATAAAAATAGTTAAAGGAAACTAACTGATCTGTGAATTTTCAAAAATATGTATTAATGTTTGGCTCATCTGAATATGTTTGCAAATAAAATGTGGAAAGTTTTTGATTGATGTTGATATAAGTCAAATAAGATGCTGAATGGAATCTGATGCCTGCGAAGCTAACAGCATAGTCGTCCACCGTTCACATAATATATCAAATTTTCTCTGTAATAAAAAAAGCTACGGGAAAAATATGAACGGATGAATAAATATGCAACAACGGCGTCAAAAAAGCGACATATTCCTTAAACTTGTCTCTCGGCATTTAAAAGTGCCAGTTGACCGACATTAAAACGAATTATTCGAGATGCTAAATATTTGAACAGATTACAGATAAAAAAAAAACTTTTGAATAAGGTAAAGAACACTGCAGCCTTTCCCGGCTACAACTATTATGTCCACGACATTAGAAAGGAGAAATTAATTTAAAGTCGCCCTCACACCTGTTCAGGTGGCGTCATGGTGTTGAGAAACTCTTAATGAATTATATATGTAATATTATAATTATTAAATATACAATAAAAAATTGATTTAATTTAAATCAAAGTATTCGTTGAAGAAGCTTTTCAAAAAAAAACCTATTCAGTTGAGCGCAACTGAATCGAGCGCTTGGCATCGAATTGCTCAATTATTTCCAATTGACTTAATTTAATTATAGATAAATTGTAAAATATATCATATTTCGCACATTTGAGATACATTTTGTTGGTATGGTTTGTACAGATGCTGCAAGAACAGAACTACTTCTGTGCTATATTCAAACGTCAATACGTATTCGTGATATTTGCAACAATATTGGAGTTGCCGATTTATAGATACCCTTTCACTCAATCACGTTTTCCATAAATGATACCAAAAAGTACCACAAACGGGCACTTCAACAAAGGTGTCATGTATAATGTGCCCAAGGTATAATTGAAAAAGCTATGCACGCATGGCATTAAAAAGTGGTACTGCACTTGGTAAAAGATACATTGTACCTTTTTTGGTACAATTGTTGTAATTTATAATGTAAGCAAATATTTGCTCATCTTCTAATCTTAAAATATAAAGTAAAAACTGACGTAAAACGCTGCAAAATTATTTACATTTTAAATTTCGGTTGTTCACCTTTAAATATATTGTGTTTAATTACTAGACAATAATAATAATTACTAGACAATAGCAACTCAATATCACTAGAAAAATATATTATTAAATGGAGCAGCATCAGCTCAGACACATGTACTGGGGTTTCTTTAGAATTGCCCTAGTTAAACCCATGCAACCCAAATAAATTTCATTTCACACGGAAATGTGCGCAGATTAACAGGGATAATTAAAAAATGTAGACAGTTGTTTCAACAAACAGTGCCTAAAGATACACGTAACAATGTTAATAAATATGCATATATGTATGCGCATTCACACAAACGTTATATATATACACTTGCCAGAAAAACTATGCGTACAGGCCTAACGAGCGACTTTGATAGAGAATAAATGTGATAAATAATAGTATATTTATCAATATTATATTTTTTAATGGAAAACACTTTAATAACACACATTTATCAACAATTTTTTTTTTATAATATTAAACAGTTTTTTTTTTATATTTAAAATAAGAAAAAAACAACGAAAATTCACTTAGAAAAAGTATGCGTACAAACTAACAACCCACTGATCTTAATCGTTGTGTTAAGCTTTTAGTACCGTTAAACAGCATATTACGGTAAAGAAAGTATTAAAGGATGTCAATCACGTGTTGGTTTGCAAATTTTGTCATTAAGGTGATAGATTTCGTCATGGGCAGAAAAAAAAAAGGGATTGATCCCGATCTGAGGAAACTCATCGTAAAATTACGCGATGAAGGGAAATCTTTCAGAGAAATTGGCGAAATTGTTGGCTGAACTCATTCTTCTGTCCAAAGAGTAGTCAATAACTTTAATTTGACTGGCTCAGTTAAGTCAAAGCCACTCTCGGGAAGGCCCTCAAAGCTGACCGAGAGAGAGAAGAGGGACGTGCTGAAGACTGTGCTGCTAAACCCTGGATTAACTGCAGCAAAGATTAATCAGGAAGTTAAACAGAAGTACAAGAAAGAGCTTCACGAAGACAGCATAAGAAAATTTTGAAAGAAAAATGAAATAAATGCCCATGTTGCTCGAAGAAAGCCGCTCATCTCTGAGCCAAATAAAATCAAGCGGCTGGATTTCGCCAGAAAATACTTGGAAGTCAGTCCAGACTATTGGAACCAAGTAATTTTTAGTAATGAGAGCAAATTCTGTATATTGGGAATCAAGGGGAGAAAGCTTGTGTGGCGAAAGAGGGGCACAGCGTTCGATGTCCAAAATCTAGCTCGAACCGTCAAGCACGGCGGAGGTGGCGTAATGGTGTGGGGGTGTACGGCAGCAATTGGAGTGGACAATTTGGTTTTTATTGAGTCCAAAATGAACCATATGGATTACCTCCATATATTGAAAACCAATTTGCACCAAAGCGCCAGACAATTGGGTCTTGGGGAGGACTTTTTCTTCCAACAGGACAATGACCCCAAACACACAGCCCACAATGTGAAGCTCTGGTTGCTCTACAATACTAGACACCAGCTTCATTCGCCTCCCCAGTCACGGCACCTTAATCCCATAGAGCATTTATGGGATTTTTTGGAGCGCAGGATCAGAAAGCGAATAGTTATATCAAAGGACATGCTCAAATCGGTTCTGATGGAGGAATGGCTAAAAATTCCGCTTGATTTCACCCGGAAATTGGTGGCATCGATGCCAAAACGGTTGGAAGAGACCAAGAAGCGATTGGAGTATCCAACCTCATATAAATTTTGCAAATTCTCATTGAAAAAAAGTTATTTTTCTTTTGTTTTTTAGTTTGTACGCATACTTTTTCTAAGTGAATTTTCGTTGTTTTTTTCTTATTTTAAATATAAAAAAAAAACTGTTTAATATTATAAAAAAAAAATTGTTGATAAATGTGTGTTATTAAAGTGTTTTCCATTAAAAAATATAATATTGATAAATATACTATTATTTATCACATTTATTCTCTATCAAAGTCGCTCGTTAGGCCTGTACGCATAGTTTTTCTGGCAAGTGTATATATATATATATATATATATATATATATATATATATATATATATATATATATATATATATATATATATACTTTTACATATACATGTTTTTATTTATATGTATATTAGAATGCAACCCTCAATCGCCAATATGATTGTCAAATTCGTAATATGAAGACCACTTTCCGTTTGCCGGTTATACAAAAACGCACACAAACAAATAGTGCTTCAAGCTGAAATGACAACACAACCCGCTTCAACTCAAACGCCATTGGTGCGAACGAGATGAATAATATAACCCGAGCATAATGTACGACACATACGTGTATTTGTGTAAGTATATTTGAAGAGGTGTGTATACGTATGTATGTAATAGAAATTTCATAATTTCAATTCAGAAAGCAATGAAAATATTGTTTGAAAACGTAATTAAAGGCAAATAGTGGACACACTAAATATGCACATACATATGCATATGCATATTTCTATACCTTCATACATTCGAATGCATGTGGACCTTAATAGTTATTGCACCAAAACAAAAATTAAGGAAAATTGTAAATACACAGCCGTATGCAAAATTTGTACAATGAATTTCAGCTTGTAGTAAGCAAATAGAAGAAAATATTAGTTGCATATCACATCTTCTAATAATTTTTGCCACGTTTTTACTGAAATTGTACAGCATTTTAACAAACATGGCCTAATGTCGCCATTGCAATTGTAGATATTACTTTTTGCTTTTTTTCGAGTGTACATACAAACATACATTCTTAAATACCGACTAGTCTGTCGTTTTTTCTTTTTTTTTGTACATGCATACAAAAAAAACGATCCTTCGGCCGTTAAATGGGATGATTAGAAAATTGCCGCCATCAGTAATTAATCGAATTGATTGCAGTCACTTTTGTGTTTCACACAAATGTATGTAGAATCCATTGCAATGCATTTGTACTTACATTTAGATTTTGAAAATTCGACCTATTTTGGTTGCCGCCACGATTGCGGTTACGATTTCCACCTCCTCCAAATCCACCCTTGTTCCCAAAGTTTTTATTTTGATTCTGGCCGCCGCCTGCACCGCCGACACCATTCTGATTGTTCGGCCCAAAACGTTGGCGTTTCTCTGCTGGACCACCATCTGTGGCACCATCAATTTGCTTCTGTGGGCCGTGTTTTCCGATATTTTTATTAGGTTGATTATTAGCTCTTGCTTGTCGTTGTGGTAGCGGTGTTGAATTGCTCGAATTATCCATTTTCGCAGATATTTCCATTACAATACAATATTAAAGAAAAAAAAATATATTGCAGCGCCAATTACACAACCGTCCAGTTCGCTACAGAAACTGAAGCGTAATGAAAATACACTAATTGTGGAATCGAAACAGTTCTATTTCTGTCAACGTTGCTTTTTCACTTATCGATATATGCTAGCGATGGGAGACGTATGGATGCTATTATACAAAATTAGTTTGATACTAAAATCATATAAAACGTTTCAAACAAAGTATATTTATTTTTAAAACAATAGAAGCTTGTACACGGCCATGTCAAGTTTTAAGGAATTCAAACTTGCATCGATACTTAACAGTTTAATTTAAATTTGGAGTTGATATACAAAAATAACTATTTTTGAATTTCGATAAGTAAAATATAACTGTTTTTGTTGTGGAATGTCCAGCACTCGTAGGCAATCTATATAAATATATACATACATACATATATATATATATATATATATATATATATATATATATATATATATATATATATATATATATATATATATATTATGTGTGTAAAGAAATAAATGTGTATAAATAGATAAACAAAATATATATATATAATTTGAGTTTACCTATGTCATAAAATCCTCTTTTCATATACTTAAGAAAAACCTCGATTGGCAAAGTTAAAAGCTTGCGACGAAACCCCTCTAGGATTGCCAAAGTAGCACAGGTCAGAGCTTTTAACTGTAAGACGTTATTGTTTTTAAAGCTATATATATGATTTAATAATTGACTTACGGTTGCAAATACAACATAGTAGACAAGAGTAGTTGGAAAAAGGAAGAGTATTGCAGAAAAGAATATGGTTGCCAGATATAGCTGGCGATTCATATAGTTGTGTGCTTCAATTCTATCTAAACGAAATGAGCGAGACACTTATTTTAATATGTACATCAGCATATTGTAAGCTGTCTTACTTCTTAAGATATTATAGCGATTGCCTCGTACCACTTGCCATAATACGGTAAGTCCCTTAACTTCCACATTATTTAAACTGTAGGAAGAGATGTTGCTAAGCGTCGCATTTTAAATAATAATTGTAACTCTTACACTTTTGTATAAACATAAAAACAATGAGCATGTAAGCCAACAATTGAAATCAGATCAGCAAGCAGCGCGATTTGATACGTAAATCCCAAACACCCAAAAGCTCCAATGGCAAGAAAAACTTGACGTACAATGGGTTCAATCAAATCTGAAAGACAATTAATTAAATTTCATATTTCATTTTAAAAACCTCATTGTAAACTTAGAGATTTACCCAAAAAGGTTGACCACAGTTCAATGTGATATTTAAAGCAATCGAGAAAAAAATTATTAAGATGTATGTTGAGTTTTAGGCCAATGGGACTACCTTCCAAAACTTTTAATAGGCTATATAGCTGCTGTATGATAATCTGTAAGTAAGATATGATCTAAGAACATAGAACATTAAATTAAATTTTGTATACTCACATGAGAGATTTGAATAAGGAAATCACCAGGATGCGAGACAAACGTGAACAATATCAACATCAATATAATACCCAATGCACGGTCTATCATGATATTTGTCAATCTAGAGCTGAATGCAAGCAAATAAGTTATAAGTGGAGGTAAAACAAATGTTATTTAGATGACTTACCACGTTGCGTCTATAGTTTGCCATTCCTTATAATGCTTATAGATTACTGTATGTGTTATGATGCTATTTACGAATGTGTTTGCAACAATATATTGAAATAGTTGCATTGGAATATTTGCTAGCATATATATGGATTGATTGCTATAGAACCATAAGTCTTTTGCTTTGTGTAATGGATCTGGGTTAGGTTGCACCAACTGGGCCAACATATAGAAATCGCATTCATCATTAACATGATTCTCCCTTGTCCAATGACTGAGAGTGTTTTGCTCTTTGACCACAAGACTGCTTAACGTTTGCTTTTCATAGAGAATCAGCTTGATTTGGTTGAGGTTGTCGGGTGTGATTCCAGTGAACATAAGCGCAATGTTTGGCGATTCGTTTGTGTAAGTGAAGCATAAGCTCATATCATTTGAACGACAATAATTGCTATCAGCGTAAGAATCACTGCACAGGATTGATCCCAAGAAACGCATTTTATGGGTGCCAAAGTCGAATTTTTTGCTTTCAGCATCAACGACATAGTAGACGACGACATTGTCTTCGCTAATGTGTAGCTGGCCGTACAAATTGCAGGCACGTTTTTGATAAAAGTATTCAGTGGGTAAGAATATCTTTATGCTCATGTTTACAAAACAAAATGAATAACTCGATATATTATAATATATTTCGATAGCATTTTACCATCTAGCCATATCGATACATTTCTAGATGTTAGATGTCTATGCATCTCTGTGTGTTTTTGTTTCAATTCAGCATTTCATATTTTTCATTTTTCACGTGTTCTGTTTTATATCGTTTCGCAGATATTTATTGACATACACATTCGCATTTTAAAGGGATACATATTTCATCGGCTTTTGTTTTATAGTTAAAATTTTTTTCGTGTAAAAAGATTTTTGTGCAAATATTATAATGGGATATGATGGTAAGTTGCAATTTTCTTTCGTGCTGCCCATGGCAGAATGATATATACATATGTTCCAATGTGCTTAAGTTCAAGCTTCGGCTAATTTACACATGCATCCATATACGTAAATAAGTTTACATAAATAGAATAGGCGACTGTATTAATGCTTGCCAATTTAGATTGCACACTTGCTACAGCGTTAGAGAGATTTATTTAAAAGTGATCAAATTATTTTCTCATTTATCGTTTATTTTGCATGCTCACCGGCCGACATATTGAGCGCTATATACATACATACGTGCACATCCATGTATGCCATTAATTTTAATTTTCGTTTTTGTTATCCTTGTTCTTTGATTACCTCACTAGCAGCACTCAACAATTTATATGTGTGGCTACGTGATTAATGTGACATATTGCATACTTTTTTCCCACCAAAATATCCGCGTTGTATATTACAATGGGACACTTTTCACTATACATGAATAAATATATACGTATTTTAGGTAGTGAGAGTGTATGTGCCTGAGGAGAGGATGCGCACATGAACGTATATATGTATGTAAAACTTCATCAGTATACAACACACTATTTAATATAGCTTGTGCTTGCGATATATATGAATTGTAAAACTATAGTAATATGGATTAAAGCCGGTGATACGAATGCCTATATGCACATTTGAGTGAACGTGTACAGTACCTTCAAGAGTTAAATGTACACCAATAAATATGTTCACAATGAATCCTGATATTTATAAATATATCGCTATAGTTGTTGCATGATGTATAAGCCGGAATCTTAGAACTTCAATTTAAATGTGGGCTTTGTAAATCTATTATGAACTTTAGACAAATTTATTTATATGTGTTAGCAAATACTAGTCATCTCACAATTCTAAAATTGAAAAGAAAAGTTTCAATTAATATGTTTATTTGAAATATATATTTTACAATTCATTGATAACATATCTTATTAATTATGAAAAATGCAACGTAATGATTCTTGTAGCGCATTTTTATATTGAAGAAAAGACTAAATCTATATCGAAAAATAAATCAGTGCCTGAAAAGCCGGGCAATACCTGATATTGAAACTATATGAAGTCCATTAACACTATTAACTGGAAGCCATTTTCTCAGACTTATGCATGCATACAAATGTTTATAATATAACAAATAAATCTTACTTTACTTTAACAGATCGTGACCGTGATCGCGACAGGCGCCGCCACCGTTCTCGATCTCGTGACCGGCATCGTGACCGCTCTAGGGACCGTCGCCATCATCGGAACTCGCGTCGCAAGCCGTCATTGTATTGGGATGTGCCGCCACCTGGCTTCGAGCACATAACACCAATGCAGTACAAAGCGATGCAGGCGTCGGGTCAAATCCCGGCTAGCGTAGTCCCAGATACGCCGCAAACAGCTGTGCCCGTAGTGGGGTCAACTATAACTCGCCAGGCACGTCGCTTGTATGTGGGCAACATTCCGTTCGGAGTCACTGAGGAGGAAATGATGGAGTTTTTTAATCAACAAATGCATTTAGTTGGCTTAGCACAAGCCGCCGGCAGTCCAGTGCTGGCATGTCAAATTAATTTGGACAAAAACTTCGCTTTTCTTGAGTTTAGATCTATAGATGAGACCACCCAGGCTATGGCGTTTGATGGCATCAATTTGAAAGGACAAGACCTCAAAATAAGGCGCCCACACGATTATCAACCAATGCCGGGCATCACGGATACGCCGGCAGTAAAGCCCGCTGTTGGTAAGTTATATAGAACAAAATAAGTTGACAAATTCTCAATAATACGACTAATTTCCTTTATATAATAGTCTCAAGTGGAGTTATCTCAACAGTGGTACCCGATTCACCACACAAAATATTTATAGGTGGTCTGCCCAATTATTTAAATGATGAACAGGTAAGCAACGAGTTGTACATATTGACCAGAAAGTATTAAAAAAATCTGTAAAATAGTAAAAATAAGAATAATAATAATAAAATTAAGGAGTTAGTCCAAAACCATCTGGATATATTTCGGCCCTTGATCGACGGGATCAATTAAGATAGAATAGAGAACATTTCTTTCCTTTTTCCCACATATAGATACATATCCATTCCTTGAGGCTCTCCTGCACATACGTAGAATCCTGAAAATTGGTAATCTGAACTTGAACTCTGGCATACGGCCTAGTTCTGTTTAGTCAGATCCCTTTTTTTTATCTGAATTTATACAGGCAGAGTCGTATAATCAGTTTATTTAGCTAGATATTATAAAATGTTATTTTGCTATGGTTCTAAAATTTGCGTTTTACTGTATTTCAGGTGAAAGAATTATTGCTATCATTTGGTAAGCTAAGAGCGTTTAACCTCGTTAAAGACGCAGCCACTGGCTTGAGTAAAGGTTATGCCTTTTGTGAATACGTTGATCTAAGCATTACTGATCAGGTAAGTTTGACAATTTGGTTTAATAAATTCATTAACTAAATGATAAATATTCATTCAAGTCAATTGCTGGATTAAATGGCATGCAGCTAGGAGATAAGAAACTGATCGTTCAACGTGCCAGTGTTGGTGCCAAAAATGCTCAGAATGCTGCTAATACAAGCCAGTCGGTGATGTTACAAGTACCAGGCTTATCGACGGTAGTAACATCTGGTCCACCCACTGAGGTGCTTTGCTTGTTGAATATGGTCACTCCTGATGAGCTGCGCGATGAAGAGGAATATGAGGACATATTAGAAGATATTAAGGAGGAGTGCACGAAATATGGAGTCGTTCGCAGCGTTGAGATACCGCGTCCGATTGAGGGCGTGGAAGTTCCTGGGTGCGGCAAAGTATTTGTCGAATTTAACTCGGTACTCGATTGTCAAAAAGCTCAACAAGCGTTGACTGGCCGTAAGTTCAGCGATCGTGTTGTTGTTACATCATACTTTGATCCTGACAAATATCATAGACGCGAATTTTAGATCAAGTTTCTACGTATTTCACACATTCACCAATTTGTCCAATAAAAGAAGAAAGCAAACAAACAAAAAACAAAAAAAGATAACATAATAAAATACCAATTCATGAATTTTATCCAATATACCGTTATTTTTCTATCACATTAAAAATAGTGTTAATTTCCGATAGATATTCAAACGAGTTTTACATTGATTGAAAATTCAACAAAAATTAAGCAACACTTACGCCGTAAAATCTTTATTTGGCATTGACGAATAGACAAAAAACCGTACAATACATAAATATGTTTACATGTGGATAAAAAATGTATAACAACATTTACATACAATTTCTAATTCATATTTCAATATATAATATTTTTACGCAAATAACTTAAAACAGTTAAAAGAAAACAAATCATAACTCATTTAGTGAAGTGCAGTACATTAAAAATGCGGTGAATCTAAGATATCAAATATGGAATTTCCTCGACACTGCTGCTACGTTTGTACTATGACATTGACGATTTCATAGTCAACCGCTGCAACTTTTGTGATATAAACATTACATTTAATTCATATATATTTGTGCTTTCACGATTATCATATGGTGTAAATACAAATTCGGCTATGAGATTGTGTAACAGTAAGCATAGCCGTCATATCTATTCATACACACATGCACATACACACACATAACCATTTCATGGAACGACTTTGAATTCATTCCGTTTATACGCACTTCCTATTTGAAATTCTGTTCCAATAACACGAGGTTGATTTCTTAATTATAAGTCAAATAACAAACATAATACTGATAAGTAAAACTAAATGCAAGTTGATATAGTAATATTTTTAAATCAATTATTCTTTATCATTAAGAAAGATCTATGATAAAAATTTATGATTTGAAAAAAGTATAAACGCTTTTGCAGGTAAAATTGTTCATGAAGCAATTTTAAAATAAACTATAAAGAATACTAAAACAGAAATTATCAAAAAAGTATATGAACTTCTTGACATTACATAGACTTCGTTTTGTAAACTTTTTGAACTCTTCTATTGAGTTTCCTCTGTTATATAAATCTTCATTAAAAAATATATAGAATCTAGTTTACACAAGGAAACAGCAGTTTTAGTAACAATCCAATGATAGTGCAAGGGTTTGGTCTATAAAAAGGTAGGCATATATCCGTAATATATACACTAAATTTACTTTTTATTACTTTTTATTTACTAATATAACCGATGTGAATGATCAATCAAAATTTAAGAACGAAATGGACACGTTCCACTTCTAAATTTAAAAAGTCCCTCAATTTCTTGCTATGAAATTTTCAATATGTGGGTAAGAAAATGACTGTAGTTTTCAAAATAGGAATTTAAACCTCATACATTTTCTATAATCAAACGATCAATGCTATCGGTTAAGATATTCGTAATCTATCGATATAAAAGGGCCCTACAAAAGATTGAACAAACAGATTTTTTTATCATATATTGGCCTTAAGTTTGGGGTATAGGGTAGTTGTTGTTAGCTTTGCTTCATAAAGTCATGAAATCAGGCATTTAAGGAAAACACTGGTATTACGAAATTTTCATGGCATGCATGGTTTGTAAAGGAATGCAAATGCGATCATGTAAATAGTCTTCCACGTGCAGAATGAAGCATTGTTAAGTTTTAACAAATAGCTGCGTTAGATATGTATGCGATTTGTTAAGTATAAGATAGATATGTATTTGTTTCCTGTGATATGTTTCGAAGTGCATTGTAATCTTCACAATGCTCATTGTTCATAGGTATACTTGCATGTGGACTATTTTATTGCACTAAGTAGATGTCCGATTTGAAATTTCTATATTGACTAAAAGGGAAGACAGCTCCAGCTCCTCGCTGAACTTGTTGCGCAGGATCACGCTGCGATAGCCTTGGCGCACGCAGATCAAAGGATAACAGGCCTGGGCTATGAAATGTGTCTCGGCAAACATATCCTCGTCTTGCACCTCGAAGCGCAGCAACGCAAACTGAGGATTGTGCACTGTGAATTTGAAGGATTCATTCCAAATAGGATTGAAGCCGTTCTCATTAACTTTGCTGCGATATTTGACTCCACTGTCAAACGTAGCGCCAACGATTTCCACCACAATTTGTGGATTATTCGATTTGCCACCACGGAATAGATGACGAGCTGCAATGATGCGTATGCTGACATGCGTTTCGGTAAGGACATCCGACAAAGGATTGTTGGGATTGAAGTTTTCAGACATCATAAATGCTGGCTTTAGTATGTAGCCGCATTGGCCATTATTTCGAAATTTAGCCTGATTGAGTTGCATGGCTTTATCGCCGGTTTGATAATTCAATGCAATCATTTGTGAGCCAATGTTCCAAAATGGCATAGGGTTAAAGTTGGATGAGTCCAAGCGTTGACCCTTTGGATAAATGCGACTAATTTGGTTGCGATGATACGATAGAAAAAGCGGCATATTTTGTTGGATAAACTGCTTTTCGGCTTTTGTTTCTGGAAAGCTGGACATCTCTTGGAATATCCACGAATGATCTCGAAACGGTACACTACGGAAATAGATAATTAAATCGGACATCTCCTTGGCTACGCGTGCTGTGCGCTCCTTTTTACGCCGTTCAGTGGCCAATTGACTAGCGATCAGTGCCGCGTCCTGTATGGCTTTGATCCATTCATACGCTGTTTCCTGATTATCGAATCCAATTACAAATGGATTTTGCATCGTAGGCGTTTGGATTTGTAGCTTTATTATAATGCCTGGCTCGTTCGATTCGAAGAGAGACGCCACTGCACCGTAGATCTCAATTGAATCGGTGCGTCCATCGTTGCCCTCTTCATTTACTGAGTTGTAATCTTCAGTGGCGGAATCAATGACCTTTACAAACAAAAGGGATATGTGATTATTTATTTGCCTGACAAGGAGATACACTGCCCTCTATATATAGTTCTTAGCACATAACAACTCACTTTGACATAGTTAGCGGGCAGATGTTGCTGGATCATGCCACCGTAATCACCTTTCCACCACATAGAGTTGTTTCTTTGAACATTGGTTATTATCGCGTGCTTTGGAAATGAAAGTTCATCGGGCTTGTCGGCCTTATAGCTATAGAGAGCCTTGCATGTGACATATTCTTCCAGATTGGAGCCCATATAGTTGGATGCGCCAGAGCTATCGTTATTTCTATGCTCGCCGTGCGACTGGGCATTCTCTAATAGAGTCTGTCGCAGCAGTTCCAGGGAAACGGGATGGACGAGCTTCACATTGCGATATAGCGGATTTCTCATATAATAATGAATTAGTGATACTAAAGATTCGAATTGCATCGTATCAATCGCATACAGGCGACCCTCCTGAATGATTCGACAGTGTTTAATTTTCCGATTTATCGTAAACGATATGACAAACGTATTGATGCTCTGAACCGATGGCCGCACCAGAAACGAACCAACGTCCAGCTTAATTAATCCCTGCTCAGCCTGCTCCTTTGTTGTATTTGGATGAAACCAGTCCTGGCTCTCGTGCTTCTTTGGCTGAGGCACTGGCTCCTTGAGAATGATCGAAAACTCTGAACTGCGGAGCATATTTTTGCGATAATACACAATTAACGAGTACAGCGAATCAAATACGAAATTCTCCACCAGATAATACTTTATCGAGCCATTCTCGTGCTTCAGCTTAATGCGACAATGATTGGGCCGATTGCGACGCCAGAATGACAAACTATAATCCCCCACAAAAGTGGCTGACTCGCGCACCAAAAACGTTCCATCCCCTAGATGCTTATACGTATCCAACAATTGGTCAGCTTCTTGTCTTCCACCTTAACGAAACGAAACGAGGGGTATATATTAAAAATGTGATAACATAGAACTTTGTAAACTGTATTTAAGAATGAATTCGTAACCATGGTTGGAAAAGTACTAAAAATACCAACCCAAATACTTCTAAACCGACGCTAAAATGTATTTTCATTGTATTATTTCATTATATCATTACCTTCCAACTTGCCGTGAAACCAATTTTCACCAAAATGTAATTCATCATTGGCCGATGTATCTTTTTGCTTTTGCTGCATATTGCTATTTAGGGAACAGGACGAAAGTCCAAAATCGTCGTCTTCAGAATTGCCGTTGCGACAATCGTTGATTTCTGATGTGTAGATGAGCTCCTGTTGGGTGAGGACAAACTGAAAGAGATTCCATGACTTATCGACTGGATCCTTAAAGTATAGCAATCCCTTCTTTAAGATTTTTTGCAAATTCTCATTATCGTCAGTGGCACCGCCCAGCGAAGATCGATGACTGAATGAGGCCATCGTCCCGTTATTAACACCAACTGCAGGTAAATTAATTGAGCCAACATTTTCGTCGAATTGGGGCAACTTTTTGTGTTTTAAAATTATTTTTCGACGCAGTTGATTTGGCGATGGCAAATGGAGCTCATTTCGATCGCAGGGCTGTGTGAGCAGCATATCTCCAAAAACCTAAAATCGACATATTAACAGATAACAAATATACTAGTCAATATATCTGATATTTGATAGTCTCACCTCAATCAAGGCATGTGCCATATTTCGTTGTTGCTCTAAGGAGCAGTTCTGTTCGATAGATAGAATTACTGGGTACTCGGACGTAGCGAAGGCGTGGTCCTTAATAGTTTTAATGACATCCATGAACTTTATTTTTGAGGTCATTGTATGACCATGGAATATATATGGCAAATTATCAGGACCATTCCAGCAGTCCAGCTCAATGCAGCGACAGCCCATTCGTAAGGCACGTGCATACGCCTCGCATGAAGATTCACTCGAGAACTGATCGCCTGTCAGATATGTATTGTGGGACGAGGCTATCCAGTAGGAGGAGAGCGGCTGATTCATATCCATAAAGACCGTATCGTATCTGGTGTCCCACAGATCATTCTGTTTGGAGAAAAGATAGTCGACAAACTCGGAGATGGTCAAATATGGCTCTTGCACATCGCGTTCTACATCCTGGACGAAATCGCGCATAAAGCCAGATATGCTATTCAATTCACAAGCATTTAAATCATGTTGTTCAGCTTCAAGAAATCGTTTAAACTCCACGGGCCGTACAGTTTTCTTGTCCTCGGAGTAAGCGAACTCTGTGCCACCAAAGATGGTGACAAATGTGACGGGCAGTAAGAGTTTTTGATATAGACGCGAGAAATCATCGAATTTCAGATCGTGCTTGCGTCTTATATCGTCTGTGAAGAATTCCATGAATTTGCTAGTGCTCATCTTACAGCTAACGCTACTTAAGAATGATTTGAAATCCTTTATAGTCACCTGGGCGCTGTGGTCGGATTTGGCCAGGTGCGAATTGACATTCTCGAAAGAATAATATTCGCGTCGCAGCCAACGATCGATTTGCAGCGGGTACGGTGAATTAACAGTATCCTTAACCATATAACGTAATCCTCGCACCCAGTTGTCGGCTTCAATCTCTGAGAGTGCCACAACCGAGAAGCTTTTCAGCTTGAAACTATTTCCGTACATAATCACAAAGCATTTGCTGCTTTCGAAGCGCTGACAGTCGTCTGCATGTAGCCGGAACTCCTTGGAGTTCTTGCCAACGCGTATCTCGCGTATCTCTCGCAACTGGATCGTGCCCTCGTATTCGGTGCGTGTCTGTACTGCGACAGTGGACCATAACAGCTGACGAGTCTCTCTGATAAGCATGAGGTGTCGTCGATCGGGGCGTCGTTGTTTTCCATAGAGTTTCGTTACAATTGTTCCGCGTTCTAGCATGCAAATTGTCTGCTCCATTTCCCCTAACAGAGGGCTATTCATTGCACTAAAGCAACTCATTGTTTTGCGTTCTTTTTCTTTTTTTTTTTGTGTATTTTATTTTATAAAAAGGAAGAAAACATGCATGAATCGAAATCTATTTTGCAATATGCTGTAATTATGTATGTTAAGTACATATGTTTGCGTTGGCTCTTTAGGACTTGAAGATCATTGAACGTTTAGTGCTATGATTCATCGATATTTCATTGATTCGGTTCACTAGGTATTTAGTTAATGGAATTTTATTTTGTTACTGAATACAATTGCACTTGTTGAATGTTGGATTCCTTAAAACATTTATTGCTTGCACTGCTAAAGTATCGATAACAATGTCATCGATGTCATCTTCATCAGTATATACAATACGCAGGTGCACCTTACGTTAACATTATATAAACCTAACAGTCTTTTTTAAAAATTGTACTTGCAACTTATTTTATTGACAAAAGTATAAATATTTAAATACTAATAAAATGAACACTGAGATATACTTAGAATATAGCTTATTTTGAATAATTGCAAGTTACAGACATATAATTGAAAATTTACACAAAAGTAGTTTGTATGGATTAAATGTTAAATGAAAGGGTTGAAGTAATGAGTTTGTATGTAAATTTATTTCTTACGATAAATAAAACTATAAATTCAAAATATATATATTATTATATATCATATCATATGATATTTGGACCCTCTCTATCATTTCACGGTGAAATATCCAGCCCAAAAATCGATAACTGATAACACTGGCTATGAGATACAGTGACGCAGTTAGCTAACAGAACTGTTAAATCAACATATTACAGACAGCACTGTTAAAAGACCCAGTATTGCTTAGTCGTCCGAGTACGTGACGCTTTATCAATGTTAATTCATTAATAGTACCTTCTAAGTATAATAGGAGCTGAAACGATAACTACGTTACGGTCTTAAACAAATGAAAAAGTGAAAATTAATAACATTTTTATTGAAAACCAAACAGGATAAGCGCACGCGGGTCAATACAGTGGTTGGCGGCAGCGTGGCGTACAAATTATGCTAAAGAGCATCAACGCTGCCTTCCAATATGCAGAAAACAAATTCAGCTACGCCACCGTCAGCAGGAGCATCGCCAGTGACGGCAGCAGATAGCGTTGCGACAACATCGAATGTGGTGTCAGCTTCAGAAGCCGCATCCAGTGCAAATAGCAATAGCGGCGAACGTTGCGACTCCGCTGCTCCAGCAGTAAGTTTACAATGCCCTCGTGTGTATGTGTGGGCATGTGTGTGTGTCTCAGTGCGTGTGTGTGCTGCATTCGCAAACGCGCGCCTATGTTTAAAGCTTTTCTTTCTATTTTGTTGTTACATGTCGCCAGTTACAAGCTTTAGTTTTTCTTTCGAATGCCAATTTCAGTCGTTGCCATTATATAACTCAATGACAGCGCACGCTTATTGACCTTACCTCGCAGAATGCTATTTGCCGCTTACGTCCACACGCCACACTTAAACAACTGCAGACGTCATGAGCTGAGCAATTGCTATTGCTAGTCCCGTTTTATGTTTTTTGTTTGTACTCTTCCTTTCCATATATTTTTTTTTGTATCTTTGTAATTTTCCGCTGGCATAATGCTTGGCAAACGTGTCAAACGTACCAACACTCCAGCCCCATTCTTTCCTCTTCCACCAACCATAACCTTAAGCGTTGCTGCGCATGCTGCCCGCTTAGGCCATGCCCAGTTTGACCTGCTTCCGCCAGTTTCACGTGCGTGTTGCGTATATTGTCTTACCTCTTCGTGCTTTCAATTCGTTTCATGCATATTTAGACTTTTTGAGGCAGTGGACATTATGCATTTTATTTACTCATCGCTTGTAACCGTTTTCATATTTAAGTTTTGGTCTTTGGCCTACACCTGCATCATCTTTTCGCCTACATCTGTGTGGTAAAATGTTCTTGTATGTGAGATGTGTGTGTGTTTTGTGCCCATTTCGCGATGATTATCTGTATGCACGCGCGTGTGTGTGTACTCGCGCTTTCAATTCCTAATGCAATATTAATAACTTAACATTCTTATTATTGCTAGCATTTTATATTTACATTGTAAAATGAGCTTACTGGTTTTGTGCAGTGTCCGTCTGTATGAACACAAGCCATTTCGTCGCTATTGAAGCTAGAGATTTTAAATATGTGGTTATATGATTTTGGAATTGGCGGGTTCCTGCTTCCCAAAAACTGTTAAAATTTTGCCGTTACGTACGCTAGGAGAGTGTTGAATCGGGAAATTCTACAGCGAGTATGTCTGAAACGCTATTAGTTGACGTATTAGAGACTTAAAATTAGAAACACAATCGTGTTGACTATCCAAAATTAAAAACATAGTAAATGGAGGCGTGGCATTCGCTAAAGCTTATCTTCTAAAGTTGTAGAACTAGATACTGATTGCACTCACGAGTATATATTTCAAATTTCAAGTTTCTAGATCAAAATGTATTCAAAACACTTTATAGTCAGATCCTACTTGCCACGCCTCCAGTAGGCATAGGCATCTGTAGTGGATTTTAACAGTAATATCCATGCTAAATTTGTAGGTTCTTTGAAGATTTGTCACTTTAATAAAAGTTTAAATTCTTTCGTCAGGATGATAAAGAATATACTTTGGAGTCGGTTATATTTTGCCTTCAACGTTAGACATATTCCCATTGACTTTTTATGGTTTTTGTTATTATTTATATAAAGTTTTATCGAAAAGATTTTGAATGTATTTTAATATGAAACAAAACAACAACTTAGAGAACATTTTGTTAATTATTTGCCCTACGATGCTTACAATACATATATATGTATATACATTCTAATTTATTCAGTATCTACTATAGTTTTCATTTAGCTATATTTAGACAATGATTATACACATACACGTATTGCACTACATTCTCCAAAAGTATTTTATTGTTTAACGAATTACAACAATTTTACAATACAATTATGAATGCACTATATTAAAAATGCGATTTGTCAAAAAACGATCTTTAATTAAGAGAACATTTATATTTGAAAATTGGATTTAACAATTCGAAAATTTGCAAAGTAAAATAAACTTCTCTAAATATTTGCTAGCAATTCGCGAAATATTTACTTATTCGAGCATTTAGTGATATTTTTGCATATCATTTAAATGTGAACTTAAGATTAAAATATTAATAATATTTGTATATCAATTGTGTAAATATGATTTTCATTATATATAAATATGTATATTTATATATATAAATATATATATATTTATATATAATTATATATGTGCGTATGTGTATGTGTATTTATTTATTTATTTATTTTTCTCTTATTATTTTTGTAGAGCTTTTTGTTGTGCACCTAACCACAAACTCATCATGAAATCGTTTGCAGAGTTTTAGCGCGGTAAGCGCCAAATCGTGAGTGTTTTCTTCTTTCTTTCATATTTCGAATCCTTAATTCTATCTTATCTCTTCCAATAACTAATCTACTTGCGTTTGGCAGTATGGCACAGCAAAGCAGCAGCTGCAGCAGCAGCAACAAGAATTGACGCCTAGCTGCAAGGAACAGAATCTGCAACCCGATGAGCAGCCGATAGCCATACACTATTTAGCCAGCTTCCATATGATCTGTGTAGTTACGGCCCTGTTGCCCTTGGTTACGCTCTTCACATGTTTTGTGACCGCCTACGTCTTCCAGTACGACGATGTACATGAGACACATTGCCGGGTATGGGCATACCTAATATATATACATATGTACATATATTTCAAATAATCTCTTTAAAAATTGTGGCTTTCAGGTTTATAACATAATACCCTCGATAAGTGCAATTACTGGGGTTAGCCCGCAGCGTTATTTCTGGCGTTTCAGTATTGCGCTGCACATCGGACCACGTATACCCATTGCCTTTGTCTATAAGAACTATTATCGCGCCCAGTTGGCTCGGCTAGCGCCATCGCTGGTACTAAAGACCAGTTGGCTAATCACATTAATTTTGGTGTTAAACTGCATTGAGATTGCGGCATTAGGTGGAGTGACCTATATATCGAATCGCGAGAACTATCGTAAGCAAATCGAACGTTAACTTCATTGACAACTTCTCGTTGCTAACCTATATATATATATATTATTGAATTCTTCAGCTGTTCATGAGAGAATCTTTATTACGTTTATGGTATGCTCGCTGTGCTATATGTTGGCTACCATAAAGCTGAATGGCATATTGAATGCACGTAAAACGCTCAATGCACGGCAGCTTCAATCCATCAAATGGAAGAAAATACTCTTTGTTGCCTCCATATTGAGCACCATTGGTCTCCTGGTATTTTTTGCTAAGCACCGTTTCTACTGCCACGATCTGGGTAAGCTAACGAGAAAGCTAATTGAAAAGTGTTGGCCGAGTGTGACCTATTGCAGACTTCTTACTTAATTTACTTTAATAGCTTATTTAATAATTCCGATTTGAATAAAGTATTTTGAGTGAAATTGCAATAGATCACGGGCCCCTTGCCCAGCTTTAAATCGTCTCTTATCAATTAACATAATAACTACTCCTCTCCTCTTTTTCAGCTTTCAGTTGGTTTGCATTCTTTGAATATTTGATTGCTATTGCCAATATGCTGTTCCATTTCACCATCATATGGGACTTTCCATCGCAGTTCATGCTGATTGTGCAGGGGCCGCGTGAAAATTTGACGCAGTATTTGGGCGCAAAGCCGAAAATTAACTAATTCCCCCATCATATGTAAAGTCCTAGTTGATTTACACATATTTCTTTTTTTGTAAATTATAAATTGTACACATAGACACATACACACATACAAATAGAGAATCACAAAACATAGTCGTATACATATGTAGAATGTGGAATGCAACTTTAACGAAACGTACAATTGTACCATTATACTCTAAATAATTTACAACTAGCGCTTCCATAACCAAAATGAAACGAAAATAACGCTTGAATACATTTTGTATTATTCTCACCTGTTCCAATTCGACAAAGGTATATATCCGATTTAATGATTATGTTAACTATGCGTACAAAATTTCAAAACAAAAATGTTCACAAGTAAATAACATAAAATTTTAGTCTCTAAGTTATCTTGAAACATTTTATCGAATTCCACAATTAAATACCATACATATATACCATGTGTACAACCTGCGAGCTGCTCATCTTTTTAAAAGCAAAGAGAAAACCAAAAATTGTGAAAAATTACTTTAAACGCATAGCATTGTATATAGGTATGCAGCTAAGGTACATTATTTGTATCAATTCCAACCTGAATATACGTTTTAAGTTTAAGCTTAAGTTTTTTATGATTTTCATATATATAAGCCGACTGCATATTATATTTGTTTGAATATTTCAGCTCTAATATGGTATACGAATTATATAATATTTAATTACGTTCTAAATTTTCAATCACGTTCTTACTTGTAACAATATACCGAATTTGGTGGTACTTATATGCTGAATAGAGTCCTTCCTTGAACGAATGTTGATTATTGAAGGCGATTTGCTCTTATATAGATAAACTTATATTACCTTAATAGTCTTCAATTATGCTAATATTAATGTCAGTTTTCTCTCTATTCGATACAAATATATATAAATCCCTGTTCATTTCACCATTATTTTACATAACTGTGTATAACATACCAAATGTATGGACTCAAAACAGCCTAAACGCTAGTTAACTTTTAAGTATTTTAATCTCTTTCTCTCCCTCTCAGTCTCTGCATGTCTCTCTCTACATCATGTTCAGCCATTGCTGCTCATGACAAACATATATACATCAACACATAGGCATGTTTAACACTAGCAGTACATATCGTTTATACATAAACAAAATTACATTGCAAATATCAAAAAACAAAAAAAAAAAATGATTGGTAGAGCCTATGGTTTATGTAGCGCTCTGCAACTCTCCATTGTTAACAGTTATAAACATAATTATTATAAAACCACAAAAATGCAGACAATAGCCATTTAAGCTGGGACAGGCAACGAACATCATTATAAATTCAAATAAAATAAAATATACATAAAAATTTATAGTGAACAAATAAACTAAATAAGGTTTTAGACACATTTATCTTCTGCTGCTGCTGCTGTTGGAGATAAATCATGTAATCCACTTAACAAATGTAGTAAATGAACAATTGTACTTACTAATTTAAATACCAACAAAAACAATATATAACATATTGTAGTTTAAACAATTAAAAGAAACAGAAATGGCTTAAGTATTTTCCACTTGCTTTTGTTAATGCTTGATATTGTTTTCGTATTTGAATTACACACAATAAACATTATAGCTAACCAAATTATTAACAATTAAGATTATATATATATATATATATATATATATATATATATATATATATATAAAGTACGTCCGTTTTTTTGTCTTCAAATATTTAGGATTAATATATTGAATCAAGTTCAAATTAAATGAAAACTAATTAAAAATTACGTAATAACTATAATTCTGAATTTTCAGTCAAAATTGCATGTAGTTCTAAAAATGAAAAACTTAAAACTCGATTATGTATTTACTATTTGCTAAAATTAAGAAAACAATTGTTATTATGCAATACAAAACAAAAAGAAACAAGTTGAAGCCCACATACATTTTTTTCTATACACTTATTTAAGACTCGCCACGCATTGATATGTTTTCCATTTTCGTGGTACTTTGTCAATATTCTCATGGAGTGCCTCTCATCTGTTCCAACGGCTATTTATATATGTTTCATGACATATATGATTTTTACGAAACAAACGATATGTACTTAATACTTTTTAGAGTGCAACTTTTTACCTTTGCATACATTTTTAGGCAACACAACGTAAGTTAAGACAACATAAGTCAACAAAAACAAAAATGTAAAACTTTGTAGAATCCTAATTTGAATAAAGATTACAATACAAATTTATATCAAATTGAGTGATCTGATACGGATATGTTCGTTACGGATATAACAACAGCTTTCCTGGTTTTCGTTAAAAAATAATTCGATTAGACGACTAGATCTACTCGGATATCTTATACTAATTAAGAATAAACCCGTTCATTTATTTCCCTTGTGTTACCCATATATAAAGACATAAATTGGAAGCACTTAAGAAATTTTTAATTTTCTATTAATTATTTACAATTTCTTTTTAAATATGTATGAACCCTTAAAAACACTAAAATATCCATACACAAATATAATACTTGCACACATACAAGGTAAAAATAATTAAAGTACTAATAAAATGTAGTTTTTCTCAAAAAATTTAGAAATGAATTCGTAATTCACTCCAGTTGAGATAAAATTTGTTCGAACAGATAGAAAAATATATAATATATAAAAATAACATAAAATAATATAATATAAAAATATGTTCAAATATTGGTTTTTGTTTTGTAAATTTTGGCTAAAATAAAACTGCTTATATAATATAGACCATATATATGTACAGATATTATATGTATGCGTGTATATTGAAGAGCAATACCATTTTAGTATGCGCTGGTGAACGTGTGGGTCTGTAGAAGCTTACAAATTAAGTTCAGTACGAATTAGCTACGGCAAAAGATTGCATATGTAAATATATATGCATATATGTGAGTGCCTAAGCTAAGCACCTAACAATAGGTGGTCATATGTGTATACATATATATATGTGTGTTCTGTGAGATAACATTGCAAGCAATGCTTATTATTGTTTTTAGTTATTGTTGTGCAGCGTTACATTATATGTTTATGTTTATATATAATATATATATATATATATATATATATATATATATATATATACATATATATATATATGTCTCGTTATGTCTATGTTTCTTTCTCTATCTAATCAGGCAAATCAATGCTGATGAATGGGACCACTGGCTTCATTATATCATTTTTGGCGGCTTTCTTGCTTTTCTTGTCATGCTTGCTAAACTCGTGTAACGGATCAGTGACAGCCATATTGCTGGTGGATGATGAGGATGCATCCAGCGGAACCGATTGACCCGCATTACTTTGCGTGTCCGCATGATAGCTAATATTTCCGTATTCCTGTAGAAATGGCATGGCCGAAAGCAAAAACTGGCTAAATGATTTGCGTATGCCAAACCACCACATGTTCCCGCCTTTGGCGGTAAAACTTAGAACAATTAGTGCGACTATAGAGACCAACAAAGGGGCGAACACCACAATATACGGAAACTTAATCTCTCCATCCAGCTTGTCGCAAATAACCACCTGTGCAAAAATAGATTTGTCTTGAGAACATAGTACATGGAAATTAATCACAATACGCTTTACCTGAAAGCAGAGCAATGGTAGTACAGTACAAATGTTACCAACAGCTGCATTTAGTGCCGCCTTCTTCTGTTGCAGCGATACTTCCGGTGTGCGCATCATTATGCCACAAAATATGATGTTATAGAGTACGCTGACCAAGCTAAGGCAAATGACAATCCACATAGGCACAAACACCACATCCCAGTTCCAATAGACAAACTTGTCCAGCTTAAGCGGAAGCGATACAAACTGCAATGCATTGACAGCCATAAATAACTCTAGTTCAAAAGAACGATCGTGCTTAACGGCCCACACGCAGGCCCCAACGCTGACCACAGAGCCAAAGATGAGTGGTATAAAGACAAGCACCCACAAATGGCGCTCTGATGTCAGCTTGTCGCATGCTAGCAGCTCGAACATGAGCAATATAAGATGCAGAGAGAGTGAGATAAGCATCGCCTTGAACTGCGTGTAAGAGTCGCCTTCAAGGCGATAGTGCGGATAGCGACACCAAACAATGGCGCCCACTATAGCGCCTAGTATAGCAGTGCATTTCCAAATCCACAGCGGCGTAAATATAGCCCAATATGGCCAATCTGCATTTAGACATGCATATTTCAGATAAAGTTTTAATTTGATGATTTCAAAGTTGTCTTACCTATGTATCCATCAAGGCGCAGCGCAAATAACGTTACAAACGTAAATAGACTGCAGTGCACTATGAATTTACTGATAATGGCAATTGGGGTTAGTAAGTTATTAAATATAAAGTTTACTTCAACTTGTATGCGTTGCTTACCATGGATTAAAGTCACGAAATAATGATTCAAGATTCATGTTCTCTCAGACAGAATAAAACGCTAGCAGTTATAGTCCCTATACTCTGCTTGCGCTCTTCTGAAATCCAGATCCTGATGAAGACCTTCGCCACTAGTTGCACATTATTGTTCTCGTTGTGCGATGCAGCTGTCTGCCGTTTATAATTTTACAGGCGCACAGAGTGGAGGGTACCGAATAATTCCTTGTTAAATATTGTTAGATGTCTTAATGTTTTATTTACACACTGTCCGACAATGTTAGAAAAAAGGCATACTAGGTATATTTATTGTTTTCATCTGCCTATCAGAAAGGTATCGAACTTTGACGATTAACCATGCTTATGAGATATCGATATTAACTTGTAAATTGTATGTCTCTAACAAAACTTGAATTTTTTCTTTTGTTTTTTGTAATATAATTTATTTAAGTCGATTGTTATATTATTGTTGAATTGTGGTTGACTCGAAATTTGACATAAATAAGTTTGCAAATTGACAAATTACGTGACTCCGATCTATTTGTTAAAAGCCCCTGAGCTATGAAATGTCGCCCATCTCTAGTTAATACTCATGCCTAATAACGAAGTTGACGAAACCGATTGCTGTGGCAATGGATGCACCAATTGCATTCTGGATAATAAACCAAAACCTAGCCAACAAGAACTGTTGGCTGGCAAGCGGAATGTCATTCTCAATTATGCAAAATTCAAGATGCTCAGCAACGAAGTGCACAATGGTGATGCCCAATTAAGATTGATGCACTTTGTCTACGTCGCTACGGAGAACGATGAAAATGATTGCATTTTGGACATTCCCCCGGGTTATCACGTGATGTTGCGTGCAGAATTGCCTGGGCATGCTGTGCCTTTACTGCGTCCATACTCACCTTACTGGACAGATTTAGTTGCAAAAGAATTTAAAATTCTGGTCAAGTTGCTGCCGGGCGGACCCATGTCTGATTACTTAGCAGCTTTAGAGCCGTTGCAAGTGCTCAACTTTCGTGGACCCATTGGCAACTATGTGCATGATTCAAGCAGTCCGAAATGCATATATATTATAGCACAGGGTGTGGCGATTGCATCCACATTACCGCTGGTCGCCCAAGTGCTGGACAACGAAGATGATATGAGCTGCATATTTCATGCGATATGTGCACAGGACTTACATCATGTCTATTTTCGCGATCGAATTCTCGAATTTTCTCGATACTGGAATTACCGAAGCTGCATCTATCTGGCGCACCAGCTGTGCAGCTGTGGTGCCGCCAACTGCGACGAGCTATGTATGCATCTGAAAAAGAAATTGCGTTATAATGAAACAGCGTGCAGGCTGCGCCTGGATGTCAAGCAGTTGGCAGTCCATGCAGCATTTAGCAAAGAGAGTGTTTCCATTGTTATCATAGCAGGATATGCAACATTTCAGCGAGTCATGCGCGATCAAGCTATTAGCGCCTTTAATTTGTCAGATGAAAATATATATCTATTATAAATTATGCTTGTCTTTATAAAATGTATTTTGTGGACATTGACTTGACCTATGTCTTATTTCTAATTTTTCCAAATTTATCTTCATATAGTCGGTACTGGAAGTAAATGTTTTACTGTATAGTTGTCCCGCTGTATGTCTGTGAGTGATTTGTGGCCTTTAATGTATATTTGCTTTGCTTGTAGAGCTTGAGCTAATCTGGAAAGGTCGATGGGAACTAATGGTACACACAGAATATAAATTTTAAATTATGTGTCGCTTTTCTATGTGCAGGAATTTAATCTATCATGAATACAAACGAACAGACGGCTAGACTGACTTTGTTCATCGATATTTGGATGGAGTCGATGGGGACGCATTTTCTATTCATACTAAGAAGTACATTTCCATACATCCAGCAATATAATAATTTTTCAAAGCTCAGACTTAAGTATCTTTGCTTGTAGCATTGAGTCACCATTCGAATCGCAAAATGCAAATTCGGAATTTCGTTCACTTTGAGTGAGTTTGACTTCAAAGCTCGAAACCTATGTGTACTTTTTATACCCTGATCCCATTAAAAATGGGAAATCAGGGTATAATGGTTTTGTGCAAATGTATGTAACAGGCAGAAGGAGGCGTGGCAGACCCCATAAAGTATATATATTCTTGATCAGGACGACAAGCCGAGTCGATTGAGCCCTGTCCGTCTGTCTGTCTGTCCGTCTGTCCGTCTGTCCGTCTGTCCGTCTGTCCGTCTGTCCGTATGTGTGAACGCGTGGATCTCAGCATCTATAAGAGCTAGAGACTTGAAATTTTTTTTGTAGGTCCGTGTATAGCACGCGCAGGTCAAGTTTGTTTCAAATATTCGATAACTATTCGCATTTAATTGTTATCGAATAAAAACATTATTGAAATACAGTAAATAAATTATATCTCGAACATCTTAAGAGCTAGAGACTCCAAATTTTGTATTTAGTCTTATGTATATTTTATGCAATTTTGATTTTTGTTGGATTTTGGATACCGGATCCAAATTCCCCCAAATTCTTAGAATTTAAGTTTAGTTGGAACTAGGGCCATTATGTCAAGGCGTTTGCATCTCAACTAAGCCAATAGGATATGTAGATCATATGCTGAAAATTTCATTAAAATCCATTAAGTAAAACAGAAGTTATTAAACAAAACGTTTGGCCAATTTGCAAAAGCACATGTCAGCAGCGCCACGCGCACGCATTTTTCCTATGCATGTGCACACATTCATTCAAATGCGTGTATTCTTTTCTATTCCAAGAATTGAAATTGCGATTGAATTGTGCTGAATATTAGCTGCTACTTATGTTCAAATATGCAACAGTCCATGTAAGAAGAACGGTGGCGGCGTTGGTAGAGGCGCCGCTCGCATGCAGCTTGGTTCGGGTTCGACACCAGTGGAGATGAAGTGTTTTTTATTGTTTTATTTTTTTTTTTTAGTTATGAAGTGGCGGTGTTGGTAGAGTTTGTGCACGTTGCGTAAATAATCCGGGTTCGAATCCTGGTCTCGCAATGTCGATTTTTATTTGTTATTATTTAAATATTATTTAAATGAGTTTGTAATAACAAAACTCAAAGGACTGGGATCAGGGTATCTCCTAGTCGGGCACCCCGACTAGAGCTTTCTTACTTGTTTTAACAATGGTAAAAGGTAAATTTGGAACAAATCGCTTAATCAATCATTTAGAAGCTTGATAAATCCTATAACAAGACTTTTAGCTGTCGAAATTTTGTTAATTTAAATTAAAAAAAATATGAAATTAACAAGAGAAAAGAAGGCTTAAAATGGCTCGAGTAAGAAATGGCAGATATTATTTGGAATTAAGCAATATTTCATAATTTGAGCCCTAGAATAGGTCATACATTCGTTAAGCAATCTCAACTCGCCGAAGCTTCCATCTTGATTTCTCAACTAAAGATAAGCGCAAATTGAGAGTTAACTGCGCAGTGAGAAGCGTCTGGTGAGCAGTGCACAGTGTGGGAAGTTTCGAGCAGTTGCTTATCGGTCTTGCGAGCGGAAGCTTTCACTGAAAAAAACGAGCGAAAAATAATTCTATCTACAGGCCTTCCAGCCTGTTGGTATAACACGACCATCAGTGTTCGAGCGGTTAATCAACATTTTGGGTGCATTGTAGTGTCAGAAAAAAGGAGAGTAAAATGGATCGGAACTCACCCGTTTACTCGAATTACGAGGATTTGCGAGCCTCAGAGCTGCCCTCGGTATCCCACTCCCATGCGGTGAACATTATCAGATCAGATCAAACACCAGAGCATACAGATCTTCATACAAATGCCAAACGTTCTGCTCCGCCAGAATATCGTGGATTCAAGACGTGTAAGAATGGTCTAACTGTGCTAAAACAATTGCTAAAAATGTTGTGAAAAGTAAACAAGATTAGATAAGCGAAGTGCTTTTAATGCAATTCGATGTTGCAAATTGTGCAAAGGTTCAAAAGACCCGCTATGTAGACTATGTGTGGATAATACTAGTTAATATGCAAATGCATTTTAGTTACAAAGCTTATTATCATAACAGGTATAGAGATAACCTGATATATATGTATTTATAAAAGTCAATCTCTTAAGGGCTTTCATTATTATGAGATCTGTAAGAGCGACAGTATTGAATTCGGTACTTCATCTCTAAGCCCTCTATCTGTGTCTATATATATTAAGATAATTATATATATATATATATATATATATATATATATATATATATATATATATATTTATTTATATATATATATATATATATATATATATATATATATATATATATATATATATATATATATATATATATATATATATATATATATATATGTGTGTGTGTGTGTTTAAAATTCTTTCAGAATTTAGTTTGACGGAAAAGGATTAATTAAATTACAAAATAGGTCATCGTTTAGACTGAGCCGCAAAGACTTTTTGTATACCCTGCATTTTGTTAAAATATATGTTATGCAATTTTGATTTTTATTTGATTTTGAATTCCTGCTCCAAATTTCTCAAAATTCTTTAAGTTTAAGTTCAGCTGCAAATTGGGCCATTATGTGATGGAGTTTGCATCTCTTCCAAGCCAATGGAATATGTATATCATATGCTGAAACTTACATTAAAATCTTTTAAGTAAAACAGAATTTATTAAACAAAACGTTTGGCCAATTTGAAAAGCACTTGTCTATTCGAAGAATCGAAATTGCGATTGAATTGTGCTTAAATTGTTAACTTAACTTGCAATTTCTTTCTCACGCTGAGCAGTGTATTTTTATTTTTGAAAATAAAGTGAAGTGGTAGATACAAACTATGGAAATTAAAAAAAAAAAACGCCGAAAGGACTCGGATCAGGGTATCTCCTAGTCGGTCACCTCGCCAAAGAGCTTCCTTATTTGCTTTATTTTGTTTTGCTCAACTTTATGAATCAGCTTCGTAGAGATTACTGGCATTCAACAATTTCATTAACAACAAAAACACAACAGAAACAAGTCGAACTTGTGACTGCGTCATGACACGCCCTTGATTGCTCTTGTGATTGCAGCTGAGAACGATCCGTTGGGCTGCATGGAATGGATAGTGACAATGCTCTCAGTACTGTTCTTCATTGTGACTTGTCCGATATCAGTGTTCATATGCCTGAAGGTTGTGGCGGAATATGAGCGTGCAATTATTTTTCGGCTGGGACGATTGTGCGGCGGTGCTCGTGGTCCGGGCATGTTCTTTGTACTACCCTGCATCGATCAATATCGCAAAGTGGATTTGCGTACGGTTACATTCAATGTGCCGCAGCAGGAAATGCTGACAAAGGACTCGGTGACGGTGACAGTAGACGCAGTTGTCTATTACCGCATTAATGATCCATTGTATGCCATCGTGCGCGTTGAAGACTATAGCACCTCCACTCGTCTGCTGGCTGCCACAACGCTGCGCAATATTGTGGGCACACGCAATCTCACCGAGCTACTGACCGAGCGCGAGACCCTGGCCCATAACATGCAATTGACTCTGGATGAGGCCACTGAGCCCTGGGGCGTCATGGTTGAACGTGTCGAAATGTAAGTCACAAATCAATATCGAAAGACCTATAGAAAGTTTATCAATTGTCGACTCATTCGTTGTAGCAAGGATGTGTCGCTGCCCGTCTCCATGCAGCGCGCGATGGCCGCTGAAGCGGAGGCATCACGCGATGCCCGCGCCAAGGTGATTGCCGCCGAAGGCGAAAAGAAGTCAGCAACTGCCCTCAAGGAAGCCTCCGATGTCATATCCTCTAGTCCATCCGCTTTACAGGTATACCCAGACAGTTCTTCTAGATCGAATGTGTTTGACAACCGTCTTTACCTTTCCAGCTTCGTTATCTGCAAACGCTGAGCAGCATTTCAGCGGAGAAGAACTCAACTATTGTTTTCCCACTGCCCATGGAGCTGCTGACCCCGTATCTGGCAAAGTATATGCCGATGATGCAGTTGCCAGCAAAGCCACCGCAGCAACCATCAGATATGCTGAACGAACAACAAGCAACTTATCCTCAACAAACAATTCTCTAATTAATCTATATATAAATATCTATAAATATATACATACAAGCAAATGTTTTCAAGAATTTTCAACAAAGTATAAAGTTTCGATGCGAGAGATTGCTTGAGCCTTCCTCTTCTGACCACATAACACACGCACACCCACACCCACTCAAACACAAGAGTCGTGCAAATATGGATATGACTTTTAAATACTTAAGATGAAATGAACCCTATGTAGGACTCTGACAAAGTGATTGTTTAACGTGTGTCTTATCAATTAATAGACAACGTGATCATCATTCGAAAGGATGTTCCGGTTTTCAATGGAATACACAATTGCGCACGTAGAAAGCCTAAGGATGTGAAACACTTGAAGGCCTTACGTCCATTAAAATGCGCTAAACACATTTTGTTATCAGCATATAAAATTTATGGGTTTTTCTCTTTGTGTGTTTTTTTTCAACGAACTAATTGATATGCCATTAATTGATTGTATGAATAAAAGTTATTTCTATTTGCACTGCGTTGTTTTAACCATTCATGTAGAAAACTTAGCAAATTGATGATAAGAACAATTAAGACAGCTGGGTCTGACTAGGAGACACCCAGACCCTTGGTCGAGCTGTTTGTAGCTTATACCCCGAACACATGCACACACATACATACATGTATGTACCTAGTTACAATGGATAATAGTTCACTATTTGAGAAAGAAATCAACTCAACTCGAGTCTTCACATTTTTTGCAGTCTTCGTCTTCTTCCATGTCGCCACAATAAATGAAAGTGAATCGATTATTTGATATAAACTTGATTTGCTTCAGAGAAACCTATTTATAATATTTCTCTAGCACTAACAGTTTCAGACGGCTGACGGTACGGGGTTAGATAGCTGAGTCGATGTTATTCAAGAATATATATAATTTATTGAATCTCCTCCTCACCTCCTGCTACATGTTACGTGCAGATTAACAAAACCATTATACCCTGTTTTCTTATATTTAATAGGTTTAGGGTATAATAAAAGAAAAACACAATCAGGTATATCATATTAAATAGTCCAGCGTTATCTATAAGTAGACCGTGGCATATATGGGGTAAAACGATGGATATGTATGTGTGATACGAAGGCGAAATCAACTAACGAGCCAAGCAGCAATCAGATTTGATTAATAAACAACAACAACAACAAGCTGATCGCTCTTGCTGCCAGGTGTTACACCTGTAATCAAATCAGAAATGCATATAAGTCAATTTGTTGACGACCTTTAGCGTGCCCAGTTCAACACAAAGCAGGGCCATGGGCTGACATATAAAAAGGAGACGCCACCTGAAGTGACTCAAACATTGGCAACATGTTATTGTGGAGTATGTGCCTGCTGTTTCTACTGGCTGTCAGCCAAGGGCTGGACTTTGAGGATTCGCCCCGGAAATGTGTTAGTTCTCGTTTGATCGAGAAACGTCGCTTGAATCTTCAGTTCGATGGGAACTGTGATGAGAGGCGCTTTAAACGTCGCGTCGATGCCACATTTCATGGCAAGCCGAAGCCGCGCGCCGAGCTCTTGGCCAACAAATTTCTAACCTCATACAATTTGGAGCAAACTAATTCGCTGGTAAAGCTCGTCAACAAAATAGCCAAGGAGTATTTGGCCAAATGTCCGCCAGTCATCTACTACGACAGCACGGTGACTCGAAAAAATGGGCACCTTTTGGAGAAACTGTTCAAGGTGAGCATTAAGGTCTCAGATTTAGATCGAAACTATTTTTATATAACTGCTCTACATATTAATGTATATCTGTAGACCATGCCAGTGACCTTTTATCACGGCAATATCAAGGACAACTATGAGCCGGAAAATCCCAACTTTAATAGTCACATCGACAACAACTGCAAAAGCTTTATCCTGTTTCTATCGGAGCCAGTAATGGCACGCAAGATTTTGGGTCCCCAAACGGACAGTCGCGTTGTTGTTTTCTCCAGTTCGTCACAGTGGAAACTACGTGACTTCTTGAGCTCCGAATCTTCATCGAATATTGTCAATTTGTTGGTAATAGGTGAATCCTTGATGTCAACTGCAGAGCGCGTAAGTATGCAAGTGGTTCTGTAATCACTTCCCTGTGGCAGCATTAAGATTTTTATAATATACATATGTATGTTTTTATACCCTGATCCCATTGAAAATGGGAAATCAGGGTATAATGGTTTTGTGCAAATGTATGTAACAGGCAGAAGGAGGCGTGGCAGACCCCATAAATATTCTTGATCAGGACGACAAGCCGAGTCGATTAAGCCCTGTCCGTCTGTCTGTCTGTCCGTCTGTCCGTATGAGTGAACGCGTGGATCTCAGCATCTATAAGAGCTAGAGACTTGAACTTTTTTTGTAGGTCCGTGTATAGCACGAGCAGGTCAAGTTTGTTTCAAATATTCAATAACTATTCGCATTTAATTGTTATCGAATAAAAACATTATTGAAATGCAGTAAATAAATTATATCTCTTGTATTTAGTTTTATGTATATTTTATGCAATTTTGATTTTGGTTGGATTTTGGATACCGGCTCCAAATTCCCCAAAATTCTTAAAATTTAAGTTTAGTTCGAACTAGGGCCATTATGTGAAATCGTTTGCATCTCAACCAAGCCAATAGGATATGTAGATCAAATGCTGAAAATTTCATTAAAATCGATTAAGTAGAACAGAAGTTATTAAACAAAACGTTTGGCCAATTTGCAAAAGCACATGTCAGCAACGCCACGCTCACGCATTTTTCCTATGCGTGTGCACACATACATTCAAATGCGTGTATTTTTTCTATTCCAAGAATCGAAATTGCGCTTGAATTGTGCTGAATTATTAGTTGCTACTTATATTCAAATTTGCAACTGCTGGTATAAGCAGTGCAGTGGCTGCGTTGGTAGAGGCGGCGCTCGAGTGCGGCTAGGTGGGGGGTTCGAGACGACCGGTTCAGATGAAACATTTTTATTGTTCTATTTTTTTTTAATTATGAAGTGGTGGTGTTGGTAGAGTTGGTGCACGTTGCGCAAATAATCCAGGTTCGAAACCTGGTCTCGCAATGTCGATTTTTATTTGTTTTCTTTTTTTTTATTTGAATACTCGATACAAACTACGGAAAATATTAAAAACTCAGAGGACTGGGATCAGGGTATCTCCTAGTCGGGCACCCCGACTAGAGTTTTCTTACTTGTTTATTTTTACTTTTACTTTTGCACAGGAGCAACCCTTTGTCCTATACACGCATAAGCTATATGCCGATGGGCTGGGGTCGAACTATGGAATTGTATTGACCAGCTGGATCAGAGGCGCCTTGTCGCGTCCCCATATCAATTTGTTTCCGAATAAGTTAAAGAACGGCTTTGCAGGACATCGTTTTCAGATATCTGCGGCCAATCAGCCGCCATATATCTTTCGCATCAGGTCGCTGGATTCATCTGGGATGGGTCAGTTGCGCTGGGATGGTATCGAGATGCGTCTGTTGAGCATGATTGCCAAACGTCTCAACTTTAGCTTGGACATCACAGAGACGCCCAATGTCGCCAATTCGCGCAGTGTCGTGGACACAATTCAGATGCAGATTTTGCAGGGCACCATCGACATTGGCATGTCCGGTATTTACTTGACGGAGGAACGGATGATGAAGACGGATATGTCTGTGGGTCATTCACGTGACTGTGCGGCATTCATAACGCTGGCTTCGAAGGCCTTGCCCAAATATCGTGCCATAATGGGTCCTTTTCAGTGGCCCGTTTGGGCGGCATTGATCTCCGTATATCTGGGTGGAGTCTTCCCCATTGTTTTCACGGATCGATTAACGCTGAGCCATCTGCTGGGAAATTGGGGTGAAATCGAGAACATGTTCTGGTATGTGTTTGGCATGTTCACTAATGCGTTCACATTTACGGGAAAATACTCCTGGGGCAATACAGAGAAGACGTCCACGCGTCTTCTGATCGGCGCCTATTGGCTCTTCACTATTATCATAACTTCCTGTTACACTGGCTCCATTATAGCGTTTGTCACATTGCCTGCGTTTCCGGATACTGTGGACTCCGTAAAGGACCTGCTTGGTCTCTTCTTTCGCGTCTGCACGCTGGGTAATAAGATAATTATCATACTCTGTCTCTAATCTTACCTCGAACTATAAGAAAACTTTTTTAGACAATGGCGGCTGGGAGAGCTGGTTTCAAAACTCCACCCATGAGGCCACGTCAAAGCTGTACAAAAAAATGGAGTTTGTTACCACCCTTGAGGAGGGTATTGGCAATGTTACTCAGAGCTTTTTTTGGAATTATGCCTTTCTCGGCTCAAGGGCGCGCCTTGAATACCTCGTTCAATCCAACTATTCGAATGAGTAAGCACACTTTTTCTTTTTGATGCTGGCTTGCAACTTTTTGAAATTTATTCTCATATTTTATACCCTGAACCCATTAAAAACGGGAATTTAGGGAATAATGCTTTCTATCACATCGTAAATAGCCTGTAATTTCCAGTCTTTGCAGTCCTATCCCTGTTTGACAGCTATATTCCCTTTGACTTCATCAGCCGATTCGTCAAAACTTGTAGGTTCACGCTTACTGGAGCATGCCGTTCTCGGGAAAAACTGTATTTGCCAAAGCTTTCCAGTTAGACTTACCAAAAACTATATGCCTCTGTAGAGTATGGCAAATCGGAAAAAGCATGACTTCCAAAATTTTATAGCTGGTAGTGTTTAGGCCGTAAATGCGAATTATATAGTCTATAGTACACTCTTACTTGCTTTATCCGGGGAAGGAATATCTGCTCTTATATCTCAAATTACATGTCTTCTGTTTGAAGGTTGCTAACGATAAAGTAATTAGCGATTTGCCAAGACCTTCGTAGGCGCATCCGAATCAACACTAATGAACTATATTACTTGAGGGTATGCTCGAATATATATTTTCCATATCAAGTATCCATATTCTTCAATATGATTTTCACTCTGTAAACAAAACTCCACTTATAGAAATTAAAAATATATTTTGAGTATCTAATTCCTAGAAATTAGAATGTTAAGTTTTCAGTCAATCAAGACTTATTAAGTTACATGATCAAGGTTACGCGGAAACAATGAACCCCTTGTAAATGGGGTTTTAGAATATCAGACCTCTTTAATAGCTTAACTACTTTGCGATCATTTCGTCAGGAACCTCTCACGACGTTCGGCACTACATCTGAGCGAAGAATGTTTTGCGCTCTTTCAAATTGGCTTCCTCTTTCCACTGAATTCTGTATATAAGCGAAAGATTGATTCGATGATAATGATGGCGCAGGAGAGTGGACTTATGATCAAGCTGGGTCATGAGGTCAGCTGGGCCATGCAGAGGTCGGCAACAGGGCGACTCTTGCAGGCGAGTACCACCTCAGCGTTGCGAGAAATCATACAGGAGGAGCGCCAGTTGACCACCGCCGACACGGAGGGCATGTTCTTGCTGATGGGCATTGGCTATTTATTGGGCGCCATTGCGCTAACATCCGAGATTGTTGGCGGCATCACCAACAAGTGTCGACAAATTTTAAAACGTTCACGCAAATCGGCCTCTAGCACCTGGTCATCTCGGCACAATTCGGCCGTGGTGCGGACCACAGCCGAACAACTGGCACACAACTTGCGTAAGGCGGCGCGTCGGCATGCTGCGGAAGATGCCAATCAACGAATGGGATTCGGGATGCGGGAGTTCAATCTGACACGCACAACGCTACGCGAGCTATACAATTCCAATAGACCGGAGGAGTCCGAGTCACGACAAGTCGATGCAGCTGCTGTTTCATGGGCCACAATTAACGAGGTACCCAACGAAGTCTATGAATCCCTGGACGGTCTCGACCAGTACATAGCCCAACTGGAGTTGGCCGATGAGCAAAAGAACGACGAAGCCATCGATAATGACATTTCAAAGGGGTGAATTGACATCGGTCCAGGCAATGATCATTCCATCGATTAAATATATATTAAATATTCAAAAACATAGATAATTCGAAGATGGAACTTCAAACTTCATGTCTCAAATTACAATTTACATGTTTTAAATTAAAAGCTAAAATATATAGATATATTCAGTTATTCAGTAGGCCGCTTGGAACTATTGACCTTTACTTGCACTGAAATTTTTTATTCTCCCTTCAACCACTTCCCTCAGCAAGTATTTTCGTTAATAAATAAAACAACAGGTTTTTTTCTAACTAATTTTCATGAGATTTGATTTTACATATTCATTCAGTTTACTTGCTTATGCTCTAGGAATATGTTCGCGTTGGTGCGCATTCGATTCATCAAAGGAAACTTTGTAAAGTACATTAGAAGTCTCTCTACTATGACTAGGAGAGAGACGGAGAAACATCGGAGAATAACAATACTCAAACGAGATTTTTTCATAACAAAAAAAAAAAGAGTAAAATAATAATAAAAAGCTGAGCTTAAAGTTAAAGCTATGCCTAATGAATGTACAAATTACAGAATGTTTTTAAATAGACATCTATCGAAGAATGCATGCGAATATATTAGACATAGAAAACGAGGAGACTGTGTGAGAGAGACAGAGAACAAGATAGCATTATTTAGACTCCTCGATTTGGTAAGTCCTTCACTTTGTAGATGCGCACAAGCCAATGCTCTGTTGTATAAGCCTCCTCGAGCACATCAAGCTCAAAGTCCTTGTTGCCAATCTCAGCGGCACGCACACGATCATAGCCCTGCGCTTTACCTCCCTCTGTATACATTTGCCCGAAGCGATAATAGCACATCTTGTACATGAGGCAATTGAGTAGGGTGGGGGAGCCCTCTTTATCGACACGAAACTCTCCATTTGCCGCATAATAGTCCTTTTCTTTGATGTGTGCGCCACGATCAGTGCTACCGCCAATTCGCACCATCCATAAGAATTTGTTTATATCGTCGGACGAGTAGCCCGTCAGTCCTCCAAAAATTACCAAGACATAGTCAACGTCCAGTTCACGCATAATTTCGTATGCCTTCTCTTCAGACGACGCCATTGCCTGACCGACACGAGAAATGTGCGTATTGTTCCAGGTGTTGTTGTCCACCAATATCGTCCGATTAGCCATTGCCGTTATTTGATAGCCATAATCCCACCAGGACATGATACGTGCGTTCTAAAAAGCATATAATAATATAGATGGTATATTAATTTTGAAAATTAATTTGGAATACCCAAGAAACTGATTTCGCATATTCAGCAACATTTTATTAGTACTCATGATGTATCATACTCTTCCTATCAAGAATTTACAATTTGTATTCATCATCAATGCAAAACATATCTATCCCTCTCTCTCTCTCTCTTCTATGGTACCAACTCACCTCAGGTGTATTCATTTGCAGCCAGTAATAAGCCTCGCGGAAGTCGTCAAAAATGATGCGGCCACCATCGTGGGAGCGCGCGCTGAGCACAATGCTTGGCGAGGAGTAGGCCTCAGAGGTGACCCAGGTACAGTGAAACGTATAAACGATAAGCATCAGCGTTATAATAGTGACAAAACCAATGGCCACCTCACTCTTGACTCCACCACTTTGCTGTTCCATTTTCTTGTGTTGCCGTTTGCTTTCTGTTGCTGGCTTTGCACCACCTGTGTCCACACTCTTTATGTACTTGGCCAGCAGATGGGATATGGCAATACCGGAAAGAACGCACATCACAGGCGCTAACACAAGCATTAGACGCACCATAACGCCAGCAAAATAAATGCTAGTGACGCCATACAAAATTATAAAGATGTTGGCATCTGTTAACCGCGAGAAACAGAAATAGAGGCCAGCGGGAAAAAGAAAGACAAGAATCTAAAATGGAAAGAAATGCAAATTAATAAAAAACTTGGAAATAGAATTGACGTAAATGAAGTTGCATCAGCGATCAAAGTGCTTGTAATCAATGAGTGCATTAAGGCGCTAGTCATTCACGTTGTTTTTGGTGTCATCATCTGAGCAGATGCTTCTCAATTATAAGCTAGTGTTCTTTACCTGCAGATCGAAGTAGAATGATGACCAAGATGTGGGCTGATGCTCCGACACAGAGGCGATAATTGGAATGTGATTCTTGGCATAAGATGGATCTAGCAGCGAATAAAAACGTCCCGTCCAAGGCGATACCTTGCCTGTTAATGTCAGCACGGTTCCAACAATCAACACCATACTGATCACGCTCGATACTAGTGTCTTAAAGAGGAGATCAAAGTGGTCCTTGGGCATACGTGAGCGTAAATAGTCCACAAAAGCGTGTATCTGGCAGAGACCGAACACACCCAAAGCCTGAAAGAGAACAACGTACAAAAAATGAGTTTCGAAATAGATAAAATTCAGTAAAATAAGCAACATATTGTTTGTATCAGATAATTATATAGTACTCATTATGTTTCATACTCTTCCTATCAAGAATTACATAAGTAATCATCATATTGCTAAATCAAACTAAATATGATTGAAATTTATAAGACTTACTAGCATGTGCTCAGAGCTCTGGATAGGCTGAAAGCCCACAAACGATATCTGCATCGAGAGTATAGTGCCAACGCAATATAGAGTACTATATGCTATATAAATGCGATGTGAAAAACGGCCAGTAATCATCAGAGTAATGACATGGAGCGGGATCAGATTGATGAGGAAGACATAGCCGCCCCACGAGGACACCATGTAGAAATAAGCAAGCGCTGACATTGCCGACCAGAATATAGTGCCCGTTTTAACAGCCTTGATCCAAAGATAGTAAGTGAAGAGCATGCAAAATATAGCAATGCCTTCGTTGTCATAGGAACCAGCCACCGAACGTGATATATAGCCCGGTACGATGGATATAAGCGCTGAAGCAACCAAACCAGCACCAATGCTCTGTAAATATTCAACATTATTTCAGAATAGATTCTCATGCACGTGCTTATTTTTAACCTCACTGTTGTGTCGTGTGGTACTCACGTGTATCTCCTTGGTTAATGCATAGGTTACAAGCGTAGTGAGCGAGGAGAAGAACGGCGCCAAAAATACGCATACATTACGTATGTCAATGGTAATGTTCAGCATCCACATAAGCCTGTACAGGGCCGCTGATGTAACCATTAATCCAGGATAAATGGTGCCGCCAATGATGCGGCCAAGCGGATACCAGGCACGGTCATCAAACCAATTGTGGAATTTGTAAAAGCCTTGCTCGGCCAAGAACCGCGTGGTGCGGTAATTAAAATATGGATCGAATTCATGTATGACGCTTTCAAAACGCAGCACGGAGAATAAGCGCGTGGCGAACGCTGCAAATCGAAAAAAAGTTATTAAGTTGGTTGCATCCCATTAAAATCGAACGAACAAATCTTGCTCCGATATTTGAATAACTTAGTTCTATTCCACACAGTTGATTACATCGATGATATATCGATATATCTATCGATATAAAAATTGCACATATACATATGAATTTAAAAATGTACAGCCACTTACATACATATAAACGCATCTCGCCCCCGTAAATTAGTACATATTGCAAAAGACTCACATAAAACAGCGGCCAAAATAAGTATCGCTAGTTTAACAAGATGCTCTTGCTTTTCCCAAGTTAGGAAACCCCGTGCTTTCGTCGCCGCACCACTGCTTCCACTGCCAATGTCCATGGGCATGGCCGGTATTTGTATGCGTTTGTTTTATGGCTGAGTCCTACTGTTAAGTGCCGGTGCGGCTTTTGTTCGTTGTTAATTATTGGCTTGTCTGGGTTAAACCACAAGCAACTCCACACACGGATTTGCACATTAACCACGCAGCAATTCTGCACATAACCTGCGCTTTTTACGGTGCGCAGAACGAGTTTAAAAACAAACAAAATATATGAAAATAAACGCGGCGCAGCTTCGTGGCACCCTAAAGAAAAATTCGCTTCACGCCTGACTTTTGAGTACTGTTATCGATAATCTAGTGTATGCGCCAAGTAATCGCCGATTATTCATTTTTAGCAACGGCAATCTTGTACGATATTAAAATCTTAAATTCAGCGCCAAACCGATTTTATTTTCCTCTGTGTCCAATCTTAACAACACAAATGCAAATAATTTTTTTTATCGTATTTCTTTTCTACAATTTTAAAATTGAATGCATATAGCACAGTTGATTCTGTTCTTTTGCTAATGTATGTTTGTTACGCATATATACTTACATATTTTGTTAACGTTTGTTTGTTACGTATAGACATACTTACATATGTTATAGATATACAGTTTGCTGAGGGTTGGCAGCCCAGAAAATGTTTTGGCACTGGCAATCCATATGTATTTAAGAACACGCGACACTCGATTCGATGTGCTCTTGACAGTAGGACTTGTATAATAATAGTATAAAAAATATTTAGTGGCAATTGCGCTGTCTCGTATCATAACATAGTTCCGCTTTAATTTGTATGCATTTATCCCTTGACTCATTTTTGTATATTCAATGAGCAAGCGTTCTTTGTTCATGGAGCGTTGATTACCCATGGTGTGTTGCCATCACAACAGCCGGCTATCAACATCGAGAGTGGTTTGAAATTATACTCGTTTGAAATTCACTCTGAAGCGTTTGTTTGTCTTTTTCATACATAAGCTCCCACACATTAGGCAGACATTCAAATGCGCGCGTTCATTCAGATATACAGTTTTGGCTGCATTGAAAATTATCAGCTGTTCGTGATATGTGTTGCGGGGTTTCGATAACATTATGTTACGATAAACGATGCGTCACTCACAATTGAGTAATGATTTATGTGGGTAGCTTTATCAATCTCACTGCGCATGTCGTCACAATTTTTGCTTTCAAGTCTTATGGTAATCTTGATGTAAACAATATTCTGTCCAATATTGTTCAGTATTGTGATTTTAATTTAAACCAATGTGTAATTGAAAATGTGTCTATTTGTATAGTTCAATTTTTAAAATGTAAATTTACCTTATTAAATAGACAGCAAGCGTTCTGCTACCTAGTGCTCGTGCTCAAATCTATTATTCTGTGACGTCATAGCTGTCATAGTTTACTCTCTCGTGTGAATGCCGACTGCGGGACATGCGCAATGCATAACTCCAATTCATTAAATCGCGGTCGTCTGGTCGTTGTTGTCGTTGCTGTCGTGCGGACGTCGTCGCTGCTCTCCCGATTTATTGTTATTGTTTTTGCTTTAAAGCGCTAAATTTTTTTTATTTATCAGCCAAGACACGCATTTGTTTCAACTGGTAAAATAAATACTTAATTGCAACTAACAATAAAGTGTTCTCTCGTGTGTATGTCCGTATTAACATCCATGATATGTGTGTGTGATAAACAGAAATTGGTTTTTGCAACTGCTCAGCCACATACTTACTAGAATATACGCAAACACATATATTTAAACTAGTTAAAATGTCAATATGTATATAACCTAAACGAAGGGCAGTAGCCGCCGCAGCAGCAGCATCAGCAGTTAGCGACGTTGTGTTTGTGATATGTATAATCTTATCTGTTGTCGCTATTTTGTTCTCATTGTTTTTAACATATAACTGTATGAGTCAGTGTGCATATATATATATATATATATATATATATATATATATATGTATATATATATATATATATATATACATACATATATATATAACTATAATTTTATATATCGATATATATATATATATATATATATATATATATATATATATATATATATACCTAAAATCTGTGCCCGCACTTTAAGTAAATTGTAATTTAATTAATATCGCTCAAATCAACTGTTATACAGAGCAGGGACACCGCCTACAATTAAAGCAGCTGCATCAGCAAGAATAACAACACGAACTACAACAACGACTCAACGAGGTAAGTTGTTAGAAGTATGTATGTTTCCGGGCTAGGGGTAGTCCCCTCTGCAAAGCGGGGCCAAAATCAAATTGATTTATGTATATATATATATATATATATATACATATATACATACATATACATATACATATACAAGCGTATGCATGCACATGCAGCTCATAAAATTCTCAAGAATGGTGAAAAATCGAACATCAACGCATGGCCAAGCGGGTGGTGCTGGCAGCGGCCACGGCAGTGGTGGCGCTGCTGCTGGTGGTGTTAGTGGTAGTTGCATACACACGCATACGCGAATAGAAATAAGTTTGCTTTAATATGTGCCATAGAAGAAGTAGCAGCAACTTCAATGCATCACGCATTCATTCTCTCTCTCTCTCTCTCTCTCTCTCTCTCTCTGTCTCTCTCTCTATCTCCCTCTCTCTCCCCCTCTCTCTCTCTCTCTCTCTCTCTCTGTCTTCGTTTTCTGTGTATGGGTGAAATATAATGGCGATTATGTTTTTTTTACTTATTTCGATCTAAGTAATAAACATTGCAATCTCTTGTGCTTTACCATAATAATAATTCGGAAAATGCCTAATACTGGAAAATACATTTATTTTTAAAATACAATCAGTGAGCTATAAGTAATTATTAGTATTAAGATAGCAAATTTATGACTACAATAATAATTTGTAGTCATAAATTTGCTATCTTAATACTTATAATTACTTATTCAAAAATAATTATTTCTACTGTTTCTTTAATTTGATTTTTCTTTTATGAAAAGCTTGAAAGCTTTTAGTTTAGTTTATATTATATTTATATTGAAATCTATATATATAGATCGATTAAACTACTCTCTACTCTCTACTCTCTACTCTCTACTCTCTACTCTCTACTCTCTACTCTCTACTCTCTACTCTCTACTCTCTACTCTCTACTCTCTACTCTCTACTCTCTACTCTCTACTCTCTACTCTCTACTCTCTACTCTCTACTCTCTACTCTCTACTCTCTACTCTCTACTCTCTACTCTCTACTCTCTACTCTCTACTCTCTACTCTCTACTCTCTACTCTCTACTCTCTACTCTCTACTCTCTACTCTCTACTCTCTACTCTCTACTCTCTACTCTCTACTCTCTACTCTCTACTCTCTACTCTCTACCTCTACTCTCTACTCTCTACTCTCTACTCTCTACTCTCTACTCTCTACTCTCTACTCTCTACTCTCTACTCTCTACTCTCTACTCTCTACTCTCTACTCTCTACTCTCTACTCTCTACTCTCTACTCTCTACTCTCTACTCTCTACTCTCTACTCTCTACTCTCTACTCTCTACTCTCTACTCTCTACTCTCTACTCTCTACCTCTACTCTCTACTCTCTACTCTCTACTCTCTACTCTCTACTCTCTACTCTCTACTCTCTACTCTCTACTCTCTACTCTCTACTCTCTACTCTCTACTCTCTACTCTCTACTCTCTACTCTCTACTCTCTACTCTCTACTCTCTACTCTCTACTCTCTACTCTCTACTCTCTACTCTCTACTCTCTACTCTCTACTCTCTACTCTCTACTCTCTACTCTCCTACTCTCTACTCTCTACTCTCTACTCTCTACTCTCTACTCTCTACTCTCTACTCTCTACTCTCTACTCTCTACTCTCTACTCTCTACTCTCTACTCTCTACTCTCTACTCTCTACTCTCTACTCTCTACTCTCTACTCTCTACTCTCTACTCTCTACTCTCTACTCTCTACTCTCTACTCTCTACTCTCTACTCTCTACTCTCTACTCTCTACTCTCTACTCTCTACTCTCTACTCTCTACTCTCTACCTCTCTACTCTCTACTCTCTACTCTCTACTCTCTACTCTCTACTCTCTACTCTCTACTCTCTACTCTCTACTCTCTACTCTCTACTCTCTACTCTCTACTCTCTACTCTCTACTCTCTACTCTCTACTCTCTACTCTCTACTCTCTACTCTCTACTCTCTACTCTCTACTCTCTACTCTCTACTTTCTACTCTCTACTCTCTACTCTCTACTCTCTACTCTCTACTCTCTACTCTCTACTCCCTACTCTATACTCTCTACTCTCTACACTCAACTCGTTACTCTATAGAAGTATTAAATTAAAAATGCTAATTATTTATTTAAATTGAGTTTTGTGAGGAAGATGAACAACTAAAGTTACAGTTTAAAGTTTAAAGTTCCTATATAAGATTTTAATACCCTTAAATCGGTCAGTTTTAAATGAGATATACATTTGAAGAACACATGTATATACATATACATATGCATATTTATATATTCGGTGTCATCAGCGGAGTCATTAAAGCCGATGAGTCAGAGAAAAGTGATTAAACAAACTATTTTTAATTACTCTTTAAATTATTTTTAACTTCTTCCGTCATATGTGCAACAACATACATCGTTTCTAATATATAAATTAGGATTAAATTATTTGATAGTATATGAGCTATTCCGTATTATTTCTTACCTTTTTTATCACCAACGCAGCTGACAACTGAAATAAACGTCAGATTATTTATATATAATTACATGGTTCCAAAGTAGTTTTTATACCTTGCACTCAAAATAGAAAATTCAGGGTATACTGGTTTTGTTGAAATGTATGTAATAGGCAGATGAAGGCGTTGCAGACCCCATAAAGTATATACATACGGATGGACAGACAGAACGATAGACTGACAGATGGGCGAACAGAGCACCCGACTCTGCACTTCGTCCTGATTATGACTTAATGGGGCTTGCCACTCAATAGGTTCATATGCTAATTATTATTATTATTATTTTACCATCGGCGTTGTCTCCCTTTTGTTTATTCGTGGGAAACGGAAATTGTAAAAAACTTGTCGACTGCTCTCGACTTTCTGTGTTTACCTGAGGCTAGGCAACTGCGAGCCAGCGGCATTTGTCCACATCTTCACCAGCTTCAGACGTAGCTGCAACGCCGTGTTCAATGTTAACAATATAATGAAACAAGCGATACGAGTTCAATGCGGCTTTTAAAATTTTATGTGATTAAATGCATAAACGACGCTTGAAAGAGAGAGAGAGAGCGATAGAGAAATAGATAAAATTGATAAATTTGTAAACCACAAATGAACATTTACGTACGTACATGCTCAAGAGTGTAGGTGTTGGTGGCTGTGCGTATTTTCGCAAGCAATACACTTGAGCTAAGCCATCGCTAACTGATTGTTAGCTTTCAAGGTAACAGCATGCGATGACTTCATCCGCTTTGACCATTTTCTTGTTTTCAGTTTGAATCCACAAGATACATATGTGTATGTGAGTGTAAATAGCTGCATGCTTGTGGGTGTGTATGTGTCTGTGCCTGTATTAGACATCCCCATGACAAAGGAAACGTTGGCGTTGGGCTTTGTCATCTGCCATCATCGCTCGAGTGGGCAAGGCACGACTAGAACCTGCTTATATATATATATATATATATATATTTCTTCACTTCCTTTCTCTTCTCTTATTTGTCTTTAGTATTCCAGCTCTTATAATGTTTGAGTGATAAACGTTGATATTTCTCGAAGAACTTTAGATAACGCATTTGATATGACGATATCAGCTGCAACGTTAGACTCGGCTAAAACTCTATATAAGTCAAGTCAGGTTTGTGCTGCTCCCTTGGCTTTTCTTCTGGTGTCTATTCTCTGTTCTCTTTTCGCATATTTCTTTCTTATATCTTTCATTCTCTACTCTATATCTTATACTCTCTTCGATTCTCCAATCTCTTATATTCTTATTTTCTGTTTGTTGTATCTTGTCTCTTTCTTCTGTCTTTAGTTAGTTTCTCCGTCTTCTCTTTATCTCTTATATCCTCTATATTCTTTATTCTATATTTTTCGTCTATCATCTATACTCCTCTCACTCGTCTTCTTAGACCGTGCTGTATGTTGCAAGCATTAGAGCAGTCTCTTATGCAATTTTGCGGTATGTACGGGGTATATACTAAATTTTTTTTTTAATTGCTGTTTTTATTTGCAATCTGTCTTATACTAGACAATAAACAAATTTGTTAACAATAATATTACGTAACCGGATTGCTTGGGCTCTAATGAGATCAATCCATACATTTACATACTTTACATATTTATCTATTTCTGTGGGGCAGGTCTAGGACATGAAATCTTTTGAGTCGCCTGTGGTTGCTTGAGTCATCCAGTAGTCTTAGTGCTAGAGCATTGTCATGGGTTGTTGTAGTTTATTCATGTATCTGTTTGCATATAGTTGTATTTCTCCTTTAACAAGGGGCACTTTAATATCTTTGCGGATATTATAATTAGTCACATACCAGGGTGCACATATAATCATTCTGAGCGTCTTGTTTTGGTATCGCTGTATAATTTCGATATTTGAATTACTAGTAGTACCCCATACAGTTATATGCGTAGGTCCATACTGGCTTCAGTACGGCCTTTTATAGCCTTAATTTGTTCTCAAGACTAAGTTCAGAACGTGGTCCTAACAGCCAATACATTTTCCTGGCTTTCACCTTGAGCTGCTCTTGATTCGTTTTGATTTGCTGTGCTGCTTCCAAGTTAGCCGCCGATCAAGACGAACACCTAGATATTTATAGTGTGACAGCAGGACAACTTCCAGATCTCAGAGAAAATGTACCTTGCACTGACTTTTGCGTGTTCACTATTATTCTCCAATTTTAAAGCCATACTTCAATCAGACCGAGTTCTTCTTGTGGTAGGTTGGATGCAACTTGTGGGTCAGTGTTCGTAGCAATGATTGTGGTATCATCAGCATATGTTGCTATCTCAACAGCGTTTGTTGTAGGTAGGTCAGGTGTGTAAATTGTATACAAAACTGGACCCAAAACACTCCCTTGCGGAACACCAGCTTCACAATTGTATATGTTGGATGATTCGTCGTGTTCTTGTACAAAAAAGGATCGGCTTGCCAGGTACGATTTTATAATAGTAAAGTATGGTGCTGGCAGCCACTTCTTAACTTTGTAGAGAAGACCTGCGTGCCAGACTTTATCAAACGCTTGTTTAATATCTAAAAAAACACCTGTGAAATATTTTTTGCATTCAAATGCATGAATCGAGTTTGTGATTGCTTCAATTGCCATTTTAACATCATCACCTGACTTGAGTGAAATGTTTAGACATGTTCGGTCTTCTAGATAGTTTTTAAATCCGTTTATGTTGGTTTTACCATTAATAATTCTATAAGACTTCTGTTTGTGACACACTGTAGTTCCATAGGTTGCTATAATCGGTGAGTGGTCAGAGCTCAGATCAAAGTTCTCTTCTATTTTAAAATTATTTGCGGTAGCTGAGAGTAAACAACGAAATCCAAAAAATCTCGGATCTTACGTATATCAGTTGGCCAGTACGTCGGCTGGCCTGTCGATAAAGTTGAGTATTTGTTGAAGGTGATACATTTATATAATTCAGCAACTTTCGGATTTACCAGCCTTGACCCCCACCATGGATGCTTTGCGTTATCGTCAGCTCCAGCAATAAAGCATCTACCAAGTCGTTGAAATAGTGAATTGAAATCGTCTTCTTTGCATGCATATTTTGGTGTTAGATATACTGCAGCAATAGAAATGGTGGAGTGCATACATTGTACTTGAATCGCTGCAACTTGCATAAAATTTGTGCTTATACAGTCTAATGCTGTGTATTTTAGAATATTTTTTACAATAGCTGCACTTCCTCCTTGTGCTCTTCCAGATGGGCGGTTAGCATTAATGATGTTTAACCCGCTAATGGCCATATAATTTCTGTTAGTAAAATGTGTTTCTAAAATAAGTAATATATCAATTTTGTTGACTTTAATAAATAAGGTTCTTTCATTACGATGACTGGAAAGCCCGTTAGCATTCCATATGGCTATGCGGAGATCTAATTGCATAACTTTTTTACAAGTAACATTATCATATTAAGTAAATTATTTGTTAGTTCAGATTGTTTTTAAATTCTTTCTGGAGAAGAGTTTTCCTTTATGACAGGGTCACCTCGTCGTACTTGCGCATAGCGTGCATTATTTGAAAATTGATTCGTATTGCTTGTTGGAGTGTTTGTTGACAATCTTGGTCGTTCATTAGCCATTGCTGTTTTGTTATCGATAGATTTGTTTTTGGTAATAGACTGATAGACTCTGCATCCTTTGTAGCTAGCAGCATGGCTCTCAAGGCAGTTGGCAAGGTGGTTGGTGCATCTTTCGATTTAGTACAATTGACGCTTGGGTGATTACCAGCACATTTAACACACTTAAATTTTTTGTTGCAATAACATAATAAAAACATAATATGCAAAGTGTTGAGTAAACTACAGTTAATGTAGTTGTTATTGTTGTGGTGCGTCGTTGGTCTGACCGCTTTTATGGCTACGAACTTTGTTGCAAATGGATTAGTCGAAACTTCCTCAAACACGGCCGCCCTCACGCGCTCCCTGACTCTGTCACTCTTGCTTTATTTGGGTCAAACGCACAACCTGTTTTTGTTTGTGGCCAGTCTTACGACCCCTAAAGAAATATATATGTGCTATATTTGTAGCTGCGTGACGTCATTTCATCGAAAAGCAAAGACGTTTTTGGCCTTTCCGACAAAATTCGTGTTCATTCGACACTCAAGCGCCATAAAGAAGAAAGAAACGAATCATCTGTGCAAAAAGGTCAGTAACATCAAAATGAATCGATTGTAAACTAATCGCATGGAACGCTTGATCGACCGGCACATACCCTCTATGTATATGTTTTATATTTTATTTGATAGCAAATTATAAATTCTAGCTGTAAAAGTTCTTCAGCTCAGATTTATAAATATAGGTTTTTCAGTTTTAAAAGCCAATATACTCGGTTGAATAAGCATAGAAATTTTTGTAGGGCACACCGATGCAGACTTACTCCTTACGTCTTTATATTGCTGATCAGTTGTGATGGCTTATATGCTCCTATTCACTCTATATACTATGTTTACTCTAGGATACAGAGATGTATATCTATCTAAATGAGCACTGCAGATATCAACTCTCTGTGAAGGACCTACAAAATATCAATTCAAATTGATATCAAACCCAAGCTATTCGGATTATATCGGGCACGTATTATGAGCCTGACTCGCCTTGAATTGTTCTTCCATTCGTGCATACCCATAGCATAGCACCATTATCGATAATTACATAGGTAAATGAATTTCCCGTAGGAAACAGCATACGTAAAGTGATGGCTCGTTAGGAGTATTTTGTCTTATTTTGAGAAACCGCACGTAAGACCTATAAAAAAAGAAAGACATAGAAATCAAATTAATTGTCAAACAATAGAAGCAGCCAATATAAGAAGAAAAGAAACAGTAAGTGTGAATATGCATAAATGCTTGTTAATATATTAACAGTATATTGTCAATTGATTATATTGATTGATGCCCAACCAGAGAATGAAATACCCTTTAATCCTCGGTTTGTTTTCACTTTCAATCGTCCGCAACTATCTGAAATATTCGCTGGCTTTCACTTTAAAGAAAGTTCCCAAGTTATATATCAATCATTTTTCGGCTCAGCTCTAGCTTGGCATGCACCTGGCGTAATAGTGGAATCTTTGGAATGTCATAAAAATAAAGTCCTAGAATTTAAGCAACCCCTTTGAGCCATCACTTGAGTCTACTACTAGTCACCTAGTCGCTTTATCTGTCTTCTTACCATAAGTACCCTTACTACAACGAGAGTTAATATTGAAAACTTGGATTTCTATTGATTTCGTTTCTCTTCTACAGATGTTTAAAAAAAAGTCTTATATTAATAAACCAAAAAGTAATTTCGTTTCTTTAGTGCAATTCTAACCCGATTTTTTTTATTTTATAAGACTTTTATGAAATGATGTATTCTTCATTTTTCTCTAATACCTTTTGCCATCTTTCGGGCAAGAGATTGATTCCCCGCTCATAAAATTTTGGATCCTTGCTGGCAACAAAACTGGTTTTTACGTCCTGATTTGAGGTGAAGGTTGTACCATCCAACAAATTCTGCAGAGACCGGAACAAGTAGTAGTCCAGAGGTGCCAAGTCTGGAGAATATGGTGGGTGTGGTACCACATCCCATTCAAGTTGTAACAGCTTTTGGCTTTTATCTTGGTGGAACACTACACCTTTTCTATTGACCAATTCTGGTCTCTTTTGTCTAGTTGATTGCAATAAACTTCAGAATTAATTGTTGATTTGTCCGGCAAAAGCTCACATTAAACGATCCCCTTAAAATGCCACCAAACGGACAACATAACCTTTTTTTGGTAAATATCGGGCTTTGATCGTTTCTTTGACGTCGTATAAGCGTATCGCAGTCGTTAATGCGACGAAGCAAATTTCGTTCTGTACGAATATGAGGAACCCATATGTCAAGCTTGGAAATGAATCATAGACGTTTCATGTGCTTGTGAACGATCGCGTTTGACAGATTTAATCTTTCTGCAATGTCTCGACTTGTTATTCGACGATTTGCATCGACTAAGGACATTATTGCTTCTTCAGGCCTTCAAGGACGTGATGCATCCTCAAGATTGAAATTGCCGGAACGAAATTTTCTAAACCAATTTTGGCATTGGCGTTCTGTCATTACATCTTCTCCGTACACATCGCATAACTTTTGACTTGCTGCATTTTTGCCCTTTCGATAGTAATACAGTAAATTATGCCGAAAATGTTGTTTTTGATCTTCCATCTTCAATAGGACACCAAATGAAAACTATTTTACAAAATCCAACAACGTTTTTTCAACTAAACTTAACTATATCAGCTGTTGAAATGTATAACGGTAAAGCGGTTAAGCGCGAAGTTAGCTGTGAAAAAATTCATTAAGATCAGCTGATGTCAAAAAGCGAAATTACTTAGTGAACGACCCAATAGTTTAGCTAGAGAAGCAAGACGATGTATGTGTGCACACATACCCAGTTGATGAGCTGAATGACATTCAATTGATATATTTTCCATTAACGACTCTTTTTAATTGCAGCTAGAGTGCCTTGAGTGAACTATGCAACAATGTGACCCAAGGCAAAGTACGGCGACAGCAGCAGCAGCAGCAGCAGCACAAGTAGCTGAAAGCAGCGAAAGACCACACATACAATAAGCAAAGCACACCGCACTAAGAAGGCGAACAGAAAGACAAGCCAGCAGACAGTGCTTAGCGAAGACAACAACCAACTGTACAACCAATTGCTGAATCAAACAAACAATACAATACGCCGAGAGCGAGTAGACTGAGCAACGAGAGGTGGCAAAGCAAAGAAGGAGCACGATAACAACAGCGAGAGCAGTAACGGGAACGAGTTCAGAAACGAGAGCAAGAGATTAAGGGCGAACGCCATGCCCAGCACGGCGGGTAGCGCAGCCGGCGTAGGCGTTGGTGCATTGATCAACAGCGCCGGGAGCAGCGCTAGCATGGGCATCGGGTCTGGAGCCGGCGCTAGCGTTGGCGTTGGCGCCAGCAGCGCAGCAGCAAGTGCCAGTAGCAGTGCTGTGGCCGCAGCCTCGGCTGGCACCTTAATAGCACAGAGCACGGCAGGCACAAGCGCCGCTAGCGGCACCATCACCTGGGATAACAATGGCACCCTGCGCTCCATCAATCCTGGCGACTGGTCCATCGAACAGTGCCTCATTTGGCAGCAGCCGCATCATCTCTACTTTCAACTAGGCTGGGCCTTTCTATTTCTAGCCTTTCTGGCACCCCACGGACCTTTTGGTTCACTATGGATGCGCGCCACTATGCTCATCGGCTGCATCATGATGGGCATGTATGGTTACCTGATTGAGTGCACTCCGGATGTGGTGCTCTGGTCCGGACTTGGCATTGGCATCAACTTTATCTATCTAATTGTAGTGCTCTGTCGACTGCGTCCGGTTCGTTTCGATCAGGAAATTGAAGCGGTGAGTAAACATTCAATTTACTTTCCAAACTATTCCCCAACACTGGTCAGCTACTGTTAGTATTCTCCATATTCGCCATATATACATAGAGAGAACTAGACAGCTTCTTTCCTGACTCTATTTAAGGAAGTTATCCACATCTAAATCTAGGCTAGGCAGGGTAAGCCTGTACTATTTCTATTGTCAAATTACTCTGTTAACTGTTAACTGTGAACTTTTCTCTAAATATCGGTTGTAAGCGCATTGGCGTTAAGCTTGATTCAAATTCAAGATTAAGATTATAGTCAAAAAGTAAATAAATAGGATATTTATTTAGTTTTTGACTATAATGATAGACAGCCAACAACGGGTAGACGGGTATAAACTCAAAAGAGTGTGATTTCTCACATTATCGATTCGATTTTCTATTTTATTCTATTAGTTATATTTCTATTATAGATTCGATTCAATGAGGTTACTTTCTGTATACAAAATGGGTATTTCAGCTTTGTGAAAATGTATGTAGCAGAACGAATGAGTTGTATTGGACCTCATAGGGCATTATATTTTTGTTTTTATATCCATTGTTTTTTTATCAAAATCATTTTACTTGGCCTGCAGACTATTAAAGCAAAAGAGATCTACTACTATGTAAGTTTCTCTGAAGAACAATGTGGACTATGATGATTCTTCACTTTATATATATATATATATATATATGTAACCGGTTATGTATGTATATATATATTATATTTTATTATATTACATTTTATTATATTATGTATGTATATATATATATATATATATATATTATATTTTATTAATTATATACTCAACTTCTTCATTAACTATTTTTGAGTGTTGGGAATTCTAGCCTGTAAATCCAATAATATACCTACGAAGGGTATCTATAGTCGGGGACAAGATTTTGCTTAGTTTTCTTATAAAATTAAAAGACATTATTTTGTTTTAGTTTAAAATATTTTTTTCTCTTAACTTCAGTTGCGTAAGCAAATACACATAGCTTACTTAAACAAATAAATAATTTCGATAGTTTATCAATAGCAAAAAAAAAAAAATAGATTTGAAAAAAAAAGACAACAAATGAATGTTATTTTTAATTACTAAAACAATATTAATTAACAATTGTGTGTAAATTATTCATTAAAAACTACGAAATGCTGTATGTATGTGTTTCACAGTATATATATATAAATATATATATATATATATATATATATATATATATATATATATATATATATATATATATATATATATATTTATATATATATATATATATATATATATATATGTGTGTGCGTGTGTGTGGTAAATGGGCTGCATTTTTAGTTGGGTTTGGGACGGGGATGCATGGGGCTGGTGAGTCTTATCACAGGTATTTATTTTTCTTTTCAGGTGCAAAAGTTGCTTAATTTAATTTCTTTTTTTAACCAGTTTATTGTTTTTGTTCTACTTGTTGTAATATTAGCTTTTATATGCGAGTGTGTGCGTGTATGTGTGTGTATGGGATGTCTAGTGACTTAATAGCTACAAACATTTATAATGATATTAAATTCTTTTGCATTATAAAGAGAGTGTGAGATAGAGATAGAGAGAGAGATGGAGTTAGTGGGGGAGGTGACAAAAAAGCAGTGCAGCCTTTCAGGCGTTGTCCGAAATTGTGTCTGCATTACGTTTCTTGTATTTGGGGTCTCCGTGTGGTTCGGGTCTTAGCTAATTCGTATTTTCAATGCCAGAAAATACAACTGCAGACAGGTGGCCAATAAAACAATCATATTGCCAATGGCAATGGTCATGTGTATGCGCCGGAATGCCTTGTGTATGCGCTGATAGTGCGGACACTCAACCAGATCGCCCTGGACGAGGCTGCCCACCTCTTGGCCGCTACCGATAGCGCCTTCGATTCTATATTTCTCGTGCATCAACCGGAGCATGGGCGGTGCCAGATATAGCCTCACCACCACTTCAATGGCAGCTGTCAGCCCTAAGGCGCTTATTTGGACACTTGCCGCCGTTGTCCAGCCGCTCAGAAAATATTTAACATATATGATCAGCATGCTGATGCTCAGCATAGCGTTCAGTGCAAAATACTTGGGGAACAGGATTTGCTGGCACTGGCCGAAGGTGTGACGCGGCAGTGAGAAATACAGTGAGAGCCCTGAAATATATATGTATGGAACAAGAGAAGGAAGAAGGGATTAGAATAAGTAATTCAAATTTGATAGTTGTAGTTATAATGCCTACGATTTGGATGACATTCAGTTTGACATTGACATGGACACATTGGATGATTGATGGCAGATGGGGCGAGCAATAGGTGCAGCAGCAGCAGCGCAACAGCAGCAGCATTGGCAGCGACGCTTTTGTTAATGATTGGATAACTTACCAGAGACAAAGGTCATCCAGATTTGTGAACCAAAGTGGGTAGCGAATGCGCCCAGATATGCCAGGGTTGCCAGCGTGCTGCCTTCCATTGTGGCGGCAGCAGCGCCGTTGACGTCGGCATTGCGTGTCTGCGTCGTTGTTGTGTGTATCGCTGCCGTTGCCAACTGGCTGCTGTGCATTGTCGTCGTTGTTGTCGTTGTGAGATCGGGTCCAACAGTCAATAGCACAAAGGATAATATGCAAATAGCGATAAAATGCGCCGGCTGCGTCGTACGCGTCAGGATTCTATATAGAGATACAGAAAGAGAAAGAGAGAGAGAGAGAGAGGGTTATTAAGAAAGTTGTTAGCAATTGTATTTCGCGTGTGCGTGTGTATGCATGTAAATTTAACAGCGCAGTCTTTGTGTTTCGTTATAAAATGCATAATATAACGTTTAGTCGTGCCCCACCCCTTTCCATTTTCGCTGTTATTAGATTTGCCAATATTTATGGCAACAGCACGAGCAGCTGTAGCGACAACAGCGAACAGCGTGTGCTTATCTAACATCAAGTGCTTTGCACTAGCAACAGCTCGTCGCTTGCACATTGTACTCTCTGTGTTTTGTTGCTGCTTACGCATGCTGCGTTCTGTTGCGCTGCGCTGCGCGACTGTTGCGTTGCGTCTGCTTTACACATTTTTGCATACGCTTTCGCATAGATCATGTGTATGTGACGTACACCGACGTCTCGTCGGTCGCTGCTGTTGCTTTGTGCTTTGTCGGAATAGAGTCGAAAATGGCGTACGTGCAAAAAAGCATGCAACCAAATATTGTACATACACATATATTTCTGTATTTTGCCATTTGCACAACAATAATTGGAGCGCCAATGGTCACTAAATTTAATACAACGAATTTGCAAAATTACACACATACATATGTACGTGGCAATGTGTCTGGGTTTTAAGCACTTGCACATATGCATATGTTAAGCGACAGCGACGGCAGCAGAACAATCAGATAATATAACATTTGCCGTCGACAATGTCGACACACAGGTTCAATCGAAGCTGAGAGAGAATTCGTAAATCAGCTGTTCAATTGAACAGCTGCTCTCCAAGCTGACAATGCGATGCCGTCGTTTACGATAAGCCGATAACGCAGAAAGCTGACTCAGTACGGTAACGACGCAGCATTAACGTTGCCGTTACCAACCACGCAGGCAAGGCGCTTCGCCTGCGTCGGCATCGATGTCGTGACGTTGACTGAGCGAGCGTTTCGCACTTTGTAGGTTATTAGGCAGGTTTTCTTCGGAAGCTTTTCCCTAACGACTCGGTCACCAGCAAAAGTTACTGTTGAGTCATAGTAATGGCTAAAAAGGGGCGTCAGCTGTCGGCCAACGGCCTTCGTTATTATTTATAAATCGAGTGTGATAAAAATATCGTCATTTTTGGGGCTACCTTTATACGTGTATATCAGGTTGAATCATTTACTAAAGCTGCATATCTGGTCTGGGACTTTGAGCTAACAAAAGCTGTTAATTTCTTACGGCTTATCATGCGCTATTTAAAAGCGGATTTCATGCGCCTCGTGAAAGATTTCATCAGAAGTTACAATCACACATGATATCGCCTGATAGCCAAATAACTACAGCACGTGCGACAGGCGCCTTCAGTTTGAGCGTATGCAAGCTTTTGAAAAGCTAAAAGTTCATTCCTAATTTCTCTGTCGTGTGCCCTACGCTGCTCTTATTGTCGCTTCCATTTGCTGTTTGCATAATTGTGAACAATAAACGCAAAATGAAAACGAAAATCGCAGGCGGTCGAGAGCAACGACAGCGACAGCGACGGCGACGGCGACAACGTCAAAGTGCAAAAAGAGAGGCGTGTTTATGTGAAATAATCGAATGGGTGTAATCTTCTTTCGCGTGATTGGCATGATCGAGTACCGTGATAATGGCACTGATAAGCTGCAATATGTCGATTAAAATGCTTACATACATACTTCGCTCTTATGTTCTTTGAATAGTGTAAGGATAAAGATTTCAAATAAGACTTACGTGTACAGCCGACTGCCTTGCAGTTGGCCGATCAGGCAATGGCAGCGCTCAGCAAATTTGCGTGTCATTTGTGTGCCAATTGCTAGAGCGTCGTCCATCGATGGCTCCATCGAGCTGAGTTTGCGCTGTTGTTGTGCTGTTAGCGCAGCCGTTGTTGTTGTTGTGTTTGTTGCTAGGGGGCTGCGGTGTGCAGACTTGTCAGCCTCTGACTGTTCTTCTTGTGGTTGTTGCATTTTACGAAAACGTCCACAGAATTTGGGAATTTTCAAAATGTCGCTGCTGCTGCTGGTGTTGTTGTTGGTGCTGCTAATGCTGCTGTTATGAGGGATGGCTGCTTCAATAGCCGCCGCCGCTGCTGCTGCAGTCTCTGTCACTATTTTAGTTTCTGCCAAGCTCTCCTTCTTCAGCGGCACAGTTCTTGTGTGCTTGATGTCAATATCAGTTCCGCTGTCGCTGTTGCTACTGCTACTGCTACCCATGTCAATGTCTTCGACATCGCTGAGATTTTGCGATTGCTGTAGTTGTTGCTTTTGCAATTCTTTACGCTGTTGCTTTTCGCGTTTGCGCATCGTGTATTTTACGCTTCTGACGGCTTTCTGGGGCAGACCGAACGCCATGTACCGTTCGATCTGTTCACTTTCAATGCCCGAATTGTGGCACATGTTTGCATTTGTATGTTCTTCTTAACGGTTCTTTGCACCTTTTTGATTTGTTTTCTTTGTCACTGTTACAGTTACTTTAACTGTTGATTGTTTCGATTACTTTTGGTTTAGCTCAATTTTGGTTGCACTCGAAAAAAATTACAATTTTTATCTGCAAATTTTTGATGAGTTTTGGGGGATTTTTCTTTGGGTTTCGTTGTAATTGTTTGAGTTGTTGCTGGGTTAGTTAATTAGTAAACTTTTGTTGCAGTTTTGTACATTAGATTTAGTGCGCGCGCGGCTTGCAATGGGGCGGGTTAGGTATGGGGCTAGTGCTGTTAGCTGCTACGGCTGCTTCTGTTGATGCGAAGTCTACGCGACGAGTTAATATGTGCGATTGAATGGTTAGGCACCAGCGGCTTTAGCTTTTATATAGCACCTGCACATGTGTGTGTGAGTCTCAGTTCTTGGACGTTGACAGCGAGCAGCGCGCTCTCTTCGGCTGTCGGTTTTCGGCTGACTATCAACCATACGACGATGACGATGTCGGCAACGCTCCCACGCGTTCGTCGTGCACTTGATCTACATTGTTGTAATGCTGTATAAATTGCCGGGGCAGGGAAAGGGACAGAGACAGAGACAGGGGTAGAGGTTAATCTGGGCAGACAGCTGTTGATCGTGCCACTCCGTGCTGTAAAGCCGAAGCAGCCCAGGCGCGACATCGAGAAAGAAAGAGAGGAGAGAGAGAGCGTAGTTTTAAGAGCATGAATACCTGTTGCATATATACTCTTAGCTGACCGAAGAGTAAGCAATTAAATGCTCCTTGTCACGCTACGATCGTTATGTACACTTTATATAGGCCCAAGACCCGCTGTGTGGATGTGGACGTGCCAGAATCTTAGCCAAATGGGCGTCGTTCTCGGTTTTCGATTGCTAATGTCCGCCACATGTGCATACTTTTAGACTATTGGCTTTTGGGGCGGGGGAGGTGGCGCCTTACATAACTCCAAGTAGACATGTCCACAGAATGTTGTTTCTGCTGTTTACATTGTTGCCAGCTGCACTGCGCCATGTCACCTTTCCGTTCTATCAGAAAAAAAAACGCAAAAAATTCAAGCGAATTCTTTTGACGTTCTTCCTTTGACGTCATTGGGGATTTGGAAGTCACCGGCCTCTTGGAAAGCAGCGCTGCCAATTTTGATGAGTAAGTGATCTGTTTTGGCTAAGCTTCAAAGGGCATGTTTGGCTCATTTGGGCATTTGCATAGCTAGAATTTAAAGCGAGGGACCCATAATGACTATAAAATTCACTTCTATTAACAGCAAAGGATATATATATATATTAAGAATGACAATGTGAGAAACACTTCTATGAAGATCAAATTAAAATGACCTGTGGACCATAAGTGAGGATCACACTTAGGATATCATGATCACTTTTACGGAAAAGTATCACTTTTAGGAAAAAGGAAAACGACAAATAAGAACTAATAAGATTACTATACATAATTAGAGGATCGACTAGGATATCTTTTCAAACGTAGAACTGAAGTTCATTTCTTTCTTGGTGCAATTAAAATTATGACTAGCTACGCATAAATCGGTTCAAATAATTGAAAATCAGCTAGGGCGTGGATCACTTGTTCGAATCTTTATAACTTTGTTTTTAGTTCAATGAAGAAACAATAAAGAAGTGTTAATTGATTAGCTAATTAAAATGCAGATCCCTTGAACTAATGAGTTGAAAGTTATATAAAACAAACACTAAATTTGTTTTGTGAAATAATTGAATATGCTCCATATCTGTCGTTGATCACAGGTCAAGTTTACCGGAATGGGGTTTTTCAACCTATTATAAGGACAATAAATGTGAAAAGGTTTTTACTAAAGATCAAAAGTTTGATGCTCAGTGATCGTTTAGCGCAATGGATTTAATCAGCCACGATCACTTGCTGATATCTGTGTATTTGTTGATCGTGATGGAATATTTGTTATTTTATCTTGACATTGGCATTTCGGCTCAACCGATCTCCGCCTTTTGAATCCACTCATTATTTTGTGACTTTGCAAGCACACGGCAACCGCGTGATAATCTGTGAACGTGTGCCTCATGCCAAGGCGATTCGAGTCGATACATTTGATCATGGATCGCTTTCTATAATATACAACATTCAATTGCCGCAGCGAAAACAAATTTACACATCTTGCTCCGCGGCCCGATAGCAGCATTTGGCGGTAAGGATTGTCGGTGCTAATGGAAAGGTCGGCCCGTGGGCCGGGATGTGTTCGATTCAGGGGGTGTTTCAACGTTTTGATCAATAGCTGTTGGCTACCCAAACTGCTTATTATCTAATTGCCGTAAGTTCCGTTCCACCCGATTCATCTATCGATCAAGCTCGATCAGCGCCATCGACCAACAACAAAGACAACCCCGTCGGACTACCAAAACGTCAGTGGCTCATTTGGCATATCGTTTATAGCTCTCGGTAGGCGTCATTTTGCATACAAACTTGTAATTAGTGGACAGTTATGGACTCTATATGTATATACACATATATCCGACTGCCTGATTCTTGTACATTTTGGGTTTCGGTATTTCTTTTTCGGCGCCTCATCTTCAACGGCGTTTGCATATCTAAAATTTCGCCCTATCATCGTATGCCTAAATATTATAAGCTTGGCGAAGTTTTTCTGTTTATACCCTGATCCCATTAAAAATTGGAAATCAGGGTATAATGGTTTTGTGTAAATGTATGTAACAGGCAGAAGGAGGCGTGGCAGACCCCATAATGTATATATATTATTGATCGACAAGCCTAGTCGATTGAGCCCTGCCCGTCTGTTCCTATGTGTGATCGCGTCGATCTCAGCATCTATAAGAGCTAGCTATAAGTGCAGATTGTGCATATCAAGTTTGTTTCAAATATTCGATAACTATTCCCGTTTTACTGTTATCGAATGAAAACATAATCGAAATTCAGTTATTAAATAATATCTCGTGAGGCTTAAAAGCTAGAGCCTCCAAATGGCCATTATGTGAAGGAGTTTGCATCTCTAGCAAGCCACTGGAATATATAGATCGCTTACTAAAAATTGCATTAAAATCCATAAAGAAAACAGAAGTTATTAAACAAAATGTTTGGCCAATTTGCAAAAGCACATGTCAAGTAGCGCCAATCGCACGCATTTTTCCTATACATATATTCAAACGCGTGTATAATTTTCTATTCGAAGAATCGAAATTGCGATTGAATTGTGATTGAATTGTGATTGGAGTTATCAGCTGCTACTTCAAATTTGAAACTTCTTGCATAAGCATTGCACTGGCGGTGTTGGTAGAGGCGCCGCTCGTTACCCGCAAGTTCTTGGTTTGAGACCAGGCGGCGAATCGGAGTTTTTTTTGTCTTTATTTTTATTTTAATTCTAGGCAACGTTGATTCGAATCTCGGTACCGTAATGTCGGTTTTTATTTTTTTTAATACTCGATACAAACTATTGAAAATGTTGAAAAACGTTGATAGGACTTGGATCAGAGTATCTCCTAGTCGGGCACCCCGACTGGAGCTTTCTTACTTGTTTTTGCTTCTTTTTTTTTGGAAACTTCCCTCGTACGATCATAGATCGTGCTGCTCCTTATGTGGCACTCTGTGTGTCCGGTCTTTTGGGTCTAATGGGCATGTCATCCAATGGAATCGAAACAAAAACAAATCAACACTTAAACCAACAATTGACCATGATTATTAGATTTAATTAAACGATTGTGACAGTTTTTACGGTCTGACCTTTAATCAACACAACACTGGTCTTTGTTTATTATTATATTTTCGCGATCTGCGATCTGGCCCCTCTCAATGATTTCGCTAATGGACTCGTGAGTGGGGATTTGTGCATAAATTACGCATTTACCGTGTGCCGAATGTCACGTAAGGCTAAAAGAAATGGACCAAATAAATATTTGAAGGCCAACGTCTCGATCGTCTGTCATATGAAACATAAATAGACAAGGCTAAGCAAGTGGAATGATTAGTGGAATTGATAATGAATCAAATTTTCAGTTTAAAGGAAACAGTTTTAGTTCGGATTCGTAAATATCTCTAATATTCTATGGCGCATCTGCTTGCTCGGCATATTTTGAATGGGTCGGTACAGGGTTTACAGAACCGTGCAACGCCTTATATCAAGTTGTTATAATCAAGTTGTTCAGTGATCAGTTGCGAGTCTGCGCACAATTTGGTTCGTTAACCGATTATAACCGTTTTCGACTTTAGACTTTAGACTAGTAAAAGCAATTATTCAATTGAGTCGATTGATGAACTACATCAAATTGACTATGATTTGATCAACACTAGCTACATATAAACCTTACATGGATCATTTGAATGTTAATATAATAAATAAAATCAAATCAATCAAACTGAATCAAAAAAGAAAACCATCAAGCAGCTAAAAATAACCACTAACTATGAATTATTATTAGCTGGGACTCTCCAGTTGCGAGCAATTCAGTAAGATATATGTATATATGTAAATAAATGTATGGAAAAGTTCCCGTTTTTCTTAAGCCTTCTATTATCGGAAATGAGCAAGCGTGAGTCATATAAGTTTTGGGTAGGCCTCTCGTGCCTAACAGATTAATTTAAAAATAATTTTAATCATACAGATTGTTATCAATCCCCTTTTTCGTATTAATTAATCAGTGATTTAGATAACTTTATTTATTTTTTTTTCTCTATATTTTACAACTTGATATTATTAGGATTAGGAGGTCCTTATTTTGTAATTTTAATTCAAGAATTGTTTGAAATTAGATAAATTTTTGTATATAAATTATATATATATATACTTTCTTCAACATTTGTCTAAGCTACATCGATATACGATAATTGAATTAGTATTCCATATTGGTGTTACTTTATTTACTAGTTCTTTTGTGAACTAGTTTAACATGAATTATCGATAAATGTAAATATATGTGATAAAATTGAATTGGAATTGCAGCGGTCTTTTGAACTAGTTATTTTATGTGAATATCAAAGTATGATTCCCAATTTCGAAGGCAAACTTGATTTCATTTAAGATATTACTAACACATAACGATCTTGGCCGATTTGAAGCTATTTCCGATTCTTCTTTCTTGGGTCATTTGATGAGTTGGCTTGGAGTTTGGTCACCTGGTTCTGTGAATTTCGTTTTGGTATTTCTGTTGATGCCGCTTAAAAGTGCGGACGTGCCGCGATGGCATGCGCGTCATACAACCTGTTGTTGCAGGGATTTTGTTACCCAAAAATACCTGACGCACATACACCTCCAACCACCCAACCCGCCTACTCGGCACAACAGCCAGTCATAAGTTTTTGCCGGTTTTAGTCGTTGCGTCAGCAGCAGTAGCAGCCAAAAAAATCAGCAGAAGCAGCAGCATCTTCG